GATTCCTGAGAGTCAGTGGCCTTGGATATCATCGATAAGCTGACAGCTTCCAGCCAGTGTCTCCCTGAGCTCAGGTCACGTGTCCCACCACTGATATAGCAGCTTGGTTGTTAGGTGAAAGCTCCAAACAGGGGCAGCCAAAATCCTGCAGTTGCCCTGCTAAGCCTCTCTCCCTGGGTTTCCCTGCTGCCTAATGACAACTCTGTCCTTCCAGGAGCTTTGGCCAAAACTCGGAACCTTCACTCTTCTTTCTCTCGGATGCACATCTAAATTGTCCGCAAATACAACAGCCTTTATCTTCAAAACATGTCCAGAATCCAACCACTCTCACTGCCCCAGTGCTCCCCCGGGTTCAAGCCACTAGCAGTGGCTCACAGTCTTCTGGCTGGGTTTCTCTGCTTCTGGCCTTGCCCCCTATCATCTGTTTTCTAACCAGCAGTCAAAACAATCCTTTAAATCATCAAGGCATTTCACTCCTCTGATCAAAGTTTGCCTTTGGCTTCTTGCCTTATAAGACAGAAGCCAGAGTTTCCAGAATAGTCTACACGCTCCTACTGGATCTGCACCCCAGTCCTGCGGTTACCATGCTGTCTCCAGGTCACTCTGGGCTGCGCCCTTCCACGGCTGGTCTTGTGCACCTGGGGTTCCCTGTTTGGAGTGCTTTTCCCTCACCCCCCATCAACACGGCCCATTCCCTCAGCTCCTTCCTCCCGGTGTCTGTTTCCTCCTGAGGTCTTCTCGGACCACTCTGTTTATTTATTATTTTTTGACTGAACTGTGCTGTCTGGCATGTGGCAGCCTCGTTCCTTGACCAGAGATTGAACCTGAGCTCCCTTTGCAGTGGAAGCAGCTGGAATTAGGGTCTGGGTTCGCTTTGACAAGTAATTGTGTGACATTGACATAGTGCTCTCCCTCTCTGGCTTCAATTTCCTCATCTTTTAAATACAAATTATGGTCCCAGCTCAGTATGTCCTATGGGATTGGGGCAAATAGATGGTGAATATGAAAATGCTTTGTAGACGGGAGACTGTGGGCAAAGGTGAAGATTTCTAAGTGGCATTAGGTGAGACACCATGTTTCTTTCACAGTTCCAAATATAGAACACCTAGAATTCCCTCGAATTCAGCTCAGGGTCTATAGCATTGATTTTGTTTTGTTTATGTAGAGGCAAGCATCGTATATACATACGTAACCATTTATGGAAACAAGAGCATAATCTACTTTTAAAACATGATTAATTTTGGACATCTTTCCATATCAATATACAAGCATCTGTTTCATTCTTTTTAACACCTGCAAAATATTCCACTGTGTGAACAGGCTAAAACTCACCCCTCCATATTGATGGATATTTGCTGATCCAGTAGAAGAATTCAGTGATCGTGAATGAAAATGTGACATTGTGGCTGCTCAGAGTGAAAGTTTTATTCCAGAAGGCATAAAAGCTGGAAGGAGAGAGCTGAGTGAATCTACATGTGATTGTGGGGTCTTCTAGGAGATTAGATGAGAGCTTCCCAACATGCCACATGGAGACTCACACGTGTGCAAAGAGGCATGGATAAGGTTAGGCATTGCTGCTTTGTAGCAGCATAAGGCAGAAAACAACCTGCATCCACCAGAGACTGGAACATACATAGAATAGAATCATCTGCCACTAGAGAGATGACAAAGCAGATATAGATGTACCAACAAAGTTGTAACCCCCAGAATAAGACCAGGGCAAGATAATAGAGACCCCAATATTTAAAGACTAAGATGCCCCTCTCCACCTTGCCCATGTAAATAAAAAGTTAACAATGAGTCATAAATGTTACAATGTTTTAAAGTATTTTTATAAAAATATAACATCTGAAAAGTTACCCAATAAATGGGTATATTAGTTCCCTAGGGCTGCTGCAACAAATCAGACAATTTTGTACAAAGTACAGAGAAAACAATTTGGTCGTTTAAAACAAAAGATAAGTGTTCTTTCAGAGTTCTGGGGCCCATAAGTCTGAAATCAAGGCCCTGCAGCTTCTCCAGGAGAATCTCTTCCTGTCCCTTCCAGCTTCTAGTGGCTCCTGGTTTTCCTTGGTTAGTGCATCATTTCCATCTGTGCCTTTTTCTCCACATAGCCTTCTTCTCTGTGTCCCCCTGTGTCTTAACTCTCCCTCTCTTTCCTCTTCCAACAGCAGTCATCGCATTTGGGGCCCATCCTAAACCCGGGTGATCTCCTCAGGACATCCTTATCTTAATCACATCTGCAGGGACCTTCTTTCCAAATAAGGTTATAGTCACAGGTACCCGGAGATGGCAATGGCACCCCACTGCAGTACTCTTGCCTGGAGAATTCCATGGACGGAGGAGCCTGGTGGGCTGCCATCTATGGGGTTATACAGAGTCGGACAGGACTGAGCGACTTCACTTTCACTTTTCACTTTCCTGCATTGGAGAAGGAAATGGCAACCCACTCCAGTGTTCTTGCCTGGAGAATCCCAGGGATGGCAGAGCCTGGTGGGCTGCCGCCTATGGGGTTGCACAGAGTCAGACACGACTGAAGCGACTAAGCAGCAGCAGCACAGGTACCAGGAGTGTTAAAGAAACCCCCTGCCCTGCAAGAGACAGGAATGGCAGCCCACTCCAGTGTTCTTGCTTGGGGAATCCCAGGGACAGAGGAGCCTGGTGGGCTACAATCCACAGGGTCGCTAAGGGTCAGACACGACTGAGCATGCAGGCACAGGTACAGTTTTTTTTGCAGGAACACTATTTGACCTACTACAATGAGTAACAAGGAGTAGCCTTGGGAAGGTGGGGGGTGGTCAGGAATGGGAGAGAGAGAAGCTTTTCTCTGTATACAGTTCTGAGCTACTCACATTAAAAAAACTTTTTTTTCTTGTAGTTTTTTTCCAAATGAACATACACACAAAAAGGATAGGTCCCTTCCAAAAGGGTGCATGTTCAAAATGTTGACCCTGCTAAATTGACCTAACGTCCACTCACAGCGGTGGTGGCTGCAGACTCCAAGTTTTTTGAGGCTGGAGAAGTAGAAGGTGTAAAGAGCAGGTTCTGTGTATTGTTCAGGTTGAGTGGGCGTCAAGGGGAGAGGGCCATTTTGAGGGATGGGGTTTTGAGGGTGGAGAAGCCTTGAGAAATCTTTCGTGGTGAAGAGGAAGAATAACAGGAGATGAAGGACTTGGAGACAGAAGCAGGAGAAGAGATTGTGGACCGAGGAGATCCCAGAGGAAGCCTGACCGGAGCAAGGGGGGTGTCCTCAAAAGAGAAAGGAAGGAAGGAGGTGGGAAGGGTGGGTATTGGCCACGAAGCACTCAGATGAAGGGAAAGATGTGGAAGAGGCTCTGTTTTCCTCTGATCCCTGACTTTCTGGGGGTGGGGATGGAGGTTGGTGAGGGGCACAGTGAGTGTTGGCTGGTTGTTAGCTGGCCAGATCAAAGGCGGGGTGCATCTGAGAAGAGGGAGGAGCTGACATAGCTGCTTTGGGCAACTCTTGCAGAGTGTGAGTGTGTGTATGTGAGTATGTGTGTGAGTGTGAGTGTGTATGCATTTGAGTGTGTGTATGTGAGTGTGTGTGTGTGTGTGTGTGTATGTGTGTGTGGGGGGGGGTAGGTAATTAAAGAGGGAAAAAGCCCTGCCAAGTGGCAAGAGGCTTGGGTGGGGCTAACCCCCAAAGGGTGCCGTGGAGGATGTGGGATGAGAAGGGACGGCCCTCTGGGTCCACCCGTCCAAAAGTCCAGGTGCCTGCAGGGCTTCCTGGCTCCCCACCTCCATCCCAAGCACCCTCTGCACACTCCACAGCGCCCCCTTCCTCAGCCTGGTGACATCATGTTCTTTTGTGCCTGTGCTCCGTCATCTGCTTGTGGGTCAGATCCTAGGGTCCCCCAGGGAGCATCAGGGAAGCTTGCTCCCACCTCCCAAAGGGGGAGGGAGGCCTTTGATGAGAAAGCTGCCCAAAGCACGTTTCAAATACAGGTCTCTTTATAGGTGACAGGAAAGGGACCGCTGGTTGCCTGCCGACAGCCACGAGCTACCTCTCTTAGTGAGCAATCAGTGAGCTGCTCTGTGCCAGGGAAGGCGGAGGGTTCCACAGGAGAACACAGTGGATGAGATCCTGACATTGCAGAGGTTGCCGTCAGCCCACTGGCTGCAAAATCATTGTTCAGTTGGCCCTGCCCTGGGAGTCAGATGTCTACAAGCCAGGAGGAAAGAGCTTGGACTTTGGAGTCCAGAGACCCAAGCTCATGGTAAGTCATGTCTCTCAGAACCCACTGCTCATCTACAAAGTGGGGTCCACAAGTCCCCAGTTTACATGCAGTGCAGCCCTTCTGGGATGGGTGCCTGGCCAGCGTGGCACATCGACCCAAGGCCTGGGGTTGCTGGCCTCCTGCTTCCTCCCTCACGTAGCAGCTGTTCACCAGACCCTTGGCAGTCGTGTTCTCGGACATGGTGTTTAAAGAAAAAAATCTGCAAACTGAATGATTTAAAACACATGTTGTGCCGCCCACGTGACTGGTGAGTAGCTGTCCTCAGCCATCATGATTCACAGCCCGTTTGGCAGGCAGGGTCTGCAACAGGACCCCTTGTGCCAGGTCTGTGTTGGGCATGGGGACTAAAGATGAGTCAGATAGATGGTGCCCTCAAGGTCACTCAATCTGATGGGGGAGGCAGATGCACAGAGTAGCCAGGGCTGTGTGGAAGGGAGCCCGGAGGAGGTGCCTGCCCACCCTAAAGGTCAGGGAAAATTTCCCGGAGAAGGGACATTTCATCTGGGGTTTAGTGGATGAATAAAAGTTTACCTAGCAAATAAAACAGCAACTGCCAAGGCTCAGAGGTGTGAGAACAGGATTAAGAGAGTCATACTCTGGCTGTTTTTTAAGCATGAGATTGTAGGTGGTTTAATTTCTGAAGAACAGTTTGATGTGTCTATGTGTGTGCATGGATGTGTGTGTGCTGGGGTGTCTGTGTGTGCCCCAGGAGAGAGTCCCAGATCGGGAAGGAGGGCTGGGCTACTCCCGTCTCTCACCGCCTGCCCCGTGACCAGACATTATGGTCATGATGCTGACCACCGAGCCGGAGCTCACCTGGGCTGAGCTGAGGCAGAGCTGATCCATTTCTCTGCCAAAGATGTCATCAACGAGTCTTGGTTCTTCCCTGAGGACCAGCTCAGGAACCCCAACCTGGTGGCCACACTGCACCCCGCCCCCCGCACCTATGGAGCAGGTCAGCAGGATGGCGGGGTGGGCAGAGTCCAGGCTGGGGATTGGGAGGTCTCAGGGGGTCTGTGTGACTGGGCAATCTGGCCCCTCCCTCACCTATGGAGGGAGGATTCAGCTGCCTCCTTCTGGGGACTGTGAGACATTGACAAATATGGGCTCTGATGATGTGTTTTAATGGGAAGATTGATCACCTTCTTTAAGGCCCCTCTCTCCCATGTGTGCGGGGTAAGTCTCTTTAGTTGTGTCTGACTCTGGACTGTAGCCCACCTGGCTCCTCTGTCTGTGGGATTCTCCAGGCAAGAATACAGGAGAGGGCTGCCATGCCCTCTTCCAGGGGATCTTCCAGACCCAAGGATGGAACCCGTGTCTTCTGTGACTCCCATTGCCAGCAGATTCTTCACCGCTGAGCCACCGGGGAAGCCCCCCACTCTTCCACCAGGAGCCAAAGATTTGGAGTCCTCTGTGAGCAGAGCCCTGATGGAGGCTCCCCTCCTCAGCCATCCCTCCTCAACCCAGGGCCTCCGTGAAGGCGGGCAGCTGCTTTGTAGGACTGTGCGGTCGGTGTACTCTGGGCCCACGCGGATGGCATGACTGAGGCCCACTGCACCTCCCCGAGGAGCTGCTGGGCTGTTCCAACTTCTGCAGGGGCGGGAGGCGGTGGGGCGAGTGCATCGAGGTGACCTGCGCCCTCCCACCGGAGCGTGAGGGGGGTTCCCGCTTTCAGGCCCGGATCTGCCCGGACCCCTTCCTCCAGTGCCCCGTCTGCAAGTTAAAGCTAAATGAGGCATATCTCAGTCACTTAGTTTGGGTGCTCTAGAAGGAGCCACACTGAGGGGGCCTGGGAGACTCTGCAGGATGAGGCTGGATGGATTGCAGTGCCTGCCTTGAGGCGGTGGGGCCAGCGTGTGTGCCAGGGTCTCGCTGCCTTGGCGGAGGGGAGCACCAGACATGTGCAGGGGATTCGCTGCCTCTGCACGCAGTGGTCTCCAGGGCCCTTTTCACTCAGACGTTCCATGGTTCTGGCAGTTGAGAAATCTTCTCAAACCAGCAAAAGAGGGGGCCTCAGGTTAAGGCCAGAGAGCCTGGCACGGATGCCATCCAGTCATGGCCTTTTGGTGGAAGGGCAGCGCTTAGGCCAGGAGAACAGGGGCGGGCAACCATTTCTGCCTGGGAGACAGTGTCCAGGAGTGTGCTTGACTATGCCCTTGAACCGGCAGGGTAGGGCATGTGGGAGAGGCCGAGAGTGGGGCGGGGCTGAGCAGTCTGGGTCCTGGCACTCGGGTCTATGATTTCCCTGTATCTGCATTCTGAAGTCACTCTCTGTGTCCAGAAGAACTTTATAATATTCAGAGCTGCCCATCTGCAGAACAGTCTGTCTTGGACAGGAGTGAGTTCCTTGTCTTCAGGGGCTGGCTGGCCCCTTGCTGGGACGTTGGAGAGGGTTCGAGGGGCTGGGACCAGGTGTCTGAGTTGGTTCCCTCCAACCCCCTCATCCCGTGTTGTAAAGCCCTTTCTAAAACAGGGTTTCTATTTTTGGCTCTCAGGCCCGAGAGGGCAGTCATGTCTGCCTGGCCCACAACGCGTTTGGGGGCGAGGGTGTCTACGCTGTGGCCAGATGCTGCCTGCCTCCCCGGGCCAACTGCAGCATCCACACAGCTTTGCCAGCTGGGGCTGTTATGCAGACCCATGCCTGATGCCCCCAGCAGGGCTCTGTGCTCACAGGTAGGAGGCTGGGCTCACCTTGGGGTGAGGAGTCATCCTTGGCTCCTTGTGCCCCTGCTTGCATCTGGCTGGTCCCACACTGGAGTGCAACTGTCTGGTGCGAAGGCCAGTGCTGCCCCTTCCACCCCTGGAGCCCTGAGCAGGCACCTCATCTGTCTCAGTCTCAGCTTCCTCCTCCCTAAGAGGGGCCGTGGTAGCTCATGCTTCACTGCGTTGCTGTGAAAATGAGTAACATCTAGGGCACTAGGCCCGGAGCTTTGCAGGCACTTAACCACAGGCAGCGCAGTGCAGGAGGGGCCTTTCAGGGAGAGGCTCTGAAAGTGGAACTGACCTGGGTTTAATCCTGGCTCTGCCAGTCATCCGCTGTGTGACCCATGCAAGTTACTTAACTGCTCTGTGCCTGCGGTGCCTCATCAATAGAAGGAAGGTAACGGGTGCTAAGCATTTAGCTTGGCGTGAGGACAGTGTGCTGGCTACCATGGTTATCACCCATTGCTTTAAAATCCATTCTTGATATAGGTAACTATGGATCGGTTAACTTGTGTCCAAAACATGCCCCTGTGTAGGTAGCAGGTGGTCATAGATGGGGACCTTGCAGGGGATCTGGGGATGGAGCCCCTCAAACCGGTGGAGGGACTGAGCTGTCCTGCTTGGTGGGAGTGTGGGATGTCCTGCGGAGAGTTGAGGGAGGGGGCAAGTAGTGGACCTGAAATAACTGGCTCAAGAGTTGATTTTCCATGGAGTTTCATACTGGGAAGCCACTGAAGGTTGAGGAAGAAGATGACAAGGGCGAGTGACAAGTTAGGAGCTGGCTGTAGGAGTGGCTGATGAAGGCGGCAGGATGGCTTTGCAATAGAAAGATGAGCTCAGAGAGGTGGAGAGACTGGGACAGGCCCAGTGGGCCACCGGCCATCTCATCAGTGTCCTGGCTTGATGGGAAGACCACATTTTCTGGTGACTCTTCGGATCACCCAGCAGGTGAACTCCAGGACCCATGCCAGTTTGAAGGCATAGGTGCCATAGAATCCACTACCTGTGAAGCACACCCTAAAGAGTCCCACTTTACAGTGAAGGGGAGTGTGCCCTGATCTGCTGAGTGCCTTCTGCAAGGCCCCTCAGCTAGCACCCAGGGATTCTAGTGACCACGACCCTAACACGAGCCGAGCCCTTGCCCAATGCCAGGCACTGTGCTGGGCTCCACGTGCCTTTTCTCGTTTCATCCTTACAGCCTCCCTCTCCACTTCACATAGAGGGACACTGAGGCTTGCTCTAGCCCAGGGCCACTCTCTGAGGTGTTGTAGCCAGGGTGTGTGCCCAACTCCCAAGCTCTGGAGGGAAGCCTAAGTCTCCCAGGGAGACATCAAGCTCACCCTGAACTTCTGTCCTGGTGGCTGGGTTACAGCAGGGTGTCCCCTCTCCTGGTCTAGCAACTCAGGCCTTGGAAGCTGTTCCCTGTTGCTCCCCATCTTGGGGTGGGAGGAGATGATGTTTTCCCTGAGAGGCTCAGAGAGGGTGTATGCTTTCCTAAGGTCACACAGCAGGCCAGCAGCAAGGTTGAGTTGAGAATGTCGGAGTCCTGTCATTCAGCTTAGTGCCTCTTTCCTGCCCTGACTTGTTTCTGGATTTCCCAGCTTCAGAATCAGACCCTAAAAAGGTGAAGACTGATGAGGCCTGAAGAGGAGAGACAGAAAGTCCCTTCGCATCCGAGTGTCTGAGCCGGTCCGCCTCTGCCCCAGGCTGCAGCCCCCATGGGAGGTGGAGGACCGTGGCACTGGTGGTCAGCTCCTGTGACTGTCCTGGCCCGGGTGGTGGGGCTTAGCCAGGGAGGGAACGTGCAGGATACTGGGCCCTGGGGAGGAGCCCACAGCTCTGATGGACTGCCTGTGGTGGGGGCCGAGGAGGGGGTCTGCCAAGGTTTTGCTTTGCCCCTGACGGGGATGGTGAGAGCTGCAGGAGGCACGGTGGTGTCAGGGGAAGAAGAGGAGCTCGCGTTGGCCTGCAGACATTCGCTTGTGCCCTTTGGGCCTAGCTTGCAGAGTGCCTCACGTGCCCTTTCTTTCGTTCTGGGGCCCTGGCAGGTCACCGTGGCCTGGGAGAGGGCTGGACAGTGACTGGCTGAGGGACTCACCTGGAGGCCTCGCACACCGCGGGGACCTACGGGGTGGACAACACGTGTGTGACGTGGGGCTGGGACATCGGTGCGGGAGGCAGGACTGCTGAGGAGGCTCCTGCAGCTGTCGCCATCTGCTGCCGGAGATGGCCGTCAGGGAGAGCAGGCCTCTTGCGAGGCCCAGTGGCTGCCCTGCCCAGGACACTTGCACGGGGAAGGGGTCCCAGGCCTTGGCTGAGCCTTGAAGTGGTTCCTTCTCCCCTCCTCAAGCCCTCTTCAGCCTGCATCCCGGGCAAAGAGGCCACCTCTTCCTCCTGGAGCTCTGGTGCTGGCACTTGGGGTGCGCCGGCTCCCTGCGTGGGAGAACTCCAGCTCTCGGCCTGCATCACCCCGCCCCAGGCCTGAGCTGGATGGAGGCTGATGGAGCAGGGCTGCAGGTGCCAGGCAGGTCCCCCCTCACTGCGGGGCGGGGTCCACACGCCCCTGTTAGCACAGGCCAGGCTGTGTTCAGTTTCCCGCCAGCCACTCCCCAGATGCCAACGTTGTGGGCAGAATGACCGTTCATCGAGCAGTCAGTCAGTGCTCAACCCTCCATGCAGGAGGTGGTCATCCTCCCCTGGGGAGACAGCGAGGTGCTTGAAGGCTGAAGAGGTCAAATATCAGTCAGGAGAAGTGAAAGGCAGAGATGGCCCCTCACTTCTTGCCTGCTTTGGGGAAGCCCCGTGAGGCTCCCCGATTAGTGGAGGATGTTTTCCCTGCCTCTGAGGGTACCGGGTGGCCCTGGTACGGGTGATGCTTTTCAAAAAGGGCCTGTTTCAAAATGTCCGAAGGGCTTCTCCACCCAACTTCTCACAGGGTTTCAGAACAGCCCTGGGGCGAGGGTAGGGCCTATGCTACCCGCTGGATAGATGAGGATGTTGCGGTCCAAAGCACCAACCCAGAGTCAGCTGCCAAGTCTCTTTGGCTTAAGTCCTTGCTCTTTTTCTAGAGAGACCTCCATCAGTTTGATCTCCATGGGGCCCTCTCAAGTTCTGCCATTAGGACTCAACCTCCTGAAGACAGCTTTCGTTGATCAAATTCCTAACTCTCCAGAGAACTATAGTTAATATATAGTAATAACCTATAAATGGAAAATAATTTCAAAAATAACACGTGTATATCTGAATCACATGCACAAAAAAGAATTCTTTTTGAAATTTAATAATGTTTATCTTCTTGCCAGTTTTTCTAAATGTCCTATGGACATCTACTAACAATGTATGAGATACAAAATTTTAAGTGTAATTGAGTAGGATATGATTAATATGGTGGTGTGTGCTCAGCCATGTCCGACTTTTGCAACCCCATGGACTGTAGCCCTCCAGGCTTCTCTGTGGGATTTTTCAAACAAGAATGCTGGAGTGGGTTGCCACTTCCTTCTCCAGATCTTCCCAACCCAGGGATTGAACCTGCATCTCCTGCAACTACTAGGCCACCTGGGAAGTCTATGGTTAATATAAATCAATTAAATATAAATCTATTGCATTTAATTAATGACATCATTCAAGATGCTCCTATTTTTAGTTTTTCTGCACATGATAAAATATTCTCAGAAAAAATGTTAATATGTCTCACTATGGTTTTCTTTTCCCTTTTATTTCTTCTGATTTTTGCTTTATTATCTTTGTTGTTAAGGTGTCTAATGGTATATGATGATGTCTTCTTTGCGACTTGTGTCTTTTATCATTAAAAATGTTCATCTTTGTTTCATTTAAAAAAAAATCCTCTTTTACCCATACCTTGAGCCCCCACCAATAGCACGACAGATGCAGCCAGATGTGTCCCAGGTGATCACGGGGCCACGCCTTTGATTATCTTAGCTGTTCTCACCTTGTTCTTGTCCAGGTTTACAGCCTACCTGGCATCAGCCTTCAGGGGGATATTACCCAAAGGCTGACTCTGCATTTGCAGTGGGTGCAGTTCCATCCAGCTTCTCACCGGGTCCACGCACCTACCTTGCATAGTACACACTGCCATCCCTGCTTCAGGAGGAAACTGGGAACCAGAGATGGGGAGGTGGGTGCTCACCTAGCTCACCGAGTCAGGAAATGAAGTAGTGCCACGATATAAACCCAGACTTGGTCTTAAAGTCAAGACTTTTTACTGCACCAGGCTGGGCCACCTATCTTCAGAGCTGAGACTCAGAAGGGAAACACAGACCCTGTGAGCCAGCATAGAGCACTGGGACCTGAGCGGAGAGGCCTTTGGAGGGATGGAGGCGGGAAGCGCAACTCTCCCTCTTTGAGCTCCCTCAACCCCACCCCTAACCCAAGCAAACAAGCATGCACTTATCTTTTTGGTCTGTTTGTCATCAACCCTGTTGCCTTTTTACAGCAAGCACCTTTTCTAAATCTGTCCTCCTTTTGTAACTTAAAAGATATTTATTCTGGGTTTTGCAGCAGTTTTATTATATAGTGACTTTTTAAAATAAAAACAACTTAGTCATGACTCTTGCCTGCCTGAATTTGACCGTCTAGGATGAGACCTTGCTTATATGAGGTGCTAGATAACTGTGTGGGATGGTTGAGCAAATTGAGCCTTTGAAGAGTATGTGTATTTTGAGTGCAAGTATTTGAGAATTTAAGCCTGTCCTGGGATAAAATTGGAGTCTGCCTGTAATTTCCAAGTCCCCGCCAGCAACCAGGGCTCTCCCTCCTTGGCATCCTGCGCCTCATGTTCTAGATGCTCAGGGTTCCTGTGTCCTTCCATTCTCCTCTCCCAGGGCCTGGCACAGAGTTGATGTTTATGGCAAAAGTTTAAATGAGTGGCTGAGGCATCTGTAATGAGAATTATGTCCAGGGTCATTTTTCATGATTTGAAATTAAGAAGTCTCATAACTTTCTACTTTGCAAAAAGAATAATTACCTCATGCAATGTGGCCCCCCATTCTCTAGCCCCACTTTGAGGCTGGTTGAGTGTCACTGTCTTGAGCAAGGCCTAGCTCTAAACAGCTCGTAATATAAGTGATCAGGGAATTGACCTGCAAAGGCAAAAGTCCTCTCAAACTCGGACAACTTAGTGTCTTGGAAAGTGTTCAAAACCTGCCAGTTGCTAAGGGCCGGGCGGCCAGCTGCTATGGACCCGACTGCCAGAGGGTATCTGTGTAAGTGGGCCCACTGGCACCCTGCCTGTGGTACATGCCAGAGACCTCTCTCCCCATCAGCCAAGAGCCAGGGGTTAGCTCCTTAGCTGTTCATACCCAGAAGGCTCTAAGATTTGACAAAAGGGAACACCTGACTTTTGCAGAGGTTGGTAGCTGGTCACTGGGAGCCGGGGAGGAATGGGTGTGGACTGTAGAGTATCCGGAGGAGCAAAGAGCCCAGGAGAGGGGAACCATGTGGGCAGAAGCAGGGCATCAGGGGTGAGGCTGAGACCCGTGGGGTCCAACACGAAATCCAGGGATGTGATTTATGCTGGAGACCGCTGGGAGGCCTGAAAGCTATGGGAGAGACAGCTGCAGGCCACTGGTCTGAGCTCTGCATATCCTTAATCCAGTTTTGCAAATGAATCCTGAAATGGTCAGGATATCCAGAGCGAGAAATAGTAAAAAGCTTAGAAAAAGACCCACTGCCCTTCATCATTAAAGCATGGGCCCTATTCACATCATCGGTCCAAAGTAGAAAAGGAATCAGCACTATTTCCTTCCAGGTCACCGGCCCCTGGCACCCCTCCCCAACCACAGCCGTTTTCTGATTTACACAGAAAAATGCCAGTGAGCCTCCAACTCTGTTTTTGAAAAATTTATTTTACACCTTTAGAAGCTAAGAACTCTGCCACTCAGTGAACCAAATTTAGAATGAAGCTTCTCCCTTAGTTTATCTACTTCTTTTCCAAATTGTATAAACAAGATTTTGTACACAAGAGGTAGCAGAGGAAAATTCCAGTCTGCCTGTTCCAAGCTCAAAAGGTAACTGCACACACCTTGATGTTCGCAGGGAGGGTGGAGCAAGATAGGGTGAGTCTGGTGACATGTGCTCTGGGCCCACGTGTGGGCTCCAGGGTAAGTCACAGGCTGGGGTGCCTGTCCGAAGGCTCCTTTGCTTTCTTTCCCAGGATGTCTCTAAGGGACTGACTTGGCCATCCTAAGAAGGATCTCATGAAGGGAGCTTCTTGAGGACACACAGCATTGGGTTTAGTTGTGCAATTCCTATTAGACTTGCAGACCATTTTGAAAGATTTATAAAAACATCTTCGTCCAAAAAGATTGGCAGTAAAAATGACACCTCTTCCAAGGTAAGCCTGTCGTAATTGTCACTTTGTTGTATGACATTAAAAAAAAAAGTCATCAGCAGGTTGGTAGACTGCAGCCAATGGGGAAATCAAGGTTACTGGAAAGGGAAAGTGACATTCACTGCAGCAACAACGTGAGCAAAACCAACCAGGGTGCCTCGTGTCAGCGACGGGTGGTCCTGGTCCCGACGCACGCTACTGTGAGGACAGCAGGTGCTGGGGGCTGTGGAAGGCATTGTTTCCATAGGAAATAAGGGACAGAAGTGGCAATTTCACTCCTGAATCTGGGCTCCTGAGTGCAGCTGCCAGCGCCACATCCTCGTGGCTGGCATTTCAAGGTCACATCCCGAGGGGTCGCTTTGTGAGGAGGAGGGCGGAGAGGGGGTGGGGGGCAGCAGGGCGTGGGTATTCATGGACTCAAAAATCCACTTTAAAACATCACATTTGAATTTGTAAGAACATCAGAACCACATAAAATCGGCCAAGGACCTCAGACCCTTTCTTAAGGGCCCAGCTCTGCTCTGCTCTGAGGTGCTGGCCCTTTACCCAGCTGGTGTCTCTGACAGACATCACCACTGGCCAGTCCTGCAATTACAGACTGCAGCCTGGCCGCACTGTAACTGCACCCTTGACGGTGAGGCCACAGGGTCTGCGGTGCATGGCAGGAGCCGCTGTCAGCCCTGTCACGGGCCCGCTGCGCCTCTGACTCTGCAGATCCTTGCCTGGGGCCGCCCAGTGCTTCCTGAGGCTCCCCTAGTTCTGTGCGTGGGGAGGACAGAACAAGGCAGAGCACGCAACCAAAGACAAACAGGACTGAAAATGTGTGCAGTGACTCAAAACCCCAAACGTACACAATATATAAACTATGTCGGCATCCCCTCTCCACTCCAGAAAAAGGAGTGGGCTGGCAGCTAACCTGAAATGAGTGAATGGCGCCAAGACCTGGGAAACACAACTAAATGGGTGGGTTGTTCAGTGGCTTGCTAGTTATTTCTTATCCTTATCTTTTCAGTGTCAATTAATCACGCTGAGTAGAAACCAAGTCTCCTGTTCCTTCTCTGTGGTAAAATGTCCAGAAATTCATAAAGCAGTGTCTCTCAACTCAAATATTTAACTTCATAAACAACCAGTACCAAGGGTTTTAGTAATTAAGTTTCCAGCAAAAGCAAATGATTGCAGGTCACATGATTTAAGACTACAGTTTATTCAATATGTCTCCAAGCATTCATTAAAAAGATTTTATAAAGTCAAACTCAATAAAATCATATCTTAAAGTGCTTTTTATTTTGCTCTTTGTAAAATTTGTTTTGGGAACAATTAGTGATTGATGTCAAAGAATGCACTCTATACTTCTAGAGAACATAGCATTTTTTTATTGCTCTTTCAATTTCAATTTTATCAGAAAAATACCTTAAAGAGCTTAATTTCCCAATTTTTGATCCTGGTAACATTTCATCAAGACCTAAGTTTATGCTCAGGGCTCTCATCCAGACCCACCTGAAATTCTATACAAATAGGGAGACATATTAAATACAAAGGTCTGTGTAAACTGAATTCTTTAACTACTATTTTACAGTGAAAAGGAATTTTTATCACATATTTTTACATCATTTTAAACTTGATATTTCTATTCAATGTTACTGCAAGATTAAAAATTTGCCCCCATGTATCTAAAGGCAGCTTGCTTTTTTTTTAAATATATAAAACCAAAGGAATTTCTTTTGTAGCATTATTGAGAAAGCAATAGCTTTATCTTCACTCACTCCTGTATGTTTGTGTAACAAAACAGTCTGCCACCAGCTTTACTTCCTAAAGTCTGTACAGAAGTGTCAGTCCACATGTGGACCATGCCCCAGGTAAGCTGAACTCCACAGGCTGGAGTCTTCCCACTGCCAAACAGCTCCCAGGCCTTCCCCGGGGGCTGAAGAGTGCATTCCTTAAAAACACGGGCTCCTCCCCTCATGGTGGGCTCTCCCAGTCCAGGCTGCGGGCTCTGCTAAAGGGTTCAAGAATGAGATTCTGATTTCAAAAAGGTGTTGAGCATCCAGTAACCATGACATGACTGCTCATCACATGCTGGGCACAGCCCCTAGGGATCCACATCGTCCAGGTCACTTCTTAACTCGCCGATCATCATGGGTGATTCAGAACCCTTTGGGAAATGAAAGGAATAAATACATACTTAATAAAGTTAAGAGAAAAAAGTTTTCCTGTGCCAACTGACTTAGCTGTGTTCTGCAGTTTAACATGTCCTCATTTAACTACTTAATGTTTATCAAAGGGCAATAAAACATAATAAGTGTATGTTTGACCTCATATTTGACAATTCTTGATTATGCAGAGCTTCCATTTCTGTATTCTTACTGAGTTACAGGAACAATCTAGTGACTTGCCTAAAGGCATAACACGGCCTTGAGTTAAATCAAATCACTATGCTGAGTGTCAGTTTCCTTCTGTGAAATCAGGGGAACGGCGACCTCACTGGTTATTACCAGGATCCCAAAGATTTAAAAAGAAACAAAGTGGCACACAGAACATCAGCAAATTCATTTGACAGGCCTCCGTGCACTGTGATGGAGCTACGGAGAAGGTCTTTCAGAAAGTTATGGACCGGAGGGAAGAAACGATACATGTCATTACATTTAAACCTGCTGCATTCTTCTACATAGTAAGCATTCAATAAATAATTCATTCTTTTTTCTACTATAGTGATTAGTATTGAAAAATACTTAAAAATTTGACGCCCCTGAGAAGCACACAGATTCCAATGGCATTAGGCCCTTCTTTTCAAGCATATGTGTTTCCAGGAAGGCTGGTGAGAGCAGAAGGGGAAAGCAGTAATTTTTTGTAACCCAACAGAATGAAGTACAATCTGGAAGGACCATATCTGCAAACTGGGCTTTATCAGGATACTCTCCAAGCTGAGAAGAACAGCCAGCAGACTGAGACCAAAGCCTGGATAAATGTCACGGTGCAACGCCGCCCTGCTTTGTAAGCACAGAGAACGAGTCCTGAGCAGAGGTTCCCCAGAGGGCGGCGCTGGGGTCTCCTTTCTTGATGACTGAGGCTGTCTCTGGGAAACCTCAGAGCGGGCACTGCCCTCTCACCCAGGACTTGCCCTACAGATGTACCTGCTGTAAGTGTCTCTCTCCATTCTCATTAGCAGGACTGCTCTCCGACCCGTTACTGCTCCCTGACTGCTCCTTCTCGTTCAGCAGCGCTGTGGCGTATGCTAACGTGTCCTGCCAGAGATTGAAACACAAGAAGTCAGCGTGTGCAGTGGCAGCAGGACCGAGGAAGACCACCCTTCATCTGACCTCTGGAGGCGGTGCCTTCATTTCAACTTCTGGGGCAGGTGGGGCCGCACTGAATGACCCTCACTGCTGTCCTTCCAGGCAAACAACTCACTTGCTGCTTTTTTATAGAAAAATCAATCGTGTCTTCAGTCCTTACTCACTTTTAATGTATACCTCTTTTTTTAGACAGCAGTTTCTGGGAAACACACTAGAAACTCTACCTAAGGGATTTCAATCCACACAAAACCAAAAGACAACTCTCACCTGAGCTGAAATTGTTCGCTGAAAGGTTTTTCCAGTTGACGTTTCATTAGAGACGTTACTCTGTGGTGTCCAATAATGTTCTGACATCTGACATGGAAGGTCAAAAAGGCCATTAGAGATGACAAATAAGCCCATATGAGTCAACAATTTCTACCAATACATATTACAGTATAAAAAGCATATAGAACAGTATATAAATTGACCCAGACTTTCTACCACATCAGGAGATCCTTTTTGATAAGATTGCACTTCTGCTTTCAAGAATTCACTAAAATACTACCTCTTAAATAATCATCCTTTTTATCCATAAAATTCAGACAAATGTATTAAGATACAAATTACATGCATAAAGTTAGGTATCAATTGTTCCCAAGAGTGTGAACTCTGAAAATACTTTGACAGTCTCCAAATTAAGTCTGAGATTTTATTTCCTGATAAGATATGCTGTTATTGATTCCCATGAAATAAGCAGAAAAACTCAATTACCTTCTTCTGCAGCCACTGCACAGCCCAACTCCAGTGATGGGAATTCTCCTTGAAGTATTCTTTAGCAGCAGGACACCTGGTGATTGCAGGAAACTGTTATTAGCCAAATACCTTCTTTGCAAACATTCTTGTTTAATATACAGTACTTTAAAATTTTGAAACACAAATGCTACTTTCATTAAATGCTCCTTTCTGTTGTCTTTTCTTATCTATCTCTAACTCATCCACTCAGTTCTACTAAAACTCAAGGTTGGAAAATGAAAAATAACAAACAAAAATAGCCACAACAAATTGTACATTTAATAAATAACCTCTTATTTAAAAAAATTAAAAGTATAATTGATTTTATAAAGTTGAGTTAGTTCCTGGTTGGTGTACAGCAAAATGAACCAGTTATACACATACTTCTTCTGATTCTTTTCCATTACAGATTATTACAAGAAATTGAAGACAGTTCTCTGTGCTATACAGTAGGACCTGTTGTTTATCTATTTTGTACATAGTAGTTTGTATCTGCTATCTCACACTCCTAATTTATCCTTCGTCAACCTCCTTTCCACTTTGGTAACCGTGTGTTTCCTATGTCTCTGAATCAGGTTTTTTTTTTTTAATAAGTTCTTTTGTACCATACTTTAGATTCCATATATAAGTGATATGACATTCGTCTTTGTGTGACTTATTTCACTTAGTATGGCTTCTCTAGGTCCATCACATTGCTGCAAATGACACTGTTTTTTTAATAGCTGAGTAATATTCCATAGTACACATGTACTACATCTTCATCCATTCATCTGCTGATGGACATTTAGGTGGCTTCATGTCTTGGCTTTTGTAAAATAGCGCTGCAATGAAACTGGGGTGTATGCATCTTTTCAACAGTTTTTTCTGGATATATGTCCAGGAGTGGGATTGCTGAATCATATGGTAGCTCTATTTTCAGTTTTAAGGAACCTCCATACTGTTTTCCATAGTGGCTATACCAATTTATACTTCCACCAACAGTGTAGGAGGGGTTCTCTTTTCTCCACAACCTCTCGAGCATTCATTATTTGTAGTCTTTTTAATGATGGCCATTCTGATTGCTGTGAGGTGATACCCCACTCTAGTTCTGACTTTGATTTACATTTCTCTGATAATTAGCAGTGTTGAACATCTTGTCATGTGCCACTTGGCCATCTGTATGTCTTCTTTGGAGAAACGTCTATTTAGGTCTTTTGCCCACTTTTTTGATCTTTTGTTGTTGTTGTTAAGTTATATGAGCTGTTCATATATTTTGGTAATTAAGTCCTTGTTGGATGCATCAATTGCAAATATTTTCTCCCAGTCTGTAGGTCACTTTTTCATTTTGTTTATAGTTTCCTCTGCTGTGCAAAAATGTGTAAGTTTGACTAGGTCCCACTTGTTTATTTTTGCTTTTATTTCTATTGCCTTGGGAGACAGGCCTAAGAAAACATTGCTACGATTTATGTCAGAATATTTTGCCTATGTTCTCTTCCAGTAGGTTTAAGGTATACAATAAATGACCTCTTGACAAAATCAAACTAGTCTTTAATTTTTATAATTTAAATAAGAAAGAATGATATGAGGGAAAAACGTTTTTAAAACCTGATTTTGGAGGATCTCTCTCCCTTTCCATTTGTATTTGCTCACCTAGAAAGCTGTCCTTATTTGAAGATAGTACGATGGGGAGACTGCCATTAACATATGTATAAAATGGGATATGTGCAGGATATGGAAGTACATATAAAGACACTACTAATATAAGGACTTTGTGTTTGCTGGAATCAGATATGCTGTGTGGCCCCAACACTACTTGGAAATACCACTCTTTTAGGTTTTTATGTCATTATGATGACATGCTGTCAGTATGAAGCCTAATTAATGAACCTACAATTGTGGCAGGATGATCTCCATCTGTGTCTACAATATTATGTCATCTGGAAAATGCATGTTCATGTGTTATTTCAATGGGGCTCTCATTTAAATCTGTTGAGGATGCTCAAATGCAGCAGATTAATCCCAACAGATTTTTCATTCTGGTATAAGTCCAAGGATGGCTAAGAATCAGGAAAAATCTGGAGCAAAATAAGCTAAGCTAAATAGAGCTCAGTGCAAAACTCAGTGATGGCAGTGCTGTCTGCTCAGTAATCCTGGGTTAGTTACATTCCTGGGTATGTATCCTGAAACACAAAAACTCTACTTTGAAAAGATACGTGCACCCCAATGTTTACTCTGCAATACTATTTACAAAAGCCAAGACATGGAAGTAATGTATGTGTCCATTAACAGAAGACTGATTTAAGAAGATGTGACATATATATATATAAACACAAAGGAATATTACTCAGCCATGCATGTGCTAAGTTGCTTCAGTCGTGTATGACTTTTTATGACCCTATGGACTGTAGCCCGCCAGGCTCCTCTGTCCATGGGATTTCCCAGGCAAGAATACTGGAGTGGTTGTCATGTCCTTCTCCATACTTGGCCATAAAAAGAATGAAATATTGCCATTTGCAGCAACATGAATGGACCTGGAGAATATTATACTTAGCATCATTTATATGTGGAATCTTAAATAATACAAAAGAATCTATATACAAAGCAGAAACAGACACACAGACATAGAAAACAAACTTATGGTGACCACGGGAAAGGGGTGAAAGGAGGGATAAGTTAGAGGCCTATGGGGTTAACAGACACAAACTACTATACATGAAATAGATTAGAAACAAGGATTTACTGTGTAGCACAGGGAACTATATTCACCATCTTGTAATAACCTATAATGGAAAACAACCTGAAAAAGTAATATTAACTGAATGACTGTTATGCACTAGAAACTAACACAATATTGTAAATCAATTATACTTCAATTAAAAAAAATAACCTTGGATTAGCATGCAGTCACTCTGATCTTTTGTGGGCCAACATAATAAATAAATAGGGGAGCTGAAGTTGCAAACAACTCAGGTTCCTTCTAACATTGAGAACCTTTCCAAGGATCTACTGACAGATGAATGGATAAGTAAAATGTGGTACATATACATATCTATACAATGGAATATTATTCAGCCTTAAACAGGAAGGAAATTCTGACACATGCTGCAATATGGATACATCTTAGAAGACATCATGCTATGGGAAATAAGCCAGTCATGAAAGGAAAAATACGATATGATTCTATTTATGTGAGGTATCTACAACAGTCAAATTCATGAGGACAAAAAGTAGAAGGATGGTTGCTAGGAGCTGGAGAGAGGAGGAATGGAGAGGTACTATTTAATGGCTATAGAATTTCAGTTCTAGAAGATGAAAAATGATTCTATTTATGTGAGGTATCTACAACAGTCAAATTCATGAGGACAAAAAGTAGAAGGATGGTTGCTAGGAGCTGGAGAGAGGAGGAATGGAGAGGTACTATTTAATGGCTATAGAATTTCAGTTCTAGAAGATGAAAAAAGTTCTGGAGACAGATGATGGTGATGGCTGCACAACGCTATAAATGTACTTAATGCCACTGAACTGTACACCTAAAAATGGCTAAAATGGTGAATTTTATGTTATGTATATTTTAGGGACTTCCCAGGTGGTGCTAGTGTTAAAGAACCCACCTGCTAATGCAGACCTAAGAGACACGGGTTCGATCCCTGGGTTGGGAAGATCCCCTGGAGAAGGGAATGGCAATCCACTCCAGTATTCTTGCCTGGAGAATTCCATGGACAAAGGAGCCTGGTGGGCTACAGTCCATGGGATTGCAAAGAGTTGGACATGACTGAGTGACTTAATACACACATATTTTAGCACAATTAAATAAAAGAAGAAAAGAACCTTTGCCTTGAAGTCAGTCAGCCTGTGCTCAAGTCCTAGTTCTGACAGCAGACATGTCACTTAAACCACCCATGATATGTGACTAGTAACAGTACCTAACCTCATAAAATTGCTGAAAATGTTAAATGAGAATACAGGCGATATTTAGCACTGTGCCTGGGTTCATAGGTTGAAGTAGCTGTTATACGGTTTGGCCTCTCAAGAGACTGTTCTGAAAGTGGGGACCTTGAAGCCGACACAGCTGACAGTTAACCAAAGACATCATGAGTGACAGTTCATGAATTCTTTCTGTTGAGGTCCCTAAACCTGCCTTGGACTCCTCTCCTTTCTGTACAAAGCCTGTCAGTTCAGCAAATCTCCCCCACCCCGGATTCCATAAGATGTTACTTTTAATACTCCCCTTTTTTGTCTCTTTGAGATTGTTTGAATAGTTGTCTGTACCATCCAAGCAAGTATGCCCTGACTGGCTCAGATTTCTTAGGTGCCAAAACAAGGGAACTTTTTTTCTTGAGTCATATCTGACTTGTAACAAAAAACATCATTTTCTCAACTGCATTTTGAGTCAATACTTACTTTTGAGCAAGAGTTACAAGAAATTTGACACATTGGTAGCAGCGACTGCTGTCCACGTGATTGCTGTGGTGCATCAGAGCTGAGAACAAAGGAAGGAATTTTAACAATAAAGCACTAAACTGGAAGTGGGCCCAGCTAATAAAGCTCTCCTGTTCTGAAAATTCACAGCAAACTTTCAATAAGCAGATTGGGAACTTAACCAAAGCACAGTAGTGCTGACTTAATAGGGTTCTCCAAATTCTAATGGATGGAAACACTACTTTAAGTAGTATTCAAGAAACATACAAGGTGGTGAAGGTTTGACTTTCAGAAGAACTGAAAGGAACTAAAATTTATATTGGCTGATTATTCACCTAGAGACTTTCAAAGTTTTCCATTCACTACAATACTGACAAAGAGTAGTTAAAATACTTAAGTGTGATAAATGGAGATTTATAGTATTATTTCACTTCAACAAATATTTACTGTTCTGTGCTTTGGGCATTTAAAGATAAATATAGACAACCTTTGAACAACATGGGTTTGAACTGCACAGGTCCACTTATATGTGAATTTTTTTCAATAACTACATTTAGTACTACACAATCTGTGGCTGGTTGAATCCTCAGGTGCAGAACCATGGATGTGAAGGGTAGACTATGGAACCTGAGCATCTATGGATTTTGGTATCCGAGTGGGCCCTGGAACCAGCGCCCTGTGGTTACCAAGGGATGATTGTAATGCCTGCTCCCTGCCCTTGAGGCATGTATTGTCTGTAAGTTTCAGAGAGCCTGGGTGCTGCTCAGAGAAGAGAGCACCATTCCAAAGCGGTGGCCTAGAATGTTGTAACTACAGAACATTTTAAGCATAAATTTCTTTTCTGCAATAAAAGGAGATGCTAAAACTTCTTTTAAATACACAGTAATATCTAAAATGACTCAAGTTAACTGGGAATACAGGTGGATGGTGGGAGTTGGATAAGACTATTTTTAACTAAACTTTTTCTAAGATATAGCTCATTAAAGCCACTTTAGCCTTCTGAAAAAGAAAAGGTTGTCAAAAAACTTTTATGAGCAGATAATAACAATTTGCGTGCATTCATAACACAGGTTAAAAGAAAAAAAGAAATTGCATTTCATAAGCGTGACAATATCCTGAGTGTAAGGTTTTAGTCTTTCCCCACCTCAATGGCTACAGAGTGGAAGAAAGGCTTCTTGTTAAAGTGGCAAACCTTTAGCTTGCTGAAGAAAGTCACAGCACCCCTAAATCTCACCTGACCCAGTAAAAGGACCTCAAGCTGTTGTCTTACGAAAAGCAGGAGTGTTCCGGGTGGTAAGATCCTCTGGCTTTAATTCTCCTGACTAGACTGAGCGAGTCTAACAGCCCTGACCAGACCACCCCTGGATTCCTCAGTGATCCGTGCCAGGAAGAGTGTGCCAGGCAAACCCTGGGGAGGAGAGGCTGGCTGGAATGATGGGCTCTCTGCACCTTTCCTGCAGGTGCTTCTTCACAGGGTAGCCATACTTGCCTAGTAATCCATTTTCTGTCTCAAACACAAACTTGACTCGTTCCACTTGTATGGGATCCTCGATGACCTGTGAGAAGCAGGAAACAAAGGCTGGTAAATGACAGAAGAAACTTGTGTTACAGCCACTGGTGCCTTTAAAAACAACTCATTCAAGGGACTATAGTTACTAACATACTAAAACCAAAAACAAATATGTTACTGCCATATTTTCAACAATATATTAAATTCCAAACTAAAGATGAAAAAATATTAAGTAGTATTTGAAAATCCACACATTTCCTAATACATGCTCTGAAGAACTGAATCTAGGGTTCTCTGTGGATTATAAGGATGTGTATTTTATGATCCCAAAGATAAGAGATTTACAGTTCACAAAAAACCTGTCAAAGTTTTGATATAATACAGGCTCTACAAGTCGATGTGGAGATTTATGCCACACCACACAAGGCTGGATCTATGTCACACTCTTGCTGAACTTCTAATGCCTGACACTGAATTGTGCACAGTTCAATAAACTAAGTGGGTCTGTTGTTAAACAGATGAACATCACTCAATCCACTCCTGAGAAGCAATGATCTTACAAAAGCACTAGGACCAAAAAGAGGCAAAGAACCAGAGAGACAGGCATTTTAGAAATGGCACCCATGATGTATCTCCATATTCAAGTGTTTATTAAATGCTTACCCTGTGCCAAGGCCTTAGGGACCTAAGGGGAAGCCAGTCCCCATCCCACTGCCTGCTCTTTGTTTTAAATATTTCCTGGGCTAGTCTCTCATTGGTTCACAGTCAGTCACTAAATTTCACTGATTCTCTTTCTAAACACCTGTTGTTCTGGCCCTAGCTCCTTCTGCTCTTGTCTCTCCTTAGTATAAGCCTTGGTATTTTACACTCAGATTACTGCCACAGACTCCTATATGGTTTTCAAATTCCAACCCTGCTTCCTTCTTTAGTCCATCCTTTAAGACAACTGCTGGGGGAATCTTCTAAGACATAAATCAGGTTATATCACTTTCCTGCCTCAAACCCTCCCATGGTATCCATCACTGATGGCAGAGGTTACTAACTTAAATGTCTAGAGTTCAAGATGGTAAGAAATGAGCCACGTGACAGACAACAGCAGTGCTGAGGGCAGTGGGGAACCAGAGACCACAAGCTTCATGGAAAGGACATGCTGTTACTGCTCTGGGTGGCTGGAGCACGCAGGAAAACAGACCAGTGTGGCTAGATTGCCTGATTTCTGAAGACAGGTTGCAATCCAGAAATTAAAGAACAAAACAATTTGGGCCAAACAGCCAAGACATGTAGGTGGAACTTGGCCACCAGTCACCACTGGCCCACAGGGAGAAAGTCCACAGGCACTGGAACCGGAAACTCCTCCTGGTCTGGTCTGGGCTCCTCCCCCAGGCCCCACTAGTTTCCGCTCCTTTTAGTCCTGCCTCTCCCAGTCACTGAGCAAACCGGGCGTTTGGTAGAGAGCACAGGCTCCACGGCCAGTCACTCGGCTCAGATCCTGACTGTCACTTATTGATGATGTCCTTGGCAGGTCACTCCACTAGTTTAGCTTCTAATAATACCTCATTTCACTGATTGCAGTTGTATTTCTTCCCCTGCCTTTTGTATTTCCCAAACTGGGAGGCACCCTATAGTGGATTACATTTCAGTTTTGTGGCTCATAAAGATATTTTCAGTAGCACATGGACAGGCCACAGAGCCAGCCATTCACCTCTCCTGGTTCTTGCAAGGTTCACACAAGATCACACTTGAGCTGAGCACCATTTTCTATGCATGGTAAGTAAGGCCTTTGCTCTCTGCACTGGAATTGCTTGTGTCCTTGTCTAGCTCCCTCACTAAACATAAGGAAATTTATTACCATTCACCTCTGAATCAGTTAAGGCAAGAAGAATGGGTGATGTGAAGAGGACTTAGTGAGCACAGAACAAATGAATGGAAAAGCAACACAAGGACATATAGTTTTTATTTGCAAATGCGTGCTGCCTAGTAAATATCTAAATGCAAGTGAATCAAAACATTCATGACTTACCAGTATCTCATGAAGTAGTTGGAATGTATTCTTTAACTCATGGGGTGGAGCTGTTTCTAGTTGGTTCTGAAATATTTTTTAAAAGCACAAAGATTCCAGTAAGTTTTCAGTGAAAAAGGTTGGAGTGGCAATCAACAGTGTTGGACTCCAGCCCAAGTTCTACCACCACCTGGCTGACCTTGGGCAAATCATTTCCTTCTCTGGGTCTCAGTTCCCCAAATGCTAAATCTGGGGACTGAGACAACACCACAATCCTCCTTACTATAACCCTCCATGATATTTTACTATGAAATTAGGAAGGAGAGAGAAAGAAGGAGAGAAGCAGAAAGGAAGGGAGAGAGCTTTTAGTCACTAAACAGGGCTCAATTTATACTTATATTTCATTTATACTTATTCTGTTTTGTTGACTATTCTCGAGTAGCTGTGAGATGCTAATCAGAGTGTTCTGAGATCAACATGCTGTGAGTGAAATATAAGAAAAGTTCAGCTTAGGAAGTAGAAACATCTGCCAAGACACATTAAACGAAGAAAGCAAGGTTGAGAAAACTCACACCCCTGTGCATTTTAATAACCTTACACATAATATGCAGTGGGAAAGGACACTGCATTACAACAGGGCATTTGCAAGGTGCCAGGTCTGGTACTGAGTTCTTCATGTATCATGCCTCACTGAATCTACACAATCTGTTAGGTCTAGTCAAATTTCCTCCTGTTTTTCAGAAGAGGAAACTGCCCTTGGTTATATAATTAGTAAACAGTAAAGAGAGGTCTCAATCAACCCTGATACAGGCAGATCAGTACAGAAAATGCTGAGGGCAGAACATACTTTAGTAAGAGCTTGGAGACATGACCCACTGATCACAGCTGCTTGCTAACACTACCTGTTATCACTATTTACAAATCCTGGGGCAGGCAAGGTGTGGGACAAACTAAAATATCGCTTGTAATTTCACACACAGAGGACTGGAAAGACATAACTGCTGTGACAGTACTGGCCCATGGGGTAGGGGGAAGAGGAGACATGGCTGGCTGGTGATGGTCGAAATGGACTTTGCATATTTTTTCACAAAGAGAATGAAGTCGGTGTATTCTCCATGTAATTAAAAATTAAAGATTAAAAATGAATAAATATGGTATGCATAGGCTTAAAGGTTTTTCTAATAATCCCTAGAAAGGCAGTAGTTAAGAGCACAGCCCTGGAGCCACACCGCTGATATTCGAACTCACACTCGGCCACTTACTTGTCGTGTGACACTCGTGTCTTCAATATCTTCAATACTAATATCTATCTATACCTCATAGGACTATGTACTAGAGAATTAAGTGAGTTAAATACGAAATATGCTTGGAACTGTGCTTGGCATCCAGAAAGTGCAACGTAAGTAATTACTACACACTGATCAGAGCTTCATAATGAACTACATATATTACTACTTCAGAAGGTGAGAAAAATCAATCTACTTTTGATTTTTTAGATGTGGCCTGGGGAAATAACCTGAAACTTTAAAACCATTTTATACAATAATGGTCACCATAGCATTATCACTAACTATAAAGTATTATTCTTAATACTTAAAAATTGCACCCAATGCAAATATGCCTCACTGGGAAGGGAATGGCTGAGTAAACTGTGATACACGAGAGAAGGAAATACACTCAGGTAGCTTTTAATGATACGGAAAGTACTTATAATGTCAATTAAAAAAGAGGGCACAAAAACCACATAGACAATAAAATCCCAGTTATGTTAAAATATGTGCATAGAAAATAAGAAGGGAAATGTGAGAGAATATTCATGGTGATCATCATAAATGGTGAGATTCTGAATCCTCTTTTTATTCTTCAATTAAAAAATGAGCCTATACTACTTTTATGATTAGGAAAACAAAGTTATTAAAAGAAGCAAAGTGCCTGGGAGGCAAAGAAACGCTTTCCTAGGTCTCAACTGCAGGCTCGCAGGCTACCACAGGTGTTTACGAGGTCCTACCTTAATGAAATGCAGCATGGTGAAGGAGAAATGCTCGTTACAGAAACAGCAGTACACCACCATCTCGATGAGCGCCAGCAGTGAGCCCGTCAGCTCTCGCAGAGCAAACATTACCTAGTGAGGGTAGAAAAGGAGTGTTTCTTTTGTCACAGTTCACTGTTAAAACACTGTTTCTGACTTTCACTCAAATCTGCTCAGATTGAGGACCATCAACACTGCCTCCAACAGTTTGAGTCTGTCTGAGAGTTAACACAGTTTGTGCAAACGTGCACCTTTTTCTCAGGAGTCACTTCTATCAGATTTTAAAAGGTGACCTCTCCCATTAAAATAACCACTGATAGGTCCAAAAAAATACATGACATTAAGCTTTAAAAAAAAAGAGCTATAGTACAGCACTGTTGATGTAAATAAAAACCAGTATGATTATGTTCACTGAGTCATATATATATAAATCAAGTTACAGAACAAGGATTGGAACATTATGTTCTTAAGATGTGGTAGCTCTGGGTGGAAGGGAGAGGGACCTCAACAGGAGGTTGTGAAGAGCTCACTTCCATAGTCCTGAGGTTGAAAAACCCGTATGCTTCAGAGCTGTAGTATTCAGGACCAGTGACACACACAAGATTCGGAGTAAACCCTCTGATAATAAATGGAGTGACTGTGACTTGGCGGGGGGTGGTGGTGGTGTGTGTGTATGCCATATACCTCCTCCTGGGACCTAGAGGCCCACTTCTTAGTTGCAGGGAAGACTAATAATATTCTTTTCAGCTGCCTATTTCTTTCTGACATACACACAGGAAGTAAAATTAATTTGAAATAACTGCTTCTTAACTATACTCCCCTACATGAGAATAACATACAAAATACAACTATTAACAAAAGGCATTTTTTTCCTCAAAAACAAGAAAACAGATAAAAGGAAAATGGCTTTAGTGGAACAAGGACATACCTCTAACAGGTAAGGTTTCCCTTCAGACAAGAACAACAGGGCTTCGACTTCCTCGTGGAGGGGCAGCAGGGGGCTCGAGGGGGCAATGCTAATAGGCGGCCGTTGTTTAAACACACCCGGAGCTTTAGGAAATCAAAGGAAAAGGCCACCTCATGTTACCACGTGAAACCGACGTCTACAAGGTAAGGCGACTGCCTCCAGATTCACACACCCAACTGCTGAACATGTACAGCCATCTCTCACAGTCAGGAGACTTGAGAAAAGGCTTCCCCTCTCTTTCAATGTATGCCCTGGACGTAGGTGTAACTGTTAAATCCTTAGACTCCCAGTGATTCACAGCCAAGATAATCCTTTTGAAGAAGTTTAAAATGAGAAAAAAAAAAAGGCCCAAAGTGCCTCTGAAGAGACCGAGGACAAGGCACTTCTGCTGCTTAAACACTGCCAATGCTGAGCAGAAATCTCTCACATGGAAGGGGTTACCCTACATGCTTGAAAAGCAAGGACTCTCACTCTCAATTCTCTTTCGCAGACCCGTCTGAACTCACAAATGAGGTAGCTTCATCTTTTAGATGGGTGAATCAGAATTTAGGAAGCACAGTCTAGCTCACGACTACACGAGAGCTCCCCCACGTTGCTTCAGAGAGCCAACGTTTTAAATGCTTCTCTATCCCACTCCAAATAAATTATTGACTTTCTCCTGTGACAAACCAGTAAAAATAAGCTGAAGCTTAGCATGAATTGAAAAAAAAAATTTTAAGCGTCCCTCAAATATCAAATAGCCAAATGAGAAGCCACTAACATACATTAAATTGCCAACATTATTATTCTCTACATGTTACTGACAAATTCACCATCTCTCCAGTTCCTTGACATATTAAACACAGGTTTTAAAGCTTACCAACATTCCTCTGGGAAGAGACATCTGAATGCAGGACGAGCAATGCCACTGTATTGTGAAGGTTCCCAAATTCTCGTGCTTGTGCAGAGCTCCACCGACGTATCTGTTGTCAGAGAAAAAAAAGTGGGTGTCAGTGCTCTGGTGAGAAACAAGTGACAAGGAAGGAAAAGGTATGTGGGTTCATGATATTCTGAGCCACATTCTTTCTCAATGTTTGACAGTACGAGAGATGAAAGTACAAAAACCTCACAGGTTTCAGGCCAGCTTAAGAGTGGCTTAACACAGATATATATGGATTTGTATTCTAAAACAAATACAATTATGCAATTCTATTTAGGCATTGAGCTCTCACCACGTGCTAGGTAATTTTCCTGCACCCACAACAGTGGGGAAAGCCTGTGAGGCTGGGGGTCTGCAGGCCTGGCCCCCTCTGCCACTTACTGATCTGTGCGGATATGGGTGACTTCTCTACCTGATTTCCTTGTATCAGGACAGGGACAACCTACCCGCTACCTGTTCCACACCCACTTCATGGCTGGGAGGATCAAAGGAAACATTAAAAGTGAGAACGTTTTCAAACTTAGATGCTCCATAAATGCAAAACAATATTAATCATACAATATAACATCATTAATTAAATTATTATTTAAATTACAGTGAACTTAAAATAATCATTAGTGTCAATGGAGCCTCTGATAAGGAAAAGTAAAAACTGATACTCAACATAATATCAGCACAAAGAGCAAGTTACTGTCCATGCGTTTATTTATTTAGGCCACACTGTGTGGCACGCAGGATCTTAGTTCCCTAACAAGAACTGAACTTGTGCCCCCTCCAGGGGAAGTGTGGAGTCTTAGCCACTGGATCGCCAGGGAAGTCCCGTTTTCAACATTAAGGAGTCAGAGTGGCTAGGTGGTATGACAGGAAGCTGAGAGGAGGCCTAAATGACAAGTCTGTCTCCCTTAATAAAAAAAGGAAAGGTTCCCTAGGCAATGAATCACATACAGTGGTAACTAAAGCTTAAGCCCCGTGATCCTGAATGAGTCACAATTTCTCTCAGCTGTAATTCTTGCCCAAGAAGGGGGATGAAACTACCTGTTTTACTGAACTGTACACTTCAGAGGTAGAGCATGAAAAGTAACCAGTTGTGTCTGGCACATAATAACTGCTCCATACATAGTATTTATCATTACAGCATGTTGACATTTTGTGTATTTCAAATCTATCAAACAGAAGAAATATAATGACTGGAAAAAACACACCAACATAGGAACTTCAAACAGGAGAGTCATTTGAGGATATATTTGACTCTACTACTCCAAAACCATTTCCCTTTCATTTTCTGAATATGAGTATTACATCTGCAGCAATGTTGCTCAGCATTTAATGGTTCAACTTCACATGTGAATAATGGTCTGTGACGGCATCCCATGTAAGCACCCCCACCAAGACCAAGCCTTGCTAACAGTCCCACAGAATGAGTGGAGGAGGACCTGTGTCACTCTTTCTGAAGGCTTTTGAATCCCCCAGGCAGAACCCATTTTTCCTCCCAGGACACTTGGCACTTCACACTTTGACTGATGTCTGAGTTAGTCATTCCCACTGGTTATGGCATTTAAAATAAATTCTATGAGGAGGCTGTAAAAATAACTGAACTCCAAAGAATTTTAAAAGCTATACAGCACTTGTTGTATACCTGGACTCTGATGAAACAAAGACACTGAAAAAAACTGTAGCCAGGTCACTGGGCTGTATGAAACAAAAGTAGGCAGTACCTGGGTGCTCTGCCGGCTGGCCCCGAGGAGGAAGCTGATCATGTGTCGCAGAGCAGAATGCTTCAGAAGGAGATCCCCGGCCTTAATCCCTTGCTGTCATAAGAAACAGAGAATGACAAATTATACTCTTATCCAGATAGAAAGGTATTCCAAAAATACTGCCAAGTGAGAGCCTTTAAGCAGTAAGTGTTTAAGTGCCATAATTTACATATAGAAAGTGCTTGTTGAAAACCTAACAGCCCTGTGGGCCTGCACAATGGCCCCTCATTTCAATGCAGACTCCTGCTCCAACAATGAGAAATGATCCCCACCTACCTACGCTATATTACAAGTAACATAACACACAATTGAAGATTTTTAAAAAGAAACACTCATAAAATTTTATCATATAGGTCCTATGTTGACCAATACAAATGTTTTGCATATATAAAATTCTTTTAGACTATAAATCCCTAGTGGGAAAAAAAAATCATTTACCTTTTGCACAAAAGTGTTGAACAGGAAAAAGTACTGAGCACAGTTTTTACAATTTTCGGGGACATCTTTATCCAACAGAGCAAGCAGTACCTCCAGTAACTGATGAAGGCTCTTTAACTGGTTAGAGGAAAGACGAAATTACATAAAGAAAAAGAATGTAAGATGGACATCTGTAATAGGATTAACCTGAAGTAAATCACCATAAGAACAAAAGGAAAAGTCTGATTGATACAATCCAGTCTCAGATTCAGATGGATTTATGCTTTGGAGAGCAAAAACAGAATTATCAATTTGATCTTCCAGGGAAGACTGGTAGAACTGTAGAAATAACGAAAGAAAAGCCTAGTTTTGTTTCCTCGCCTTCAGACTCAAGGGCACGGTTCTACTGCCTAATGGTCACATTTTCTAAAAAGCCCAGTTCTTTCTGTCTTTTAAAAAAAAGGCAGGGGTTTTAGAGGAAACACTTCTGAATCCCTCCCTCCACTTTGCTACTTCTTCACATAATCACAGATGCAAAGAATAAAAAACACAGACACAGGCATAGAGGCTAGGAACCAAGCCAATGGAGCAAATGGAGAGCAACAGCCTGACAGAATGACAACGGTAATATCGACTCAACTGTGAACTTACTTGGAAGCCCGCTGACGCCTCATGGAAAGCTTTGAAAAACATTTTATTTGTTTAGAAACCATTTCGGTTATCACATTGCTTCTTCTTTCCCTCCCACCCCAACTGTTTCTGGACAAGTCCCTGGAAATCCATGTGTGACCTGAGAATTGAGACCAGGCTTAACTTACTACTCCTGTCAGTTCCTTTCCTCTGGAGAAGGTTCTCATTGATTTTTGAAATATTCCCATCCATCCTGTCATACTCATTATAAATACAGTAAAATCTACCATGTATGTAGCATTCCATTTCAAAATACTTTCCAATATAAAGTGGGTGGCAAGAGGCACCATTTCCGTTATGGGGGAAAATAGACATAATATAACAACAGCTGAGTATCAAGGGGAATTTACTGAGGCAAATGGTTCACATCCTCCACCACTCCCTTCACTTTCCTTCCCCTGCAGTCCTGCTTTGAGAGGCTGGTGGGGTGACGTGCTATGGCCTGACCCCATCTGTAGGTAGACTGCACTGACTCTGCCTTTATCCTTTGTCTGGGTTGGTACATGGGAGGAAGCAGGAGAGGGAGAAAGTTCTTACGTTAAATATCTCAGAGAACTTCCACAGGGTGCTTCAGAGCAACGGTATCTAAGCTGTCCTAGGCAGCTCCCAATGACCTGTTTTTTTAATATTCTGCAACCAAGTAAGGTTTTGTGAAGAATGGTTCTGCTGTTTAAGCTGATCGAAAGCCACTGCCTTAGAGTAAACCTCCAACGTTTATAAGGAGCCAATTCATTCTGAATACAACATTTTTCAAAGTTTTCCATGTAGTGTCAGCTGTTTGAAACAGCAAACTTGGGAAGTTACTGCTGTATTTGCTAGGACTTAACAGATTGAATAATCAGACTCATGTCATTTATGTCCCTAAGACTTAAAATTTGGGGGAAACTGAGAATGGTAATAAATACCATGTTGTTTGAACATGTGTGGAATTGTGAACTGGAAGAAAATATGTTACAGAAAACAGGGTTAGGAAGAAGAAATTCAGAATAACAGGAACAAGGATTAGGGAATAACATAGATCAAAGAAGGAACTACTGTGGCCAGTGCCCCTGGATGGACAGCACTATCTGGTCCGGATGCCAAATGAAGGTTCAGATCATGAACATAGCTTCTGAGGAAAAAAGAGACAAAGCCAGGGGCGGCTCAAAATGACTGCTGGTCTAGACTACAGACTCTAGACTCAGGCTGGTCTTTTCGCGGAGAGATCGAACACAAACTCTTGAGAGAAGACTCTGAGAGGGAAGAGTTCTAGACAGAAAACCCTGATGCAGATCAAAGCAGATCTGAATTCTGAGCCTACCCTGATGTCTGGGATCTGAGGAAGAGAGTACAGAACGCCTTCCAGCCTGGCAGTGATCAGGACGGCAGTTCACAGAACATGCATTTTCATGTGGAAAGTTACCAGACTCTAATCCTAGGCTTTTCTTCTTCTTATGTGCAATTTAAAACATTTGGTAAAAACAGAATGTGTAAACAGTATTTAGAAAACGAGACTGACCTTATCCTGATACAACAAGGCACTGTCTAGGGTTTTCTCCAGGATTGTGGCCACAGCAACACGTACTTCTCTCACATTGCACTCCAACAAGAAAATCCTAACACAAAGAGAAAGAGGTGTGAAAAAGCAAGACCGGTTTCTATAACCCAGTCTTCCCAACATGGGTCCCACCTACTATCCAAGGAAAAAATTACTCCAAAATGTCAGTTCAAGTCTCCTGAGAGTGTCAGCATACATAGCCCTCATGAAGGAGGAAGAAGATGAAAGAGGAAAAATGAGACCTTTGAACACGTAAGGTGGATTGTTTTCTGTTCCTTCCTTTCTTCCTCTAAGATGAGTATCTGTATAAATGTAAATTTGGATTTCAAGAGATATAAAAGCAAAGAACCTAAGGTTTTATAAATTCCATTTACTCAGGAGTAGTTTTCCTTGGCACCCCTTCGATTTCTCAGAATAGGATACTAGTTAAGAGTTCTCAGTCAACACAGTACCTCCTAAGCCCTCTGTTCATCTATATTGCCATCTTGTCACTTCCCTTTCCTTTCCTCTCCCAACTCTGACTTATTACGTGGTCCTCCTAGAAGCACGTGAGGCCAAAAATGTCCTGCTCCCTTCCTTTCTTCTCCTATGGTGATGACGACGACAGCGGTTAAGGTTTACCAGGCATGTCCATTATATTTGATATGTCCAGTGCTACACTCAGATACTACACTGTTCACTGAAAAGGCACGACCTAATTCAACCCTTTGCACAGCCAGGTGGTACATGCAGCAGCCTCAGGTGTGGTGGGGGCAGCGGGGTCACCATCAGCATCCCTGGGGCTGGGTGAGCGTGGTAACTAACTACCCTAGAGCAATGAGTAATTGCATGCATTCCCACATGCAGTGAGCCTTTCTTTCTCTGCTTCATATACTCACTCTGACATGACAACTCTTATTATAATTAGCACAGTGAAAACTTAACTGTTTCTAATATTTCTTAACAGAAAATTCTCATTGTTTCATGAGCAAGATTTAAATACAACATAATTTTGATGACCCAAGTCAAAACTGTCCTGATGAGGCACTCTTTCAGGTCACAGCAGTGAACACTGCCCACGTTTCTGTCTTGAGGGCAGGATGAGCTGACAGCCCTGCCCTCCTTCTCCCGACAGGAAGACGAGAGAGGAGCTTTCCAAGGCTGCTTCACTTCTGCTCATTCCAGGTTAACTGTCAATCCTAAGCATTAGCTACCTAATGTGAAACTGACACAAAGGCTGTTCAATATCCACTAAGGTTCTAAGTGATAACTCTAGGAAAGTTTAAAAGATTACTTCTGTAATATTTGGCTCTAGGGGTCTGATTAGGTTCAGGTACAATTCTTTTGGGAAGAATATTTAAGGGGGTGCTCCACATTACCTATCACAGACATTAGGAAGCACTGTAAGAATGCAAAGCAACTCAGAATATGGGCAGCTCTATAGGTCGAATGACCTGTCTCACCCCAAATACATGGCATGACAGAAAAGGTGGTGGGGACACGGAACAATTACAGATTAAAAGAATCAGAAGAGACATACACACCAAATACAACATGTGAAGCTCATTTGGGTCCCGATTTGTACAAATTCACTGGGAAAATGACACTTTTGAGACATCTGGGGAAATCTGAGCATGACTGTGCATAGGATGATATGATATGATGGAATTATCATTTTTGTTTGGAATGATGATGGTAAAGTGTTTACTTTTTTTTTTTACCTTAACCTGTTTGAGATACAAGCTGAAAAATTTAGAATGAAATGATGATGTCTGAAGGTTTCTTTAAAATACCTCAGAGAATAAAGGTATGAGAATGTGTAGAACTGGAATAAGTAAACATCACTGGCCAAATGCTGACAGCCTGAGCTGGAGATGGGTACAGGCTGTCTACTCTGCTGTATGTTAAAAATTTCCACAGGAAAAAGAAAAATTTTAAAAGATGTATAAAGTACCCTTCGGGTTAGTACTTTTATTTTTTAGATCAATTTAAAAGCAGTATTTGCTTCTAGTTTAATTTTTCACAGTTATAATCACACTTAAAAATTCCCCCTGAAGAGGACTACTACATGGAGGGGCTGATCTGAGATGACAGCCTCTTCGTGTTCACTAAGATATTAATATACTGCAGATTTATTCTTTTAGTTGTAACACTGACAACTTAAGTTGTATTAAAAGTACTAAAGAAATTAGTATTTAGAGAAAAGTGAAAGTGAAGTGAAAGTGTTGGTTGCTCAGTTGTGATCAACTCTGTGACCCCATGACTGAAGCCCTCCAGGCTCCTCTGTCCATGGGATTCTCCAGGCAAGAATACTGGAATGGGTAGCCACTCCTTCTCCCGACCTGGGAATCAAACCCGGGTCTTCTGTGTTGCAGGCTGATTTTTTTTTTTTACTGTCTGAACCACCAGGGAAGCCCAATTAGAGAAAAAAGAGAATAGAAAATATTAATTCTTTAAATAATGAAAACAGAGCAATTGATAATGATGAGTAATTGGGCTTTATAAAGAAAGGGACAAAATATTTTGTAAACTCTGTCAGAAAAAATTTAGATTAGGTAATTTACTAAGATTGTTTTTACCATGTAGGAATTCTAAGAAACCAAATCATACTATCAAAGGAAGTTACTGAGTTTCTCTGGAGATACTTAAGAGCAAGCCTGCCTGAACATAAAAGGGAGTTAAATCAATATTTTGCCATATTCCTTTCAAATGGATAGGTCTATGATGTTCTACCACTTAAGACAATACTCAGGAGTCCTGATGGGAGGATATTTTGGAATTAAGCTGAAAAATGGGTGAAAGATTATCTTTAAAGAAAATTCTAAAAGGACAGGCAAAAATACTTGAAAGACACATTGATTTATTTTCTCTTTATGAACTGTATGCATGTATGTATGCACAAATACTGAGCACTTAAGTCTGCCAGGCTCTATGTGTACAGTAGGGAATCAAACACAGGTAGCTTCTGCTTGTCAAGAAGCTAATGTCTAGTAGAGGAGACAGGCAAACAAAAGAACCAACCTACTTTAAACTGGGTGGTCGGGAGTGAACACCCTCTTTGCCATCCGAGGGATGAGAAGGTGTTTGCTATGCAGAGACGAGGGGAAACTGTTCTAGGTAGAGGGAATAACAGGCAAAAAGGTCTTTATGCAGAACAAAGAGCTTAGTGTGTTCAAGGAATCAACAAGCCGGTAAATGCTAAGATAGGAGGAAAGTGAAACACACAGGCAAAGCCCATATTCAAGGGAAGCCTTTTGTGTTCTATTATGGTAAAGATTTTGGCTTTATTATGAGCAATGAGAATCCACTGAAGAAATTTTTAAGCAGAGGAGTAACATGATCTACCTTGTTTTAAAAGGAACGCTTTTGTTGCTGTATGAGGTACACTGGAGTAGGGGGAGGTGGAGATACTAAGTGAGCCAAAAAATGAACGTTAGAAGCTGAGACCTAGAGATGAAGGGGACATGGGATCAAGAGTTTCTAGATCTTAACTTGCCAATGGATGACGAACTCCCTGTGAGAAAGGAGTGGCATTTCTGAATTCCCTGTGGTCTGCTTTAAGTTGAGAGGTATGAGAATGTATTTGTATGCTGACAGCAGTGACCTGGTAGAAAACTCTGGAAGATAAAGATGCTGGAATGATAAAGAACCAACTTCCTTGAGGAGCCTTGCTCATGTAGAGAGATTCATTTTGAGAGGAGACAGGACACTTCTTCCATTCTGTCAGGAGCAAAGGGGAAGATGGGAAGACACTGGCTGGTGTGTAACTTGTGACGGGATGGTGGGCGCTGCTGCTCATCTGCTAGACTTGTGCCTCAGTGAAACCTGAGGCCAGGCCACTGGCTAGGGTGGTGAGCCAGGACAGCTGTGGCAGAGGGACGGAAGAGGTCCCTGGGGATAAAGGAGCCTGGCCACTGAAAAACCAAGGTGCTCGCTGCAATCCCCATAGGAATGTTGAACTCTCTGAGGATGAGAGAATGACAGGGAGCAAGGTCTAAACATTCACAGTGATTGGACCATCTTGAAAAACAAAATTACTTTTTAACTACAGATACACAAGTAAATATACTATCACAGGAAACATACATCAAAAGATTTTTGAAAAAGAGAATTTTAGCCAGAATCCAAACATATCAGCAGCACTGCGGTGTTACTGTGCAGTAACCCAGGACTGCTGATCTTTACCTGACACCAGACTGTGCGCCCCCGAGGGGACAGACCTGCATTTCAGAATCCCCTGAGCGACACAGGGGTTCAGCACATGCTTGCCTCTGAGCAGCTGGCTATCTGCTTAAAACTGATTCCAACCAGAAAAGTAATTTCAAGTTGGAAAACAAAGCGATACAAGAAACTTCACCTTTAAATCACTGGAAGAGAAACAAACTTCTTTTAACTAAAAGATACTGACACTTACTTTATCAATTCTCGCCCTTCAGAACTAATAAAGTATTCAACTAGCCATTGACAAGCATCAAAACTTTTTGAAAGTAATGCTTCAATAGTGGCAATCCATTCTTCAGTGTCGACCCTTTAAAAAAGCAAAGACAGTGATGTTAGATAGCTCGGCAAATAAATTCATGGAGTGTCTTTCACCTTTAAAAAAATTTTTTTTAAATTTTTCTCAGGAGTAGGGTGGACGATAAGTATGTATTCAATGATTGCTGCACTAACACAGATAGTTCAGTCCCCACGTCTGGATATAACTTTCCCCAGTTTCTAAATAGCATCTAAACCTTATACCACAGTTATTTCTTTTTCTATTTTTTCCATCTTTCCTCCTGGATTAGAAATTCCTTAAAAAATAGGAACTCAAGTCGTCAGCATCAGAATGTATTAGTAGTTGCCTTCAACTATAAAAGAATGTTTTGAATTTTTGAGTGTCTGAATTTATAAATTAACTTTTGTTTAATTAATGCCCTTTGCAGAACAGATTGTGAAAACATAACATTTCTTACCTGAGTTTTTTCTTTGTCCGTAGATAAGTTTGAAAAAGGAATTGAATGGCAAGCTGTAAGCTAACCTTTGCCATGCAAGGATAGTATGGATGCTTTAATTTAGTCTGTGAGAGAGGGAGGAAAAAAAGAGATTTTTTTCCCCACAGTTTTATAGATTACTATGCATTTTACAAACTGTAACAAGATATGTAACAATAATAATATATATAATAAAGTTAAATATTAGTAAGAAAAATAAAGCCAGTTATAGAAAATATTCCAGCTAAATTTTAAAAAGATTAAGAAAGATATCGTCTTCATTTCTTACATGAAGCCTTCTCAAAATAGAGCCTTTAGACCACAGGATGTTAAGTAATCTACCAACAGACTAAGAAAGTCTTTCCCTTATTGGCAAACTGTGATCATGGTACTCAAGGAAAAGAAGCACTTGGAGACTAGTAATGTCTGATTACAAATTAGGATAATCAATCTGCTCACAGCACAATATCCATTTATATCACTTATGGCTACTAAATTCTTTAAAAAATATAATAAGAACGCTTAAAAAAGCCAATAAGTGGAAAGCTGCACTCATTCACAATCTGCACTGTACATTCTAAATACTGCCTGTATTTGAATGTCACTCAGTAAATGACACATTTGTGAGAATTTTTTTGGCATATAATCTAAATGTTAGCATGTAAGAATAAGGATAAGTCACTGAATGCTTTGAGTGACTGAAAGTCACTTAGTCGTGTCCAACTCTTTGCACCCCCATGGACTGTCCACGGAATTCTCCAAGCCAGGATACTGGAGTGAGTAGCCATTCCCTTCTCCAGGGGATCTTTCCAACCCAGTAATCCAACCCAGGTCTCCTGCATTGAAGGCAGATTCTTTACCAGCTGAGTCACAAAGGAAGCCCACTGATTGCGTTAGTGGAAAGATTTTTAACTATGATCCTTTTTAATTTCTCTTGTAACACTCCGACTAGTACTTACAGCATTCAGTGATGCTAAAGACAAAACAAAACTGAAATAATCACTACTGTACACATCTCTATTCTTCATAAACTTGAGGTTTTCGTCTCTCACCATCTACAAAAGAAAAGTGTTAATTATTTTTAAGAAACAGGGTAAAATTATTCAATATGTAGAAGACATTTTTAGTGATAAGTTAGGGTAAAACAAGTTCATAAAATACTTCTCTCAACCTTTGAAATTTTTTAAAAGGAGAGAGAAAAAACTTTCAAAGATACAGAGTTGTAAAAAGGTGAATTATTATTCATTAAACCACCCAATTCTTCCGGGAAATTCAGGGAAACCACCATGTGAAGGACAAGTGAATTCTAATCTGTTACTCTGAGTAGAAAGGGACAATTAGAGTTTTTCCAAATACAACCAACTCCATGCTCTCCATGTATCAGATGGCTTAATTCGTTTTTTTTTTTTTTTTACCGAAGACTTTATATTTCTCTTAAATTTTTTGATTCTGGCTACTTAGCTCTTGATTACCTAGTGTATAAAGTCTGGACAGGGTAATGGGACAGTCTGAATTTAAATCCTGGCTCTGTGACACTGGCAGGATTATTTCTCCCTTCTGAGCTTTTTCCCCTTTTCATCTGAAAAACGGGAATAAAACCTGCTACTCCACAAGAGTGTTTTAAGAATTAGGGATTTAAGCGTGTAGCACAGGGTAGGTATTCAAAAAGTGATGATCATCATTGGTATTATTAGTTCTACTCAAAGGTTATGAACCGTATTTCTCTTTCCAGATTTAATAAGCTCATTTCAGCAGTGGGTTTCTGCACTGCCCACTCCCTCCCCCTTGTTTACAGGGCAGCCACAGGCACACAGCAGGTCAGTGACAGTGCTCGTCGACCCTGAGTCTCCAGCCACTTCTGTGACAGGCTGGGTCAGGAGACACCGCGCTAGACTGTCGCTGGGTCAGAAGTTCTGGACACAGCTATGCTGGCAAGAAGGCTGGCAGAAGTAGTTCTGGACCTATGAGATAAGATTCTGACATTTATCTGGGTTTTCTCCCTTAGCATTTTTTATACAGTTCTTACCTGGTATATTCGAACAGGCATTTTCTCCACAAATAGTCCTTTCTTCTCACCTTTTTTCACCAGCTTGGTTAGAATAGACAGTCGGTCATTGTTAGGCCTATGGGGCCGAGGAGATGACTGAGGTGAAATTTCTGGTGAAGATGGTGCTGACCTAAGAGACATAAATAATGTATTAGATTTAAAAATAAACTGTATAGTTTCCTGATCCAATGTATTAAAATGCAAATTCATAGAAAACAGGACTTAAAAAAAAAAAACCTTTCAGACGATGCTGGCATAGTACTAGGCTCTGGACACAAAGTGCACTCAGTAAATGAGATTTTTAAAAAATCTCAATTCTAACATGAAATAATTTCTATCCATGTTTCTAAATACAAAGAACTTGCCAAGGAAGTAACCACCAAGGTTACGTCCCAACTTGCTAAGGTAGCAGTGCGAAGAAAGACAGTGGGTAGAGGGATTTACTTACTTACTTTTTAGAATTTCCCTTTAGTTCAGCTGATTACCTTTAAATACCAAACAACATGCTCTAAAGATCGCAATATCACCCACTGAGATCACACAGCAAATCAGAGAGGAGAAACTCACAGAGAGAGGTCCTCGGCTTCCTGCCGTACAACGCTGACTCGGCTTTTCTTTGGTAACACTGGGGAGTTCTGATCAGACACCCTTTGGTAAAAAAGCATGTATGCGTTCCAGTATCTTCGGCGTACATCAGTGTAGGGGTTTGCTTCATAATGAGACAACAGGAAAGACTCTTTATAAATAAAAAATTTTCTCTTGACAATTTAAAACAACACAAATAAAGCGAGTAAGTACTTACTAAATTTGTTAAATGCAAAGTGTGAGTAAAGTGGTTCCTTTTAGAGTGAGACTTAAAATCACCCAGATGGTGCTCCAGAGGGGCAGGGAATGAGGGTGCTCTATGGTAAAGGAGTAAGGGAAAGAGGGCAAACTTTCCCAGGCAAGCTGACATTTAATCAAAAGGCAAGTCACATTTGAAAGTAAATTCTGGGGCATAGGTTGGGGCTATAACTGGCCTCACTTAACCATTTCTGCACAAAACAGCCAAATCCAGGTAGATTTTGGCAAAGACACTATATTCAGCCAATAAAGGTTGCTACCTTTAGATACATGACTACCATGGTCTGGTATTAAGATCTAATATTGTGAATCTCACACAGGGGGAAAATTTTAAATCCCCCGAGACTATTTTAAAGTCAGGTATAAAAAATTTCAAGGTTTCTTCAAATAGTAAATTCTTATGGGATTCTGTCAAGTACTTTTATGTTTTTTCTTCTGGGGGCGGGGCCTGTGGAAAGATTCATTTGCCACACTGCATAACAAATACAGCTTTAAAAACACAGGTGCTAGAAACATCTTCTCTATTAATCATATACCTCCACGTAAGTGAAAAGGAAATTTGAACATTTTAGTGGACAACTACTTCTGAAACTATTTTTAAGGTTGAAATTCTTTCAAGTTGTTCTTTAATATTCATTTCTCACACTTAACTTACTCCTTACCCTAGGACTGTTGTAAAGAATCAAAACAATTTAAAAAATTTTGTAAGCAGCTTGAACCTTTTTACTCTGGCTTATCAAGGAGTTTCTGGATCTATATGGCTAGAGCAGCTGTAAGTAAAATTAATAGATAAAAAAAGTTGGTTCTATTTTTATATAAAAAATACTGCTTTCAATTTGAAAGAAAAGTACATATTAAAAAATAAAACCAGTGGAAAATATACATTTGTAAAAACTTACTTTGATCATAAACTTTTGGTCTGTATTCTCCTCCAAAGCATTCATACTCCAGGGTCTCATCATTAAGGTCAAATTCTTCTATAACTGTGTCATTAAATTTATACCACTTTCCTTTTCCACATCCCCTAGAGTGCAGATTTGATAAAACAAACATGAGGTTAAAAAACCAAACTTTCATCCCCAGCATTCATCTCTATGTATTGTCTATAAAATACAGAAGGTAATTACCATTTGAAAACACGTAAGAAAAACATAGCTAAAGTTACTTCAAATTTTTAAACAACTTTTCAGAATAAAGGGATAAAACAGTTGCAACAAGTTTTAAAATTCCAGTATGGAAAATAAGATCAAAGAGCAATGTGAAAGCTTCTGCTCTACATAAGGGCAAGTGTGAGTAACAGTAGGGCAGAGGGAGCAGAAGACAGACAGATACAGGAGGGCAAGGGGCGTGAAGGAGGGATACAGGAGGACACAGAGTGCATAGCAGAGACAGGAGGGCAAGGGGCGTGAAGGAGGGATACAGGAGGACACAGAGTGCATAGCAGAGACAGGAGGGCAGGGGGAGCAGAGGAGCGGGAAAGCATGGCAGGAGGAGAGGCGGCTGGAAGGGTGGAGTGGTACGGGAACGCTCACCGCCTATCCTTGATGAAGGAATAGTAGTGGCCTGCATGTGCCTGCCCACTATGTACAATGACACCAACAAGTTCATAGTTTTCTGTGAGGGCTACTTTTTTTCGTGGAGATCCTCCACCTCCCTGATCTGTACTTCGCCCGTTTTCACCAACTTCAGAAGATGAATCTTGGCGAGCCATTCCTGAAACTGTGTAAGGCTCCATGTTTAGCATCCAGGGAAACTATTTAAAAGCGAAAACAGCACATTAATGATGGCTAGCAACATACAGGGCCACACCCACTGAAATCTGTACAAACAAGAGGGATGTTTTTTCCTAATTTAAGCAAGGAATACCCTCCAACTCAAGCACACAATCTCACAATGGCTCACAGGTCTGGGAAAGTATAAGTAGTCTCCTGTTTAAGCATTAAGGAAAGGCTTCCTCTTCTGTCACTAGGATGCCTTCTAGATATGAAGGTTATTGTCCAGAGATCTGCCTGTGCCACAAGTAGCAGCAGCTTAAGACATGGGGCTGTGTACTTCTCAGAATGCTAAGGTTTCACATTTTAAATGGAATTTGAAAATACAGAAAAGGAAACTAAAGAGAGTGCAGTAATAATGGTTATTAAAAAAACTAGGAAAACAAAAGTTACCCTTATCTGTTCATCATATTTAATGGAGCGTCCACTCTCCCAGTCAAATCCAAATCTCATCAGGTGAATGACCAAGACACTAGGTAATGATTTAATACAGGTCCTTTTCACTGTTGTTCTCTAAAGAGAAGCAAAACCCAATTATTTCCACGAAGATGATAAAACATCAAAGTAATTAATACAGAGGTCATAGATTTGTACAGGGCTTTACCATCTGTGTGAATACAAGTCATGACACAATCTAATGGAAGTAACAGCAGGAGGTTAATACTGATCTTATATAAAACACAAAACATGAATAACAAATTAACCTATTTTTTTAAAAGGGCAAATATAATACCTTTTCTTTACACTTTTCGCAGTAATACGCATTACTTCCCTCGAGAACTTCACCTCTAACAAACTGGTCCAAAGAAATTTCCAAACTCTGACAGGAAGTAACTCCTAGATTGAGAGCCATGAAAGCTTCTTCACGCTCATATCTTGAATAGCAAACAACAGAAAAACCATGATCAACAATGGAATGAAAAAATATTGAAATTAGCACAATACTTGAGGCTAAACCTAGAACTACATTCATAATCAGTATAATTAACACATACCTTCCCTCATCCTTCTAAAGGTAAACTACCAAATAAAAAAGCCAAATTTTGACCACTCAGAACTGCTTAAAATTAAGAATTTCAACAAAGAAACTTTAGAAATGAAAGAATTTAATTAATTTCTTTAATTAAATTAAAGAAATTTAATTCAAAAAACATATATAGATCCATTAGGAGATATATCTGCAAGCCTCTCAATGAATAAAAAATCTACACCATATTAGAAGAATCATTCAAAAAAGATGATGGTTATCTTTTTGATGTCAGTGTTATTTTCACTAACCTGTGAGGACAGTCTTTACAGATTTTCTGATCAGAATAGATGCCCTGAAAAGTATTCTTAAAGATTTGGTCTCTCCCCATTTTCTGTTGAAATACAAAGTTAAAATTTCAGTTCACACCTTTAGAACTTTTAGGTTGTTTATACGGAATTTTATTTAGACCTAAGCTAAAGCACAGATTTTAATTTACCCAACAAAATAAAATTAGTCGGCTTGGTAGTTTAAGCTGTGAACTAATGAAAGAATTACAACCCACAGACCCACTGTCAGAGTAACGTAAATAATCAGAAAAGGAAGAGCAGAGCTGTCAGCCACACTGACGAAGGACGGCACTCTCCATGATGATCTGAGTCCTTCTCCCCTTGCCAGTCACTGAGCTAGCAGTAACTCTCCATGATCTCTTCTTTTTTCTTGTGGGCAGAATGCTACCAATTTTTAAGTTACTTTATTTTGGGCTCCGCGCAGCAGAAGCAGAGTCCGGACCACTGGGTCACCAGAGAAATCCCTGTACTTTATCTTTCTTTAAAAGAAACAGGTAGCTTGTGCCTTCTGATGGGAGGAGAGGTAATGCTGGCAGTGATGGGAGGCTGTCTGTATCTGAGAAGGCGACGCCACTCAGGAAGTTTGTGACATGTTTTACTGGGTAGAGGTAGGAAGCTCTGGGTCACATAACCACAAACAACTTCTGAATGTGGTCCTTTCATTCCCTTTGACAAAGCAAGACAGCTCTGTGCGGGGCCATCGGTTCACTGCCGATAGCAGCACTGCTGTGAGGCAAGGTTACTTCAACGAAGACACATAGTATGTATCTACAAATAGCTATTACTATGGGATATAGGTTAAGAATTATATACAAGTGTCAGATGAATTAAGAAAATAAATGTATAATCTATAGTGTTCTGTATATTCTGATATTCAAACCCAGATGAACTTAATTACAGTTGTGGTGTTAAAGAATCACCTTCTGATTTGTACTCCCAAATTCTAAAGTGCTGTTCTCATGCTAGACTTTGAGAGAATGAGAGGGAAAAACGCAAGTTTTTTCTACCTTGAGGTACTCATCCATCTGATCGATGAGACTGGTGAAGAACTCATATGCATCCTGCTGTTCTCTCACATAAAGTTCTTTGTTCCACATCTTGAAAATCTATGTAACAAGAAATAAATACATTGTTGAAGGGAAAATAGCATTTTCTGAATATGGTAGAAAAGGAATGCGAGAGTCCTTAACTGCTTCTAAAAATCAAGTTCACTATTAGAATATAAAAGTTTTTACTGATGTGAAATTAGCTTGCATTCAGCCATCTATGTTTTTCCTCAGTCTCTTTATAATAATAAGGGTATGAAACCATATAGGGTGAGATTTAAGGTCAAGGAACAGAAAGTTTCTCTCTTAGAAACTATCCAACCTATGGGGGAAATATAAGGCAAAACATAATACAGCAATGCTTTAAAAGAATATTCTTTATTTAGAGGTATTAGTGAAATCGGCATATGTTCAGAGGAATAATTCGAACAAATATTTCAGACAGACAAGTAAGAATAAGGGGAAATAGTCCAAACAATTAACACTAGCAAATCTCTAGAAATTATATAAATGACTATTCTCAACATTCTGATCATGTGAAGAATGGTAAAGATATTTCTTTTATAGGTTCTTGGCAATGGCATTAGTCTAGAGTTAATAAACATGAGACTGTTATCACTAGAGAAAGAATGTAGCCACATTCCAAATAGCTAACATCTTTCAATCTAAAGAGTTACTGGGTGAGATACCTTCCAAAAGTTCTCTGGTACATAGTACTGTAGTTTGCTTTCCATCAAATGCCCAAAAAGAGACTGCACTTGGTAGAATACACTATCATCCGGATTGTCCGTGTCATCATCCACTGAAAGTAATGACTAAAAAGAAATTAAATGTATTAAATTAGAAATATTCAACCACTTTCAGAAAACTATGATTTCTATACCGCAAGTACCCACATTGTTCTTTCAGAATGGCATGTGTGTTTAGTTGTGGCTACAACTCTGCATATGTTTAGCTTCAACACTTCTAGCTAGTATAATAATGAACAATTCATCTCTGAGCTTCTGTTCGGTTATGAAAAACTGAAACTAATAATACCAGGATCTTTACAAGAAATTAGTATGACATAATGACACAGAATATTCTCAAAACTATTTACTGCTATATCATAACCTACTAGTAGATTATTACAAAGTACAAATGACAGAGTCTAACTATTTCTAAAACAGAAGAAACATTAATAGCTTTATGGCATAGAATTTGAGAATACTTTCAGGAACTAAAAAATCACATTAGGTCAAATTCATCTGTCAAACAGGCAGAATGAGACCTCAGCAGATTTATAAAAGTTTACGAACAATGTCATCTATACAGACTTCAGAAGCTACTACAGAATCTCTGAGTATGTCTAGTTTTAGTAAACCCCAAAATTCAATATATGAACATGGAACAGTTCTCAGGCACACACATTTATGAAACGAAACAGAAAAGAGGAAGGAAGTCACCTCTGGGAGACCAGGTTGCATATATAGCTGCTGGAAGACCGCATTCATGTAACACGTAGCACCACCATTCCTCAGCCCCACAAACCCTGAGCTGGACCTGCTATCCACAGGGGGAAGGTACTAGGAAAGAAAGGAGTAGAAACGTAGAGACAGAGTTAGTATCTTGGCCACCAGCAGACTTCCACACAGCTACGTCAGATATCCCACAGGAAAAGAGAGAAACTTGCAAATGTATCCATCCAGTGTATCAACGAGCTATGGTAGCAAACCCATACCCACAAAGCATCTCTACAGATGCAATGCAATTCTAAAACAACTATCTTAGTGTTTCCATTTAGTTCCTAAAATACCTCCCATATATGAAGCATGTATTTGCATATTCACTATGTAGTGATGCATTTAGTCACTTCATTATCATTCAACAAATACTTCTTTAGAGTACCCTGTGCCAGGTATATGAGAGAGCAGAAATATATTTGCTCTTTGATCTCAAGGAGCTTACATTATATAGTAGGGTAGACATTAATTAAAAATATTGATACATATTTTCAAACTGAGGTAGTACTTTGAAAAGTAGGAAAGGTTCTGTGAAGTGTTTACTACGAAGAATCTTAACATGTCTGGATGGTCAAGGAAGGCTCATATTCCTTCTCTTACTTTCTGAGAAGGTAACATTCTTCTACTGAACTTCCTCTAATAAGCATGCAATTAAAAAAATGTGTAAATACTGTAGCATTTTACTTTAGGATGTTTTGCAATAATGCAGATTCTAATATAGTGTTTTTCTAGGTAGAAATAATTTAGAAAAGGCATCCTGAATAAAGTTCAACATGGCACTTCTCCAAGTGAAAACGGATACTGTAGTGACACACTCTGAAATGTGATTACAGTAGAATTTGGTGTGAATACTATGACCAGAACCATATTTTATCTGTTTATATCAAGCACCTGCATCCATGTAATAACTAACAAACTGACAAGACCCTGGAGGCCTTCTGGACTGAAAGGAATTGCTAAATATCATATACTTTTCATTAACATTCAACATATACTTAGAGCAAGGTGATTTTTATGATCTAATTAACACTGTAATTTATTTGCAGTCTAAAGCGCAGATTAAAAAAAAAGTTGCAAAACAAGAAAAAACTTGTTCCACAGTGGTAAAAGTGTATTTATATGACAAATATTTTCTTGATTATGCTGATATAATCCCTGGCTTACTGAAGTAAGACTGTCATTTTAATCTGATTATTAAATGCATGTAAAACTTAAAGCAGAGCATACAATAAGCATTATAAACTAAACAGTTCATACCAAAACAGCTCCCAATTTATGCACACATTTCACTTTGCAAGTACTATTTCCTTTATTTAGAACACCTCACTTCTTTCCCTGTCTAACTATTTCACAGTACTCAGCTCAGGCATCCAAAAGGGTGAGACTGCCTCTGCATGTTAGTGGAGGATGCTTTAAAAGTGTCCTTCTGCCTGGTCTGGTGCTCCAGGGGAAATATCTGCAGCTCGTTTCCCTCTTGCAGATGTTGACATAGCTTCTCATGTCTGAAATGACTTTCCCACCTTGCCTCAGTTGGCTCACTACTGTTAAGGGCTCTATTTAAAATGCTATAATTTCTGAGAAGCTTTCTAAAATACCACCATCTGGTGTCAAAGTGCCTCTGTTAGCAGAGCATTCAGGATATACCTCTATCTAAGGGCTGGAATCACATCTTCATTTTTGAGCTCCAGAAGCCTATAGTGCCTCAATGCATGGTAAACTCAATAAATCTTAGTTGAATTTAAGTGAACACAGACTAGATTGTGCCAGAGCCAGTGTTTGTTTGAGTTTGTAGCCCTGTCACTGTACCAAGCATAGTTTCTCAAAAAATAGGTTGAAATGCTAGTTTATACTGTGAATAATTATCACTTGACTAAAAAATGTCTCCTTTTTTTGGGACTTCCCTTGTAGCCCAGCAATGAAGAATCTGCCTGCCAAAGCAGAGGACATGGGTTCTATCCCTGGTCTGGGGAAGATTTCACAAGACTAGTGGCAACTGGGCACGTGAGCCACAACTGCTGAAGTCACTGCTCTAGAGCCTGTGGGCTGTAACTACTGAGCCCATGCTCCACAACTACTGAAGCCCAGGCATCTAGAGACCGTGCTCCATGGCAAGAGAAGTCACTGCAATGAAAAGTCTGCACCGCAACGAGAGAGTAGCCCCCACTTGGCCACGACTAGAGAAAGCCCTGTGTAGCAACGAAGACCCAGAGCAGCCAAAGATAAATAAGTAAATAAAAAATAAAAATTAAAAAGTTCTTTTTTTAATTAAAAGGGTACCATTTAGTAATGTATTAGGATAATACACTAGAGATTACAGCTAATTTGAGTATGTGAACATGATAAGCAAAGGAATAACCTGACTTTCTTTGTGACTAGGATAATGCAAACATAGTTTTAAAATACTATGTTTAAAAAAGAGCTCATTCTAAAAAAAATTAAGTGTATCAGGGTCTAGAAAACTTACATCAAACTCCTTGGTAAGAGCAGGATCAGGTTGATGATGCATAGAAAGTAGTTCTTTTGTAATAATTTGAAGATTTGACGGTGAGCTATCAGCCAGCATGACAAGGACTTCGTAGGCTGCCAATCGGCTATTCACTGTACTACACCTAAAAACAAAAGACACAAGTGAATTTCAACAGTGAATAGCTTACTTAAGTCGCTCATTAAATTAAACCAACATTTGAAATGAAAATATAAGAGGTGCAATCTCTAAAACAGGGTTAAGTCAGAACCCAGGAATCTAGTGGGAGGTGATCAGGTAACAAAGGAAGAGACCATGAACAGAGGAAGGATGATTGTGATTTAGAGCTAAATATCTTCTTGGCCTGATGATAAAGTAGCAAATCCTTCCATTATGACTCCAGAATACTCTTATCTAAAGGATGGATTAGCAAGAATATAAAGAGTCTGAAAACTTTACCAAAAAATAACATGGAAACAACTATCTTTCAATCAAAATAGGTAGGAAGAAAAGTTTTTGTAGATAATACCCTGAAATTCAAATATCTACATGGCAGAAAGCTATACAAATCAGAATAGATGCCCATAAACCTCAAAGATACTGGTCAACTTTCTATTTTGCTGAAAATGTGGAGACAGAAATAGCTTGCCAACTTAGTGTGTTTATAAAGTGACAGTGAAAGATACCTAGCAAGCATTCTGCAGGAAACCAAAGGCTTCTTTACAACTTCCCCTTTAATAGAAGTCATTTGGGGGATGGACAGTAATTTCTCACTGTCACTTAAGACAACCATGTGTTTCTTAGGAGGTCGCAGGTTAGGAAGGATACACAGAAAAGAGGACATCCAACCTCTGAGAGAAACAATTATGGAATGGAGTGTAGGAGGTGTGTTCAAGAGGGGGCTGAGGGGCATGGAGATCAGAACTGCACCAGGCACTGAGGATACAGGCCATGGACCTGGCACTATCCTCTGCTTCTTAACTGCATTTCTGGGTTGCAAAGGACAGGTAAAGAATGAATAGAAGGTACCATATATATAAATCTATACATACATTAAGAAGTTCTTTTGTTGGTGTGATACAAGAATAGTATTACTTGTGAAGAGAGTTTCTGTGTATTTTAAATCTCTTGCTGGCTTTAGAATTTAGGTGGAAAAGGCTGTGAGTCACTGTGATAAATGAACACCATTCAGTACACCAGGGAGCAATGAAAACAAAGTGTTTCCTTTTCTATTCAAGGTACTGTATGTGATTTAAAATCACCTCCTTGTTGATGGATGTATTACTTTTACGATAATAAATACAAATGGAAGGATTCATGAAAAAAAACTTCAGTGAAAACTGCTGAAGATTTGTTTTCTCTGTTCACTGAAAACTGAGATAATCATGTGTTTCTACTGATTTAACAAAAGACTCTCGCAGATCTAGCACCAAATCTTCCAGAACAAGACTAGGGCAGGGGTAAGGACTGGGGTCACAGTGTGAAGGACACCCTGAGAGTTTTAATGAAGATTACCTAAAATAGATTTTGCTAATAAGGAACTTCTAGATAGAGAAATATCTATACATGATAAGACACCTCTTAAGATTTCATAAAATATTGCTTATTATGGCTTGCCCATTTCAATAACTACTGAAATTGTATGGGAATTTTTTTCACTGGTTAAATACCAAATCCTCAGTTTCTTCAGGATTACCTCAATTAACTCTGGTTTTCATGAGAAAAGAACAAAGTAAGTTAGGTTGAGAGCAAATAAGATGGCAGCTTGTAGCTGCGTCCTCCTCCCTCCAAGAACATAAATAGCACCCACGCAGGGTCGACTCTGTGAAAGGATCTTCCAAATTTCTACCCATAAAAACTGATAAAAAATTGGATTTTAAAATTACCATTGTAGTAAATCACTACCAGTTTTAATTATCAGGACACAGTCAATACTCAGCAAATTGCAGGGTTCATGCACTAAAGCAGCAACGCTTTTCTCCTCACAGAATCCCTCAAGACTCAGAGCCTAATTTACTCTGGAAGCAATTCTTAAACCCTCAGTTTCTCTCGGAATTTGTTACTGATCAAGTTAACATTCTTCCTCTTCCATCCTGATGACAGTATCAGTACTGGCACACTTGCTCGGCAATACTATGTGCAGCAGGCTTTATCCTAAGCCCCTTACATGCATTTCTTTACACAGAGGGTAATATCTTACAAGCGACACACACTCACAAGATGGAAGACAGACTCCAAGTTAAGAAAATCTCTTGGACTAAAGTTTCGAATTAGAATTTTTACCAAAACTGAACACAACGTGCATTTTCCATACTTTGGATGAAAGTCCTGTTGACTGATGGCGGCACTGCCAGCTGGAGAATGACTATTTAAAATAATTCTAGAAGCTCGGAAAAGGAAGTCATCTAACAATGGTTTAATGAGTGATGAACCTGGAATAGAGCATAATATTCATGTTGAGGATGAACACACATTTAATTCAAAGATCCTGTCTTGCACTTTCATATCAGAGCAGCAAAGGCACCTGCGGCCACCCAGTGGCAGGACACTCAATCTTACTTGATGCTTATTTTTTGAGCACTTACAGTACCTGGCAAAGCTCTGTGGGGCAGCAGGGTGGGGATGGGTGGGAAGAGTCAGGGAACAGGATACAAAGATATACAAGTGCAGGTACCTTCCTTTAAGAGCTGACAATAGAGGGAAAGGAGTTACACTTTCACTTAAGGAACACAAATGCCAAGAACACCACAAGGCAGATCGTTTGGGTGAATAATGTACTTTACTCTGGGCATAGGGGGAGTCCAAATAAAAGGTCTGAAAACTTTAAAAATCTGCAGGTAAAAATGATGTGCCCCATCTCACCCTGGTTTAGGATCACTCTTTTCTATGTATCCCCAGTAGCCAAGAAAAATTTTATAGAACTTAGTTTGTGTGATAGAAGTGATAATCAACATTTTGATTTGCTTTCTGAATATAATTTATAATACTGAATATGCTTTTACAAATTATATATGTATCCCACCACCCACGGGGCAGTGGGTGGGGTCTGCCTCTCCAGACAAGAATAATCTGTACAAGAGGTAAGATACACAATGGACTATATTTTATAAAGTATGTAACTGTAAAAAAGAGAAAAATCTATGATTTATTATTTTTTGTTACTAATAAGTTATGTGATCCAATTATTTTGAACACTATAAAATTCTCTATATGGTTTAATGACACAGATAAAATACACCTTACATTGGTTAGCTGCTAAAATTCCAGACAATCTCCTATTGTCTGAAGGGTGAGTTCTCTATGGAACACTTAGCACCTGTCTTATGTTCCCAATTTCACACAACACTATGGCAATACCTAAGCACTAAGGTACTCTGTCACATGATAAGATGAAGCAATAATTACCCAGCATTTCCTTTTCCGCCCCACAGAGTGAAAGAAGGGTCTTGATGAGCCGTAAGTGTCCCGCCAGTAAGATGTTGTCTGCTTCACTGGTCTCACATTCAGCTGTGCGATTGGGTTCAAAGTTATCCAGCCAGGTAATCTCATCTTCAAGCATGGTAGCTGGGCTGATTCTTAACTGCTCCATTTCTGAAGCTAAGATAGAAAAACCAGACAAAACAAAAAACACCCCATTTTGAAGAAAGAAGGATTTCTTTTCGGAGTCAAATCCTGAATTAAAGTAATCAAGCAGAGACAAGTCCCAATCTTTCATCTCACAGATTAGAGAAATCGTCACTGATGAACAGCAACTGCCCAGGGGACTATGGAGGCTCACACATGTCCATTCCTCCCCTGCCTCCTTCTCTCAGTCACAGATCAAACGGCCCTGAGTGCATCCTCTGTGGGTCATGGTGCTCGTGCTGGGGATACAAGCTGAAGGGGACAACCCTTGCTCTGAAGAAGCTCCTGTTTGGCGGGTGTGAGCAGATGTCCCAGGGAAGGAACCCTTCCAGGGCAGGAAGTGGTCAGTCAAGAGGTGAGAGGAAAGCCAGTGGTCTTGGAGTTTTACCTATGCCTAGGGAGTGGGGGGCTCTTCGGAGGAGAGAGGGGTGCACAGTGGGCGGCACGATCCAGGCTTCCAGACAATGAGCCAGCCTTGAGAGAACTACTCTGCTCTTTTGAATTTAGTATTTTGCTTTCCCCTCCAAACAAGGGTTGAAAATAAGATTCCGCAGTGGAAGCTGGGACTAGCAGGGAGAGTAGGAGTGATCAAACTCTCTTCCTGGTGCACTGGGGCCGCAGGCAAGCAGGGCCCCATGGGGTGAGATGGAAAGATACTTCTGGTGACCCTGTGTGTCCTGGTTTCCTCATTCACAGAGTGGGGCTATCACCCACACTGTAGTGGCTGTGTGGGAAGGGGCTAGTACAGGCACCGGCATGTGGACACTACCCCACAGATGGCAAGACTGCTCATTTCAAAACATAATCCCACTCTGCCCTCAGTATCAAAGAAGGGATCGTGGATCCCTTACTTGATGGCTCAATGGCACAGAAAAGGCTTCTACTAATAACCTGTTCATGCATTCTGAGGATGTACGTGTCCAGCCAATTCATGTGTCCAGTTCTCAAGCAGCAAAACAGAATACCCTCTGCAAGTCCAAGCCACAAAGCAAACCTTTTCGGGCTGCTGCTTGGTTGAAATATGCAGTGCCAAGCTATATGGACATGTAGTCCATCCACTTCTCTAGACAGTACAGGTCTTATTCCTGAATTAAGACACAGACTGCGTCATCTCAGGTTCCAACCAAACCAATGTCACCATGGTGCTCAGAGTACTCTGTCCTCAGCTTCTGAGGGGCGCTCATGAAACCCAGGATGGGGTCTGCTTTAGAGATGCTGCTGAGGCTCCTCAGTCGCTCTCCCTCTATGTGTCCATTACCTGAAGACCTTTGTGTTGTTTCTTTTAGGTTCTGTGTTTCTTTTGAGAAACCATTCTGCTTCTTTCTCTAGGGTACTGAGAACAACCAAAGAAATGCGATTCCCCTTTTACCTTTGTTCTCTAGGAACCTCACAACCTAATTCTAGGAGGTATTTTTTTTAACCTCCTGGGCTTGACATTCTTTTCCAATCAATGCTTTCGTTGATTCTGACTTTCATTTTATTTATATTTACTTATTATAAATCTTCCCTATAAGCTTTGTGTAAAGGGTAGGAAATAAAATTAACAAACTCTTGATTGGAACAACTAAAATTCAGAGCATTCAAACTAGTATTTGCATTATATAAGAGTAAGTACAGATGACTAAAATCTAAACACTCTAACAACAGTGTTTCTAACAATGATACTGCAAGTCACCTAACACTAAACAATTACCTGACTTCCATCACTCACTTCTATTACTATCAACATATCACAACAGAGCTTCCCTCTTTTCCTTCAAACCTTCCAAACTGTCAGAAATGACTGTAATGGAGAAAGACTCTTCCTAACAATTCTGTATCAGTATGATTAAAATATGAGCCTTTGACAATTTTTAATATCAACAAATCTCAATACATTAATGGCTGGACATATTATAGGAGAAGAGCTAATTGGTACATGGGGTTACATACTACTGTAAAATATTTTCAAGAGAATAAAATTCAACTTTAAACAATAATCATAAAGTTGTTTATATCTCAGATATATTAAGTCAGATTTAGAAATGTCTGTTTGGCTTTCTTTTCTAGTTCTCCTCAAACCCTCCCCTGACATAAATCAGTTAGACATATACTTACTTGTCAGGTCATCTAATAGTTGGCACCTCAGATCAAAATACTCCATGCACTGGGATAACAGTCTAAAAAATAGATAGATTTGAATGATCAAAAAGAGGCTGATTTGAAAATTAAAAAAATTCCTTATAAGAATTAATGAAACATGAATAAGATAATTTTCCTAAGCATAAAATAACTACATTAATTCAACTTAAGTATTTCAGCAAGACACACACTAGTGATTTTACTTATACAGATATAATAAAGGAATAATAGTGTAAAGAGAAGAAACTTACTAAATCTATCACATTTTGTAATGATGTACACACTGACTGCATACATAATCCACTGATTACATTCACTGTTCAAATATTAACTGATACACACTAAGCACCTACTACATGCTTGGAACTGTTTCAGGAGACCAATGAACAAGAAACAATGGAGACAGACAACAGATGAAAAATACATACATATGTCAATTGGTGACAGAGCTAAGAAGCAAAATAAAGTGGATAAAAGAAGAAAGAAAAAGGTAAATTCTTTTTTCTAAGATGATCAATGAAGCTTTTTTTTTTTGGCAATTACTGTAATGAAGAGCACAGGTTTACACTTTAAAGTAAGGTGGACCTTACTTTTAATCCTGGCTCCACTACCTATGGCTCAGACAGTGAAGAATTTGCCTGCAATGAGAGAGACCTGATTCTATCCAGGTCTGTACCCGGGGTTCAGAAGATACCCAGGAGAAGGGAATGGCTGCCAACCCCAGTACTCTTGCCTGGAGAACCCCACGGAGAGAGAAACCTGGTGGGCTACAGTCCACAGGGTCACTGAGTGACTAACACTTTCATCTTCTACTACGTAACAGCTGGGTGTCCAGGGACTACGTGTTTTAGTTTTCTTAGTTTCCTGATTTCTAGTATATGTGCTGCCAAAGCGAGCACAGTTTCCTGATTTCTAAATGCTTACCAGAGTATTAGAAATAGACGTGCAAACATATATACAAACATAAAGAGCTCAAGAATGCACTAATGATGAGACTACAAATGAACCAAGAATTATGATTATTAAAAAAGTGGCGATAATAAAACTGCCAAGCTCATTTGGCTACTGTGAAGATTAAATGATAAATATATGCAAAGAATTGAGCATATTGTGAGGCACATAATCAGCCCATAACTGCTATTATCACCATTATTATAGCTTACTACTTAAGCACAACAGCTTATTACTTGGAAATGGTTTACACATTTCAACTAAAGAATCATTGAGCTTACTAGTTAACAAAAGGATCATCTGATTTTAGAAATCTTTTAACTAGGAAAAACTGGAATACTAAAGTAAAAAATCTACAAGGGCAAAAAAAGAGAAGTTTCTATAACTTTTAATTCACATCTTTGTCAGGGAAAAATCATTCTCTGAAATTTGGCCTTATACTATTTAAGAAGAATTAATTTTCATTGCCAGAAATATACAACTATATCTAATTTAGGTTAAATGGGGTCAGCTGTAACATAACTCTAAATTTTAGTTAACTTTTTAACTTTAAAGTCACTCAAAATTATCTTGTCTCAGAAACCAAAATCTTAAATTTCTTCCTTATTTATAAATTTATAAAGTTTAAAATAGCTTAAATGCTTCAAAACAATATTTGAGACTTAGATATGTAGGCCAGGAATCTCCATATATGAGATTATAAGATCGTACTATGACCAACTGTATACTAACAAATCGGATAACCTAGATGAAATGGAAAATCCTTAGAAGCATAACACTTGGAAGACTGAATGAGGAAGAAACAGTGATTGTATACTATCACTAACAAGAACACTGAATCAATAAAAAAACCTATCAACAAAGAAAATTCTTGGACCAAATGGCTGCACTGGTAAATTCCATTCAACATTTAAAGAAGAATCAACACCAACCCTTCTCAAACTTTTCCCAAAAAATGGAAGAGGAAGGAACACTTCCTAGCAAATCTAATTTGGCAGTAACATTTGAAGAATTAAACACCATCAACAACTGAGACTAATATCTGGAATGCAAGGATGGTTCAAAATACGAAAACCAATCAATGAATATACTACATTAACAGAATGAAGGAAAAAAAAACCCCACAATTACTTTGATTAACACAGAAAAAATGACAAAATTTAATGCCTTTTCATGCTAGAATTACTAGACAAAGGAGGAGCATAAGAATGAGAGAAACTATATGCAAATCATGTATGTAATAAGGGATTAATATTCAGAATATATAAAGAACAACAACAAAAAATGGAAAACCTAACTTAAAAATAAGAAAAAAGACTTGAACAGACATTTCCCCAAAGAAGATATACAAATGGCCAACAAGCACACAATAAGATACTCAAAATCACTAATCACTAGAGAAATGCAAATGAAAACCCCAAGGTGCCACTTCACACTCATCAGGGTAGTTATAATCAAAAGCAAACAGAAAACAAGTGTTGGCAAGAATGTGGAGAATATGGAACACTTATACATTGCTGGTGGGAGAGTAAAATGCTACAGCTACTGTGGAAACAATGTGGTGGTTCCTCAAAAAAATCAAGCACGGAATTATTACATGACCCAGCAATTCTACTTCTGGGCATATACACAAAAGAACCAAAAGCAGGACTCAAGATGGTATCCATATACTCATGGTTGATATTAGCATTATTTATACCAGCTAAAAGATGGAAACCAAACGTCCACCTATGGGTAATAACTCCAGAAAGAAGGAAGGGATGGAGCCAAAGCAAAAACAACACCCAGTTGTGCATGGGAATGGTGATAGAAGCAAGGTCCAATGCTGTAAAGAGCAATATTGCATAGGAACCTGGAATGTTAGGTCCATGAATCAAGGCAAATTGGAAGTGGTCAAACAGGAGATGGCAAGAGTCAACGTCAACATTCTAGCAATCAGTGAACTAAAAGGGAATGAAATGGCTGACTAACTCAGATGACCATTATATCTATTACTGTGGGCAGGAATCCCTTAGAAGAAATGGTGTAGCCATCATAGTCAACAAAAGTCTGAAATGCAGTAATTGGATGCAATCTCAAAAGAAACAGAATGGTCTCTGTTTGTTTCCAAGGCAAACCATTCAATATCACAGTAATCCAAGTCTATGCCCCAACCAGTAATGCTGAAGAAGCTGAAGCGGAACGGTTCTATGAAGACCTACAAGACCTTCTAGAACTAATACCCAAAAAAGATGTCCTTTTCATTATAGGGGACTGGAATGCAAAAGTAGGAAGTCAAGAAACACCTGGAATAACAGGCAAATTTGGCCGTGGAGTACAGAATGAGGCAGCACAAAGGCTAATAGAGTTCTTCCAAGAGAAAGCACTGGTCATAGCAAACACCCTCTTCCAACAACACAAGAGAAGACTCTACACATGGACATCACCAGATGGCCAACACTGAAATCAGACTGATTATATTCTTTGCAGCCAAAGATGGAGAAGCTCTACACAGTCAGCAAAAAGACTGGGAGCTGACTGTGGCTCAGATCATGAACTCCTTATTGCCAAGTTCAGACTTAAATTGAAGAAAGTAGGGAAAACCACTAGACCATTCAGGTATGACCTAAATCAAACCCCTTATGATTATACAGTGGAAGTGAGAAATAGATGGAAGGGACTAGATCTGATAGAGTGCCTGATGAACTATGGATAGAGGTTCGTGACATTGTATAGGAGACAGGGATCAAGACCATCCCCAAGAAAAAGAGATGCAAAAAAAGCAAAATGGCTGTCTGAGGAGGCCTTACAAACAGCTGTGAAAAGAAGAAAAGCAAAAAGCAAAGGAGAAAAGGAAAGATATACCCATTTGAATGCAGAGTTCCAAAAAATAGCAAGGAGCGATAAGAAAGCCTTCCTCAGTGATCAGTGCAAAGAAATAGAGGAAAACAATAGAATGGGAAAGAGTAGAGGTCTCTTCAAGAAAATTAGAGATACCAAGGGAACACTTCATGCAAAGATGGGCTCAATAAAGGACAGAATGGTAGGGACCTAACAGAAACAGAAGATATTAAGAAGAGGTGGCAAGAATACACAGAAGAACTGTAGAAAAAAGATCTTCATGACCCAGATCATCACGAAGGTGTGATCACTCATCTAGAATCAGACATCCTGGAATATGAAGTCAAGTGGGCTTTAGGAAGCATCCCTACGAACAAAGCTAGTGGACGTGATGGAATTCCAGTTGAGCTATTTCAAATCCTAAAAGATGATGCTGTGAAAGTGCTGCACTCAATATGCCAGCAAATTTGGAAAACTCAGCAGTGGCCACAGGACTAGAAAAGGTCAGTTTTCATTCCAATCCCAAAGAAAGGCAATGTCAAAGAATGCTCAAACTACCACACAATTGCACTCATCTCACACGCTAGTAAAATGATGCTCAAAATTCTCCAAGCCAGGCTTCAGCAATACATGAAGTGTGAACTTCCAGATTTTCAAGCTGGTTTTACAAAAGGCAGAGGAACCAGAGATCAAATTGCCAACATTCGCTGGATCACTGAAAAAGCAAGAGAGTTCCAGAAAAACATCTATTTCTGCTTCATTGACTATGCCAAAGCCTTTGACTGTAGATCACAACAAACTGGAAAATTCTGAGAGAGATGGGAATACCAGAACACCTGACCTGCCTCTTGAGAAAGCTGTATGCAGGTCAGGAAGCAACAGTTAGAACTGGACATGGAACAACAGACTGGTTCCAAATAGGAAAAGGAGTACATCAAGGCTGTATACTGTCACCCTGCTAATTTAACTTATATGCATAGTACATCATGAGAAACGCTGGGCTGGAGGAAGCACAGGATGAAATCAAGATTGCTGGGAGAAATATCAATAACCTCAGATATGCAGATGACACCACCCTTATGGCAGAAAGTGAAGAACTAAAGAGCCTCTTGATGAAAGTGAAAGAGGACAGTGGAAAAAGTTGGCTTAAAGCTCAACGTTCAGAAAACTAAGATCATGACATTTGGTCCCATAACTTCATGGCAAATAGATGGGGAAACAGTGGAAACAGTGTCTGACTTTACTTTTTTGGGCTACAAATTCAGTGCAGATGGTGACTGCAGCCATGAAATAAAAAGACGCTTACTCCTTGGAAGAAAAGTTATGACCAACTTAGACAGCATATTAAAAAGCAGAGACATTACTTTGCCAACAAAGGTCCGTCTAATCAAGGTCATGGTTTTTCCAGTAGTCATGTACGGATGTGAGAGTTGGACTATAAAGAAAGCGGAGTGCTGAAGAATTGATGCTTTTGAACTGTGGTGTTGGAGAAGACACTTGAGAATCCCTTAGACTGCAAGGAGACTGGGTGTTCATTGGAAGGACTGATGTTGAAGCTGAAACTCCAATACTTTGGCCACCTGATGCAAAGAGCTGACTCATTTGAAAAGACCCTGATGCTGGGAAAGACTGAGGGCAGGAGGAGAAGGTGATGACACAGGATGAGATGGTTGGGTGGCATCACCGACTCAATGGACATTAGTTTGGGTGGACTCTGGAAGTTGGTGATGGACTGGGAGGCCTGGCATGCTGCAGTTCATGGAGTTGCAAAGAGTCAGACACGACTGAGTGACTGAACTGAACTGAACTGATGGGTGAATGGATAAACAAAGTATGATATATACAAAAAGGAATTATCATTCAGTCTTAAATAGAAATGAAACCCTGACTCACGCTGTAACATGGATGAATCTTGAAAATATTATGGTAAGTTAAATAAGCTAGATAGAAAAGGACAAATATTGTATGATTTCCCTTTTATGAGGTACCTAGAATAGTCAAATTTATAGATATAAATTAAGGTGGTAGTTGCTGGTGCCTGGAGGAAGGAGGGAAATGAATGAGGTATTATTGTTTAATGGGAGAAGAATTTCAGTTTGAGATGATGGAAAAATTCTGGAAACAGACAGTGCTGATGGTTACACAAAAATGTGTATCTGCTTAATTTCACTAAGTCACACTCCTAAAATGGGTAAAATTGTAAATTTTATGTTATGCATATTCTACCACAGTAAAAGAAAAAAAAAATCTAGTAAATCTAAAACAATCATCATCTACAAGATTGTCTCTGAACTATCTCATCATGTCCTTTGTCCATTTTTCCATTTGGCTGTTGGTCTTTTTTGGCTTATAATATCTCTTCTTATGTATTATCAAAATTAGTTTGCTGTCTGTCACATATGTTCATATGTTATAAGTCTATATAGTCGGTTTAACTGTCTTTTGACTCAGGTATATTTTTTTTTCATAGAAAATTTTAATTTTTCAGAGTCAAATTTACCAGTCTTGCATTTAGTGACTTCTTACTGGGTATAGACTTCCAGTTTAGAATGCTAAAGAGCTTGGCTGCACAACAAGGTGAATACACTTAATGTTACTGCCCTGCATAGTTAAAAATGGTTATAATATTAAATGTTCTGTTATGGATCTTCCCAAACCAAGGATTGAACCTGGGTCTCCCACACTGTAGGCAGATTTTCTACCTGTGCCACCAGGGAAGCCCCTATGTATATTTTACTACACTGAAAAAAAAAAAAAGACCAAGTTTGGTATTTGGAGTTTTTGTTGCTGTTCAGTCACTTAGTTGGGCCTGACTCTCTGCAATCCCATGGACTGCAACATGCCAGGCTTCCCTGTCCTTCACTGCCTCCCAGAGTTTGCTCAAACTCATGTCCATTGAGCCGGTGATGCCTTCCAATCATCTCATCCTCTGTCATCCCCTTCTCCTGCCCTGAATCTTGCCCAGCATCAGCGTCTTTTCCAATGAATAAGCTCTTCATATCAGGTGGCCAAAGTATTGGAGTTTCAGCATTAGTCCTGCCAATGAACATTCAGGGTTGATTTCCTTTAGGATTGACTGGTTTGAATTCCTTGATGTTCAAGGGACTCTCAAAAGTCTTCTTCAACACCACAGTTCAAACGTGTCAGTTCTTCGGCGCTCAGCTTTCTTTATACTCCAACTCTCCGTACATGACTACTGGAAAACCATGGCTTTGACTAGATGGACCTTTGTTGGCAAAGTGATATCTCTGCTTTTTATATACTGTCTAGGTTTGTCATAGCTTTTCTTCCAAGGAGCTAGTATATTTTAACTTCATGGCTGCAGTCACCGTCCACAGTGATTTTGGAGCCCAAAAACAAAGTCTGTCACTGTTTCCACTGTTTCCCCATCTACTTGCCATGAAGTGATGGGACCACATGCCATGATCTTAGTTTTTTGAATGCTGAGTTTTAAGCCAGCTTTTTCACTCTCCTCTTTCACCTTCATCAAGGGGCTCTTTAAATCCTCTGCTTTCTGCCATTAGGATGGTGTCATCTGCATATCTGAGGTTATTAATATTTCTCCTGGCAATCTTGATTCCAGCCTAAGCTTCACCCAGCCCAGCATTTCACATGTTGTACTCTGCTACGTCAGCATTCTTGCCTTGAGAACCCCATGAACAGTATGAAAAGGCAAAGCGATACAACACTGAAAGATGAACCCCCTAGGATGGTTAGGTGTCCAATATGATACTGGAGAAGAATAGAGAAAGAGCTCCGGAAGGAATGAAGAGGCTGAGCTGAAGTGGAAGTGGCGCCCAGTTGCAGATGTGTCTGGTGGTATTTGGAGTAGCTCTAACATTTCTACTAAGGGCTTTAATTTATGAAGCATATACAAAGGAAAATATATACTGATTTCACAAATCTATGTGGCATCTTCTAAGCCCCAGAGCAAGGGCTTGCTGGTAAAGCTGAGCTGGAGAAAGTGGCCTAAACTTGAGGTCAATGTGGGATTTCTGACCTCCCAGCCTGCGCCTACACTGGGGCACCCTTGTAGGCAGGCTTGTCTCAGGAGGTAAGATGGGGCAGGCAGGATGGTTTTACTCATGTCTCTGAACCTGGACCACAAGACTCCTTCCATGTCCAGGATGTATAAACCCAAGAAAAAGCTAGAAGGATACCCTAGTACCTCTAGACATGGAGTTATAAAGTATGCTAAAAATGTGATGTACAGGTGTGAACTCTTTTACACAGTGATATGGCTCAAATAATACAGTTTCTCAACCACCAGGTGAGTCTTCTTTCTGGGGTAGGTGGACCAGGTAGGGTGGAGGTAGAAGCTGGGGTGGTGGAGAGAGAGCCTGGTATTGTTTCTTCTAACTCTTTGGTCCTAAATGGGAGGAAAACCTGAAATGTCTTCTTTCAAGGTATACATGCTGGAAGAGAGAAGGAGAGATTCTGTCATCTCAGTCATGTACTGTGGCCTGCAGGGGAGCAGTACACAGATCATTGCTCCTTCTCTGTATGACGTGAATGCTTTCATCTTTATTACATACCTCTGATTGACTCCTCGCATGATACTGGTTGGGGACCAGAGAGGCAGCTGAGCAGTGAGAATCACACCCAGCAGAAACTGATTTGGCTTCTGCACATCTGGGTGGGCTGAAGTATCTGTCTGACTCAGAGTGTACAGCTGATCGCAGGCAACACGGCGAATCTGAAATCACATTTTTAGTGGCCAAGGGTGTGTGTACATCAACCAACATACAGACTGCTTAAAAAATGATTTTCCTCCAAAGTCCATACTCTTGAATGATGCTATAAGGGTGTGAGCATTTCAATCAGTAAAGTTTACATTGAATAAACTAGGGCTAATTTAAATCAAGTGTGGTCTGGATACTGATTTCCCAAATTATTCTAGTACTGTGTTCTACTCTGGGCTTCCCTGGTGGCTCAGATGGTAAAGAATCCACCTACAATATGGGAGACCTGGGTTTGATCCCTGGGTTGGGAAGATCCCCTGAAGGAGGGCATGGCAATCCACTCCAGTGTTCTTGCCTGGAAAAGAGCATGGACAGAGGAGCCTGGCGGGCTACAGCCATGGAGCTACAGCCAGTCAGACATGGCTGAGTGTCTGAGCACGGCACATTCTATTCTAATCAACAGGCTTATAATTTAATGCAAATGAAAATTAGGAAAACAAAACACACACCAAAAAATCCCCTCTTCTTCATGTGTCTCAAAGTTAATTTTCAAGGTCATGTACGAAAATGAGAATTCTAAGATCTAATGAAAGTTCACGGCCTGAAGTTTGTCTTTCTTGATTTGGGCCAACAAGTTAATGTTTAATGTTGGCTGACTTGGCCAGCTATGGATGTTGAACACTGTAAGATTTTGTTTGTTATAAATAAACACAATTAATCATAGCACTAGTCTCTTAACTTTTGGTGAAATACAGACAAGAAAGGAAGATGATAGTCTAAGTGGTCACTTTGCTGTCATAGTGGTCTGTAGCACTCTGTATGATTCTCAAGAGGACCAAACACCACTCCTTCTAACTCCCCACAATGTCACAGGTATCCAGAGAGCCTAGGCAGAGTAAGACCAAAGGTGTTTTGTATTGAGTAATCCTTACCTCAGCACTTGGTGATCCAAGCAGAATATCAATGATAAAATCAGCAACACAAGGCAAGTTATAGAAAGAGGCTGATGGTAAGAATAAGGAGAATGGGGACAGGGGAGGAAACTAAGTTAGGAAATGCATTTTCAAAATTTCAGAAGTTTAGAATAACTTCTTACCCTTAACTATCGTAGACATCATCTCTTCTTCCACACAGAATCAAATTCAGTACTTCCATAACTGCCCCGTGACTGTCTAAGGTGCTTGGGAGCGGGACTGTGTTTAAGTAATCTCTGTACCCTCACTTTTCCCCACAATGTCTTGTGCTCACTAGTGACAGAACAAATATGTCTTGCTTTGATAAACTATCAATACCTCTGAACTATAAAATGTACTCTACAATAAACTTACAAATGCTGAAAAAGCTTGAAGTTATAATTTTTCTAATCCTGATTTGAAAATATTACTGTAATCAAACAACTGTAGGAAACTGAACGAAAAGTATGGCTTATGTTCAATAGTATTTCACAGTGACTTAGACTTCTCATATATAAGCCTTTAAAAGCAAATCTGACCAAGGTAAATCATTTTTGATACTGTACTGTCAAATTTTTGATACTTTACTGTCCTATAAACATGTAACTTTTTCTGTATGTTTTTGATATCTTATATGATGAATTTGGATGTTATACCAAATAATACATAATGATCACCAATTCTATGTAACAGGCAGTCTGAACCAGTAATAATAGCAATGAATTGGGCTCCATGTGTTGGTACCATTTTTAAAGTCAAGTTGTTAAGACCTCGTCCCTGAATAAGTATTTATTGAGGGCCTACTATGCACCACACAGTGTTTGGGTGTTAAGGATTCATTAGGAAACAAACGGGACAAAAGTCTGTTTTTATGGAGCTTACCATCTAGGTGGGGAGGGGATAATGACAATAAACATGATAAGCAGAGAAATCTTACTGTATGCTGTAGTGATAAGTGATATAGAAAAAAACAACAACAAAGAGTCTATAGGTGAATGCTGAGAGGTGAGGATTGTGATTTCGATAAAAAAAGGTGGGGGAAGTGGGAATAGCCAGTGCAAGGGCCCTGAGGCAGGCATGTGCCTGAGTGTCTGGGAATAGCTAGGAAGCAAGGGTGGCTGAAGCATGGTGGGTGAGGCAGGGAGTGCAAGAGGTGAAGGCACATAGGCATCATGGGCGTGGATGACGTCAGGCCTAGAAGGCTTTAGGGAAGATTTGGCTTTCACTCAATGTGAACGGAGGCCACTGCAAGGCTGTAAAGAGACGAGTGATACGATCTGACTTACATTTTAGCGGGTCCACTCTGGTTACTGTGTGGAGAATAAACTGCAAGGGTAGAAGCAGGGAGATTAGTCAGGGCACTGCTGCTATAATCAAAGTAAGAGATGATGGAGGAGCAGAGGGTACTAACAGCAAAGGTGGCCTAACGGGAGGAATACGTTAGAGTCTGAAGAAGGATGTGTTGGCAGATTAGAAGTAGGGTGTAAAGAAAGGAATCCTGGAGTAGGATGACTCCAAGAATGAAAACGCTATTAAGATGGGCAATCTCTTGGGTGGTGTGGGCCAGACCAGCGTTCAGTTCTGGACATGTTAAGTTCAGGAAGTCTATTATATCTAAGTAGAGATGTCAGGGGAGGGGTCCAGGCCACAGAGGTGAATTTAAGTGTTACTGACACATATAGGGAATTTAAGGCTGTGAACGTGGATGTGATTATGTGGTGAGAATGAGTGTAGACAGAGGGAAAAAAGTGACCAGGGGCCAAGCCTTGGGGAATCTAATGCTAAAAATATGTTTAGCAATAGCCCCAGTTTGTCAAAACCAACAATAAAGATAAAAGAACATATCTTAAGTTTCATAATTTCTAATACTGGAGTTGTTATCACTTTAGGGATTGATATATAATTCTACTTCTATAGCTTATGACCTACAGTTTTGGCTTGCTTTAATTCCTCCACTAGATGGTAAGCTCTCCTGGACAGCAGACATACTGCCTTTGTAACATCAACTGTGTAACCTTGTATACAGAGGTGCTCAATAAACACTTGTTCAGAATTTAAGTACTCTAGCACTATTCTTACCTATTCCACATGCCAACTTTCCCCTTTTCCATTTCTATTAACATGACCTTATCTATGAACGGATATAAATAATTCCCAACAGAAACCTGGCCTTTTCCTAAAACACGAATGGCAAGCAGGCCTCCTGCATACCCAGCTGTTGGCTCCGAAGCTGCAGGCAGGTGACAAGAAGGGACAAAGCCTCTCCGGCAATCAGCGAGTCTTTGGTGGACACGGACTGTTGTCGTACACAGATGCCCGCATGCAAGGCCACTGGGTCCCCTTCACTTCCGGAGCTGCAGTTGCTTCCTGGAAACATACAAAACAGAAGGTTACTGCAGGCTTACTGTGGATCCCACAGGACCCTCGAGATTATAACCCTTTAATGTGTCCATAATCCTCAAGTGAAGGTAAAGAGTTCAAGAAGACAGTCTGGTCTAAGAAACAAGAGAGAGTTAATCATTTGCTTCGACCCCCACTGCTTTCTTTGTACTTAAAACACATTTGGAAGCTGAAAAATACATTAATGACGAAAAACTAGTTTTAGGTGCCAGAAGCAAGAACAGTGCAATTTTGGAGGCATGTGGGAGTCTTCCTGGGTTATTAGAAATGTTTCTTATCTTGATCTAATGGGTTATACTTATGTAAAAACCCTAAAACTCCTGTACATTTAACATTTCTGCACTTTACTGTGTGTACGTCATACAGTTTAAAAGCTCTATTATTAGTGAGTTATATATTATTAGTGAGTTATATACACAGCAGGGAAACCAAATGAAGCTAAGAAATAAAGCTTTTTATAAAGGCCTAACAGAAAATAACAGGCCAAACCAAGAAAATGATTTTTCCAGGTAAATATTCTAGATGAATTTTTATTACAGCCATAATTATTGGCCTCATGACACTTTTATACACAGCAAGCTAAAACTCTGCTTGGTTTCTCTATTTATTTTGCATTTATAAACTTTTTTCTTAGTATGACATATATAAATGGAGGATGTATATACATACATGTATACTTGAATATGCACAAATCTTGAGGGTTTATTTAGCTTGATGAATTTCTGTTCGTGCTCAAAAGCAAGAGAAACGGCTTTCTCCTTTCTGTGACTCTGAGTAACCTATATAAAGATGATTCTTATAACTACTTCCTGTTCAATATTCTAATTATTTTACCCTTCTTAATCAGTACCTGAACTGCTGAGTCTGTTTCGAATTCCAGCAGGAAACAGAGAATTACTTTCTTTAATTGGTTGGCTACTCCCAACAAGGTCAAGCCGTCCTGCAGCTGCAGCCCATGACAGTCGCATGAAACAAGCCACGGTAGATGTAAAATCACTGACTTCCATTGTCTAAGGAAGCAAGAAAGAGTGCCGTGAGTCCTTGAACACACCCCACTGACTTCAATAACCTCCTCTCGGTCTCCGTTTGCAGTGTCATTTCCCTCCAACATCATCCACAAGACAGACAGCCTTTTTCATGCTTTTGTACTGTTCAGACTTATAACTGCCTCTCTGCTACTCACAATACAGATTCTGCTCTCCAGGTTCTGGCTTCAAATCACCCATTTTGTTGTCACCATTTCCCCTCCTCCACACACAGCATCTTGTCTATGTGAACCACCACATGACTTCCTACACAGGCTTCTTTTCTAATTGCTCCCACTTCCCTTTTACCTGAACAACTTTCCTCTCTCTAAATGAATCCATGGAAATGGAATCACTACCCATTTTTAAAGGCTCAGCCCCTCCTACATGGAATCCTTGTGACAGCCACACGCGAAGGACTATTCCATTCTCCTCAGGCCTTGAAGAATGTCTTCCTTTGGTAGTCGTCTTACAACAGTTGATGTTTTCCACCTGAATTACAGCGGATTCTGCACTAGCTGATCTCTTTCTTACTTACTGTAAGCTCCTCGAGGATGATACTCACATCAGTAATTTTTATGTCTGCATAGGCCCCCCCCACCAGCGGTGCCTTCTGTACAGGAGGCCCCTGGGTCTCCTTGAACAAACACAAGCCACTTACTTGTATTGCGACTCGTGCGGCAGGAATGATCTCCTCAACTCTGATGGAAGACCGGTCAGACACTGACAGCTGTCGGTAGGATGACTTCTCTGGGGTGCCACATAAGGACATCTGCCTGCTCGTCTGCCGGCTGACGTTTCGGAATGGGCGAGAAGAAAGTGCTTCTATGCCGTCTTTGGTGAGGTCTTCATCCAATAAAGTTGGCAATGTTTGTCCCACGAGTAAAAATCTTAAACGGAAATAAGCTAGGCTAAGCCAAGGTCATTTCATACTATGTTTAAAGGATGGGATCTGGAAGAAAGAGTCAAGAGTAGCCATCTGAGAGTAACCAACAGATTTACGTACCTTGCCAGTTGTAGACAGATGGAATAAACGCCCTGCCTCGTTTCATAGTCTACTTCTGATGGGATGGAATCCCTCTGCATGACATTTACAACCAAACTTCAAAAAAAAGAAAAAAGAAAAGGCAAGATATTTAAGACTTCTGTTTCTTTCACAGGCAATTTTCTGTAAGTATTTTAATGCTCACCAATTACTTCAAATTCTTACATGATCCTTACATATAAATGGATCACACAGATTCCTATCACAATGATTTCTTATGGTACATATAACCTTCCAGGTTCAGAATTAAAATTAGACTCCTTTCTTAGCCAAAAAGATAACCAATACAGAGTGTTTTAGATAGTTTTCCGTCTCATTAATTTGTTTGAGTTCAACAATCAATTGCTATCTTGGTATTAGAAGAGCTACCAATTCACCAGTATATCTAGAATTGGTGTATTCTACAAAGCTTGTTTTTCACATCTACCATCACCTACATTGCTATAAAAGCTTCCCAACTCTTCTTCTTGCTTCTACTCTTGAAGCTTCACCTCCAAAATCTATTCTCAAAAGATCAACCAGAATGATCCCTTAAAAATGGGGGTATGGGATTCCTCTGGACAAAATCCTCCTATGGTTTCCTATTCCCTTCACAGTAGCCTGTAAAATCCTGCATACCCTGACCTCTGGTATCTCTGTAACCTCACGTCCCCTACCCTTCTCCCCTCACTCAGCCCCAATCACACTAGCCCCCTGCTGGCTTTGCAGACACCAGGTTGACCCTCGCAGGGGCTTGCGTGGATGCTCCGCTGGACAGCTTTCCCCAGCATCTCCATATCTTGCTCCCTCACCTCCTTCCAGTCTTTGTAAAATATCCCCCCATCAGTGAAGTGTTCTCTGATCACTGCACTGAACCAGCTACCCGCTCTTCTTTGTCTTATTTCTTCTCTACAGTTCGTATCACCACCTGACATACACTTTTACTTCTTTATGGCTTGCCTTCCCTTCTGGACTATCATCTTCACAAAGACATGGATTTTTGTTTCATCTACGCACTGCTCTGTTTCTAGTACTTAGAAATATGCCGAGCATGTATACTGACATTCAGAAATAAGTCAGAATTAAAATGCCTTTGTTAGTACAGCTCTGTAATCGGCTGAGTGATCTGAAATGAGTTTTCACCCTCTATTTCCACTTCTGTTTCTAGTCCCCTTGATCTCTGCAAGGTCTAACCCAACCTCTCTTCCCTGAAGGCCTCCAGCAGAATTCCTTCAATTACCCTCTGCTCAAATTTCAAGCTGGCTTTCACTCTTTCCTTTCCTGAAGGAGATGGCATGCCTACTTTCTTTATGGAGCATATCTTCCAACTGCAGTGGAACTTAGCCCCATTGGTTTATCACCCTCCTTTATCTTTATTCTTTTCTTTTTCATTGGTCCCTTTTACCCAGCTCACAATGAGAACCAAGGCTTCTCCAAGTTAAAATCAAAACAGAAAAGCAAACTTTCTCTTCAGTTACCCTATCCTTCAAACTTCAGTCACCTCCTTTCTCTCACTCATACAGCAGAGATTTCCACTTACTGATTCTGCTTCCCATCCTTAAACTTGCCACTCAACACTTGGCAGGGGCTCAGGCTGCAAGGCTTTCCTTATACACGATGCCTCCTTGAACATCCAGTGCCATTCTCCACTTCTCTCAAGAGCATCATGTCCAAACCATCGCCTTCATGTGACTCACAGAGATCTTTTGCACAATCAAATTCACTTCTCTTGACTTTCTCAGTTTCCTCCATCTTATCTTCATTCCCCACAGGGACTAAAGAGTTATTCACTCATTCTCCCAAGCTAGAAATCAGAGGGCCATTTAAAAAATGTTTCTTACTCTATATTTGTGTTTCCCAGGTGGCTCAGTGGTAAAGAATCCACCTGCCAATGCAGAAGACACAGGTTTGATCCCTGCATTGGGAAGATCCCCTGGAGAAGGAAATGGCAATCCATTCCAGTATATTCTTGCCTGGGAAATCCTATGGCCAGAGGAGCCTGGTGAGCTAGTCCAAGGAGCTGCAAAAGTTGGACATGACCTAGAGACTAAACAGCAACAACAATCTTACATCTAATCATAAAGACTTGCCTATTTCATCTTATAAATGTCTCTCTACCACTGTCCCAAATTTAGAACCTGTCATCTCTTCTCTGGAACACTGTAACAGTTCTTACAGTTCTCCCTGCCTCCAGTCTCTTCCACCTGTATTCATCTTTTCTACTGCAGTCAGAGTAACTGTACTAGCTAACTCCGGGCTTGGACACCTCCTGTTTTTACAAGCTAATGCTGAAATTCCTCACTATGACCCCCTCTTCACAGTCTCTCTCCTTTATCCTTTGTTCTAGTCTCACCAGGCAACTGTAGTTCCCAAGACAGCCCCTTGCCTTCCATGCTTTCACTCACCCCACCCCTCCTCTGGCTGAGAATGTCCTTACCCCCTGAGTTACCTAGAGAATGTGACTCATCTCTGTTTCCAGCTCACATGTCACTTTCAGGGAAGCATCTCCTAATCATATTAACCCAAGCAAACCTTACCATTTAACCACAGCTTTCTTCCCCACTTCATCCCACAAAGCACCTTTTATAAGCTGCTGTTTCAATACCGGCAATAACCATTTGTTTTTTGTTAAACCCTGAGGCTCTCAGTTCAGTTCAGTTCAGTCGCTCAGTCGTGTCTGACTCTTTGAGACTCCATGAACCGCAGCACGCCAGGCCTCCCTGTCCATCACCAACTCCTGCAGTCCACCTAAACCCATGTCCACTGAGACGGTGATGCCACCCAACCATCTCATCCTCTGTCGTCCCCTTCTCCTCCTGCCCTCAATCATCTCCAGCATCAGGGTCTTTTCAAATGAGTCAGCTCTTCGCAACAGGAGGCCAAAGTACTGGAGTTCCAGCTTCAGTATCAGTCCTTCTAATGAACACCTAGGACTGATCTCCTTTAGGATGGACTGGTTGGATCTCCTTGCAGTCCAAGGGACTCTCAAGTGTGTTCGCTAACATTACAGTTCAAAATCATCAATTCTTCTGCACACAGCTTGCTTTATAGTCCAACTCTCACATCCATACACAACCAGTGGAAAAACCATAGCCTTGACTAGACGGACCTTTGTTGGCAAAGTAGTGTCTCTGCTTTTTATTTACTTTTTTTGGTCCCTGTTTTTTAAAATGCTGTCTAGGTTGGTCATAACTTTCCTTCCAAGGAGTAAGTATCTTTTAATTTCATGGCTGCAGTCACCATCTGCAGTGATTTTGGAGCCCAAGAAAATAAAGTCAGCCACTGTTTCCCCATCTATTTGCCATGAAGTGATAGGACTGGATGCTATGATCTTAGTTTTCTGAATGTTGAGCTTTAAGCCAACTTTTTCACTCTCCTCTTTCACTTTCATCAAGAGGTTCTTTAGTTCTTCTTCACTTTCTGCCATAAGGGTGGTGTCATCTGCATATCTGAGGTTATTGATATTTCTCCCAGCAATCTTGATTTCATCCTGTGCTTCCTTGAGCCCAGCATTTCTTATGATGTACTCTGCAAATAAGTTAAAAAAGCAGGGTGACAATATACAGCCTTGATGTACTCCTTTTCCTATGTGGAACCAGTCTGTTGTTCCATGTCCAGTTCTAACTGTTGCTTCCTGACCTGCATACAGCTTTCTCAAGAGGCAGGTCAGGTGTTCTGGTATTCCCATCTCTCTCAGAATTTTCCACAGTTTGTTGTGATCCACAGTCAAAGGCTTTGGCATAGTCAATGAAGCAGAAATAGATGTTTTTCTGGAACTCTCTTGCTTTTTCGATGATCCAGCGGATGCTGGCAATTTGATGTCTGGTTCCTCTGCCTTTACTAAAACCAGCTTGAACATCTGGAAGTTCACGCTTCATGTATTGCTGAAGCCTGGCTTGGAGAATTTTGAGCATCACTTTACTAGTGTGTGAGATGAGGGCAATTGTGTGGTATTTCGAGCATTCTTTGGCATTTCCTTTCTTTGGGACTGGAATGAAAACTGACCTTTTCCAGTCCTGTGGCCACTGCTGAGTTTTCCAAATTTGCTGGCATATTGAGCGCAGCACTTTCACAGCATCATCTTTCAGGATTTGAAAGAGCTCAGCTGGAATTCCATCACGTCCACTAGCTTTGTTCACAGGGATGCTTCCTAAGGCTCACTTGACTTCACATTCCAGAATGTCTGATTCTAGATTTGTGATCACACCATTGTGATTATCTGGGTCATGAAGATTTTTTTTTGTAGAGTTCTTCTGTGTATTCTTGCCACCTCTTCTTAATATCTCCTGTTTCTATTAGATCCCTACAATTTCTGTCCTTTATTGAGCCCATCTTTGCATGAAATGTTCCCTTGGTATCTCCAATTTTCTTGAAGAGATCTCTAGTCTTTCTCATTTTATGGTTTTTCTCTATTTCTTTGCATTGATTAGTGAGGAAGACTTTCTTATCGCTCCTTGCTATTCTTTGGAACTCTGCATTCAAATGGGAATATCTTTCCTTTTCTCCTTTGCTTTTTGCTTTTCTTCTTTTCACAGCTGTTTGTAAGGCCTCCTCAGACAGCCATTTTGCTTTTTTGCATTTCTTTTTCTTGGGGATAGTCTTGATTCCTATCTCCTGTACAATGTCACAAACCTCTGTCCATAGTTCATCAGGCACTCCAGCAGATCTAGTCCCTTCCATCTATTTCTCACTTCCACTGTATAGTCATAAGGGATTTGATTTAGGTCATACCTGAATGGTCTAGTGGTCTTCCCCACTTTCTTCAATTTAAGTCTAAATTTGGCAATAAGGAGTGCATGATCTCAGCCACAGTCAGCTCTTTGTCTTGTTTTCGCTGACTGTATCGAGCTTCTACATCTTTGGCTGCAAAGAATATAATCAATCTGATTTTGGTGTCAACCATCCATGTGTAGAGTCTTCTCTTGTATTGTTGGAAGAGGGTGTTTGCTATGACCAGTGCATTCTCTTGGCAGAACTCTATTAGCCTTTACCCTGCTTCATTCTGTACTCCAAGGCCAAATATGCCGGTTACTCCAGGTGTTTCTTGACTTCCTACTTTTGCATTCCAGTCCCCTATAATGAAAAGGACATCTTTTTTGGGTGTTAGTTCTAGAAGGTCTTGTAGGTCTTCATAGAACTGTTCAGCTTCAGCTTCTTTAGCGTTATTGGTCGGGGCATAGACTTGGATTACCATGATATTGAATGGTTTGCCTTGGAAACGAAGAGAGATCATTCTGTCATTTTTGAGACTGCATCCAATTACTGCATTTCCGACTCTTTTGTTGAATATGTTGGCTACTCCACTTCTTCTAAAGGATTCCTGCCCACAGTAGTAGATATAATGGTCATCTGAGTTAAATTCACCCATTGCACTCCATCTTAGTTCATTGATTCCTAGAATGTCGACGTTCACTCTTGTCATCTCCTGTTTGACCACTTCCAATTTGCCTTGACTCATGGACCTAACATTCCAGGTTCCTATGCAATATTTCTCTTTACAGCATTGAACCTTGATTCTATCACCATTCCCATGCACAACTGGGTTGTTTTTGCTTTGGCTCCATCCCTTCATTCTTTCCAGAGTTATTTCTCCACTGATCTCCAGTAGCATATTGGGCACCTACCAACCTGGGGAGTTCATCTTTCAGTGTCCTATCTTTTTGTCTTTTCATACTGTTCATGGGGTTCTCAAGGCAAGAATACTGAAGTGGTTTGCCATTCCCTTTTCCAGTGGATCACATTTTGTCAGACCTCTCCACCATGACCCATCCGTCTTGGGTGGCCCCACACGGTATGGCTTAGTTTCATTGAGTTAGACAAGGCTGTGTGATCAGATTGGCTAGTTGTCTGATTGTAGTTTCAGTCTGTCTGCTCTCTGATGCCCTCTCTTGGTGCCTACCGTCTTACTTGAGAGCCTTGAAGCGCTCAAGGGCAGCGTTAATATCTTTGCACCCCCAGCACTAATGCCTTGCACAACACAGATTACTAAGAATCAGATCCACCTTATCTCAAACTGATGTGGGAGTGACCAGAAAAAGCACAGTCTCCTCTCCTCTTGAGAATTTCCCCCACTACCAAAGGGGAAAGACACATGCTTCTGTCAGTTTTCCAAATAATCAAAAGTCATTAAAACATTTAAAAATATTCTAAAGACAGAAACATCATTCCTCTTATTACGACTCCCATAATACTTCAAATAATGCCTTGTAGGCATAAATAAGGCCTGGCAGGAGAAGTTAACTAAAATAACTCTATTCATTTTCTGCAATTCATATAATACAATATTAAAACTCTAACCTCAAACCTCCTGCTTTGAGGAAGTTCTCACAAAACGATTTTGCACAATTTCTTGCCATGTCATCATCGGCTGTTGGCATGAGTTTGGAGCTTAGAACCTTGGAAAAAAGATAAAGTAAAATTAATCATCCCAACATTTCCAGTAGAAATTATTCCTTTATACCAAGTAAAGCAATCAGACAACTTGAGTCAGAATCTCTTTAATTGCTGCTCTTTTCTACCTCCAGTAGTATAAGAAGGCTGATGTTTCTCAAATAGTTCCATTTACTCAGCATGAAAAATCCTTCTGTTTTTAGAGAGCTAGTATGTTCCTCTTTCATGAAACCAGCAAATGTGAATGTCTCAGGCTCCCAGACTTACCTAAGAGCATGTAACATTATGTGTTATGCTGCTATGTTCTAGAAAAAGTATATAAACTGAAGTTTTATAATAGTCCATTTATTATAAATGCTGGATGAGTTTCCTGATAATGATTCTAGCTCCTATTTACTGAGCAACTGTCTACAAGGTACTAGGCATAAAATGAAGTACTTAATTTACTCTCTCTCTTACTCTCACTCTGCAAGGCATAGGTATTTTATTCTACAGGGAAAGACTGAGACCTGAGAGGTTATGTGACCTCCCTGCTGAGGTCACACAGTTAGAATTTGAGTCTAGATGGGTCTCACTCTAACATCCATGCCCTTTTTATGACACTGCAGTATCCACCTAAAGGAAACTATTTTCACATAAATAATCAACCTGTAGTATGATACTACAAGTTTAGCTCACATCCTAGTTTTACCACCGACTAGTTGAGAGAGCTCACATACGTAATTTTCCTTTTTGCCTTGGTTTTCTCATCGGGTAAATGAGGACAATGATTACCTTTACCAGGGTATTGTTTGTAAGTAAGATAACACAAACTTAAGGTCCTTAGAATGAGCACTGGCACAAGCTAAGTGCCCAGTAACTGCCTCAGTATTCCCAAGGTTTTAGTCTAGATGTAATTCAAGGTCCTTTCCCTAAAAAATATGATTCTATGAACTTATTAGTAATTTTAAGAGCTTAGATTCTTAATGTGATATTTTTGTCTAAAGATGCTTTCTTCCTAAGTTGCCCTTTGGGAAACTGGTTCGCCAGCTTCAGACCACAAGCATCATTCAGGAGAATGGGAACTTTCTGCTATCCTAATGCTTTCTGAGTGTTGACAGCCACAGGCACACACTCCGCATGCTTAATGGACAGCAACTTAGTGATGGTGGAAGGTTTTCCCAAAGGAATGGGTACTTCGAATATCCACTCTGAATTTCCCTAGAAGGCAAGCATAAGTTAAAGATAGAAATGCAAGGACACGAACCTTTCAGGTTAACAGTAAAAGAAGTGCTTTGGGAGTCTTAGGGTTTCTACATTTTCTATAGAGCAAAAGGCAACCTATCAGAGGAATTCCCAGTTAATCTGAAGTTCTAAAATAAGACTAGGGATAATTTACACAGTCCTTTGGCTCTGAAATAATGCAATCTAAGTAGCTGATGACAAACCAGACGCACTGCTAGGTCAGTCAGATTTTCGGGGTGCTCTCAAATATGGGTGTTAAGATTTATACCTTAACTTTCTAAGACAATCATTCAAAAGCAAATAACAAATCTGGCAGCAATGCAAGATACAAATTTTATAAGACTGAATTAGCCAAAAATTTCTAGGTAATTTTCTGTTTTGGAATATTGTATGTGTTTTTAAATATTCACAAGAAATGAGGTCACACTTTATTTTTAAAATACATGCTAAATATTTTTTCCTTTTGGACCCAACAAATACTTTCATAAGAATGATTATTTTAAGGCAGCTATGAAACATTATCACAGCTCCACCATACAAACATATACATAATGAGTTAGGCATAAAAATGGGTGAATATGACTTTATACTCCAAATTAGACTGTCAGATGAAATAAAACTTTGAAAACATGCCTGAGCAGGTACTTTCTTGCCAATTGACCTTTGTTGTGATTCAAAACTTACTGAAGACAAACGGTCATTTGATAATTAAGGTTGTTTAGGCACTGATCTGGATTCCTCTATAAACAACTAACTAAATAAAACCATTTAAGGTAAAACAAAATCATTCAGGGCTTTATATTCCCTAGAACCTTAAGTGGCCTGTCCCATCACCTTCTAAAAGCAGGACAGTTTTCCACCAGCCACACCCTGCACAGTGCTTTGTTACCGCTGATTCCAGCACTCAGCCTATCCAGCCTCTCCTCTGTCTTACTCATAAGAACCTGGAGCAATTATCATGTCTTTTCAACTCTGTGGTAGTTAAGACTACCACAATGATTTGTAGATGGCAAATAATTAGTAAAGTTTACTGAACTGAATCTACTAATTTAAAGCTACTGTTAGGAAGAAGGGTAATAAAAATATTCTTTTGCTCACATACTTTTAATAAAATAGCTTTTCAAAAAAACCCTAAAATAATAATGTTGAATGTGTTTCCTGACAAACTACATATAAAGCTTCATTAATGGCAACAAATTGCAACAGCTTTTTAAAAAAGTTAGGATGCATTTAGTAACAAGGCTGAAGATTAATAACTGATGTTATAAACAATTGCAAAACTTCCAGAGGAAATTAATTACACATTTTTATACATTAGGCTTCCTAATCACATATTTACATACTATTTTATAACAATGTACACAGGTATAAGTTGGGGAAAAAAAGAGCATTTTCAAAGTCCAAAACAATAAAACACTTCAATTTATAGTCTATTTACTTATTTCTGACATCTGAAAGCATGAATCTTCAGACCAAAATGAATCTGTCAAAATTAAATTTAAAAAAATGAGGTTTCCTACTTCTAAGTTGTAGAGCACTCTGAAGGTGGACATTCCTGGAGCGAAAGATCGAAAGAGACTTTCTAAAATTGAACTGGCGCTTGGCTGATGCTGCTGCTTAGAAGACAGGGACGGAGACTTTGAAGACTGAGAGCTTGCTTCAGACAGTAACGTTTTCTAAGTATAAGATAATGAAAAAGGGACATAAATGAAGGAGAAACATTATCACTATATATTCTAATATTCTTTTCAACTTTAATATACTCAAATCATTGACATTTTCTAAAAGAATTAACCTCAAAGCCACATCACTCTTTAATTATTAACAAAGCACTGAACTCCATCACACAGATCATAAGTGCTCAACAGCATTCCATTCTATAGGAATGCCTCTCAGATTGTATTCTAAGCAACACTAGTGAGGTCATCCTAATTTATTTCCAGGTTTTTAAAATTTGTACTACTGAACTCTGATAATTAAATTATAAGACTGCAGAGTATTAGTTTTCAGAATTTTGGTTAGTTAGTTATAGTAATATAATTTATATTAGTTCCCTTCTCTCTCAAATTAATATATAAGGTATATGTGATAAGGTTCTGACCTGATCTAAATAATAATCACTGAAATACAAAATTCATAGCTTAGTTTTAACAATTTTGTTCTAAAGGAATTTATTCTGAAAATACAATTAAACAATATTATAAATAAAACAATTTTACTATAAACTCTTAAGGAACAAGATTCTAAAAATTAAACAAAAGGAACTTTAAAAATCAACTGTGAAAAAATTAAGTGATAACTTATTTATGCAAGCAACTCAAACATATGCAACAATCACACTCAGAGAGGCATCATGACAGAAGAAAAACATCACAGTCGAATGAGAACTACAGTCTGACCCTAGATGAGACACTTCATTACTCTGGGTTTGGGTTTCCTCAAAAAAAAACATGAAGGAGGGAGAAGCAGATGACATTAAAGGTTCTTCCAGTTCTAAAATTTGATGTCATTATTGAGTAGAGATAATTTAAAAGTCATCATGAAGTTCAGACTTCCATTTATAGGAAAGGTATTTTTCTAAGGAAAAAAATCTGTTATGGGAAGGATGATATAGTACGACCTTTATGTGATGCTATGTTGCATTTTTACTGAATCATGATATAAAATTTCCATGCCTGTTAAATAACTATCCAAGATACTCATACCTTTCTTCCTAAAGAATCAAGTTGATCAAGGGCTTCCTGAATGGCTGGATCAGTGGGTATCAAGAGCAGAAGCTTTCGTACTCGTAGAGTTATCCTGAAATTTTTCAAATGTGAAATTTTTTTTCTTAAAAGCCACAGTTTCAAATAAAAAATAGTCAAATTTAGAAGGGGATGTGAAGTGATATACATTTTGAGAGAACATTTATTTGGTCCCCTAACTTTAATAGCTTGCTCTCTTGCAAGCTTCACAAACATTTCTATTTACCTTGGCTCCTCTAGATTGGCCAGCTGGTAAAGCATGTCAAATACATTACACACAAGTGCCATCACCACACCAGGGAGGGATTTCTCCTGAGGGAAAAAGCAAAACAGAGACACAAACTTACAAAAGAATTTTCTCCTTTTCTAATCAAAGGTACAAACAATAAAATGACTGATTCTTAAAGACTGGCTACTGCAAAACTTGGGGCTTCCTTGGTGGCGCAGTGGTAAAGAATCTACCTGCAATGCAGGAGATGCCAATTCAACCCCTGGGTCGGAAGATCCTCTGGAGAAGGGAATGGCTACCCACTCCAGTATTCTGGCCTGGAGAATACTTTGGACAGAGGAGCCTGGTGGGCTATATAGTCCATAAGGTTGCAAAGGACTGGACATGACTGAGTGACTAACGCTTTCACTTTGAGTTCACTGTCTTAATATTGCTCAGAGTGGGATTTCATTCTTAAATTCTTACTACATGAAGAATACTCCTGTAATGCAGGAGACCCCGGTTTGATTCCTGGGTCGGGAAGATCCGCTGGAGAAGGGATAGGCTACCCACTCCAGAATTCTTGGGCTTCCCTTGTGGCTCAGCTGGTAAAGAATCAGCCTGCAATGTGGGAGACCTGGGTTCGATCCCTGGGTTGGGAAGATCCCCTGGAGAAAGGAAAGGCTACCCACTCCAGTATTCTGGCCTAGAGAATTCCATGGACTGGGTAGTCCATGGGGTTACAAAGAGTTGGACATGACCGAGTGACTTTCACTTTTACATATAAGTATAGTTAGTTTTTAAGAAACATCACAGTATTAACATTAACACTGCAGGCTTCAATGGTACCTATAATAAGACTATGCTCTCTACGTTTTAAAGAGACAGCCACACAAGGATCTTACATCTGTCATTAAATGAAAGAGCTGTATATAATAACCCTCTCCATTACTTATTTTTACTTCACATGAGTGCTGATTATCTTACTTTGTAGACTGTAAACGCGTAAAGGGGAGAATGTCTTTTGTCAGTTTTATAGCCCTGGTGCTGAGCTCAGTTCCTGGCACAGAGAAGGAACAAAAAACCTTGATTGATTCATAAAATCAGTCGACAAATACTGACTACCTATTATGTTCCACTACTGTTTTAGGTGCTGGAAATACAGTAGTGAGCAAAACAGACAGAGGTCTGCTCTCACAGAGCTTACATTTCACTGGGGAGAGAAAGAGGGACATTAAACAAGATGAATATTTTACATGGTATGTTAGATGGAAATAAAGCAGGGAAGGGAAATGAAATGTGCAGGAGTAGGAACAGGCTGAAAGTTTAGATGGGATCGCTAAGAAGGCTCACCGAGAAGGCTACATCTGAGTGAGAGCTGGAGGAAGTGAGAAAGAACCTGGGTATCAGGAAAGAACATGCCTGGGTACTGGGGAAGAACAAGGGCACAGGCTCTGCTGTGTTTGAGGACCAACACTGAGGCCGCTGCAGCCGGAATGGTGAGAGGGAGGGTGGATCCTGGGGGAAGACCAGGGGAGTACGCCAAGTAGGCCCTGAAGGTCCCAGCAGACTCCGGCTCTTCCTCCTCATGAGGTGGGAGGTGCTGAAGACTCTGAACTGAGGAACGGCATAATCTGACTGGTCTGTAAGGAGATCACGGGATGCTGGGCGCCACACACGGGAGAGGCTGACCTGCTGTAAGGGCAGAGGCCCCGAGAGCAGAAGCAGCACTCCTGCCGCCCTCAGGCAGTGGCTGGGGCGCGACGGCTGCCTGCACCTGTGTGGACGCCGCGCAGGCAGAGAAGAGGAGCTGGCTTCTAGACGCAGATGTGTTTTAAAGATAGAGTCAACGATTTGGTGATGCACAGAGGTATGAGAGAAAGAAGGGACCCCAAGACACAGGCATGAATCCCTAGAAGAATAAAATAGGCATTATCTGAAACAGGACAAGACTGTGGGATGAAGAGGTTTGGGGTAGGAGCAGGTGGTGGGAAAGGGGGTAGCAGCTCAGTTTCAAAAGTTAGAATGGAGTGTCTATCACACATGTAGGAGGAGACGCTGTGTTGAGTAACTGGTTCCATGCATCAGACAGGAAAGAATCTGCCTGCAGTACAGGAGACTTGAGTTCCATCTCTGGGCTGGGAAGATCCCCTTGAGAAGGGACTGGCAGCCCACTCCAGTATCCTTGCCTGAAAAATCCCACGGACAGAGGAGCCCGATGGGCTACAGTCCATGGGGTCACAAAGAGTTGGACTAGACAGAGTGACTAACACAACAACCTATACTTCAAGCTAAAGGTAAAAATTGGGGTGTTATCAATGTACATATAATATATAAAGTTTTGAAACTGGATGAGATTCCTAAATAAGATTCCTAAATTAGCAAAGACAGAGGAGAGGTCAAAGGGCTGAGCCAGGGAACTTCTTTCCATAGAGATGAGGCAGATAAAGCAGCAGCAGAGGAGCCCCAAGAGGAAGACCTAGAGAGGGATGGAGAGCCCGGTGAGTCCTGGGTGACAGGTGGAGAAAGGATTTCAAGGGGAAATGACCACAGGGAGCAACTGCGGAGGTGTCGAGAAGATGAGGATCAAGGGGTGGACAAAACTTGTGGAGCCTGACTCTTCAAAAGGAGTCAAGAGACTCCAGACTCTTTCGGTGAGCTCTGCAGATTTGAAAAGGAGAGAACTGAGGGAAACTGAAGCTGAAGTTTGGGTGAAAAAGGTACTTTTAAAAGACGGCAGTAATAATACAGCACATTTGCCTGTTAATGGTAATGACCCAGTATAGGACAATCAATGAAGAGAGACGTAACAGAGCAGCAGCAAGCAGGGGCCAGGCAGAATCACTCAGACTCAGAGGAGCCTGGTTCCGAAGACTGACAAAGTACATAGTCGTCTCCCAACTAAATCCCAGCATTTCTGCGATACAGTTCTGAAGAGTCAGGACTTATGAGCAAAGGGCATAATCATCCAAACCTATATGGGCTGAAGGCAAAACTTCATGATGTTAAGTTCTTGTTTTGCACTTGAAGATTATCACTGGATACCTGTTCCATGGCGTATGATGAGCTGAACACCCCGCTGCTGCTGCTGCTGGAGCTGGTTGAGGAATCTGCGGAGCTCCCAGATGGTGTCCCACTGCCAGAAGTCTTCACTGTGAGGACTTGTTCATCGGAGAAGCCCAGCTGGTGGAGTAGTTTTTGATCTTTATTCACTGTCAGCTGCAGAAAGTGGTTTCTTAATTACTGAGAAGGAAAACAGAGGAGAATACGGGCAACAGACTACAGTGACACAAAATGTATTTACACCTACCAGACTGTCATTTGTAAATATCTGTATACTGTCCACTGGAGAGCACAACTGCTTGGCTATCTTCCACCGGACACTCCCTATGGTTTCATTACTGTGAGCCTGTAAGATGAAGTGAAACAATATTGTAATTCGCTTATCAATTAATTTAAACAACTAGTAGTGAGCACCTTATATGTACTGGGCACTGCTGCAGAAGCTGGGAACATAGCAGAGAACCAAGAGACAAGAACCCTTGCCCTCATGAGGCTTCCCCTCTGCAGTAATTAAACATTCTATTCAATATGTCACTCCCCATCACACATGTAATCAAATTTCAAATCCTTCCATTGCAGAGCCTTCCATTCTTCCCCTTCTCACTGTGCTCTAGTCACACCAGCCACTTTCCTTGCCACTGAATAAGACAAACAGACTCCCACCTCAGGACCTTTGTACCTGCTGCTCCCTTGGTATGGAAAGCTCCTCCCCAGAAATAACTTGCTCTGTCAATTCATTCAAGTGTCCATTCAAATGTGACCTCAGAGACATTCCCTGTCCATTCTAAAATATGTCATGTATACCCATCTGATTCTGTGGTATTCTTCTTAAATCTTTATAACACTCATTATCACCTGATATCATGTACTTACTTATGTATCTGCTTATACTCTATCAACTTCCTTTCACTTCAGATCTTTACTCTAAATATGTTTACTAAACAGCTTTTAGAATAGTCATTCAAGCTGCTATCTTAATCAATGATGTTCATATGAAAATAACAAGACAATATGGAAATGGCTTCAGAACTTAATGTAAACCTACCTCTACAGTGAAGGTATCTTTGGTAGACTCATAAGTAACGTTAAGAGTTAAAAGATGTCCATGGAATGAGGCACCATGAGGTAGAATAGTTCGGGGAACAGAGTAAAAATCCTTGAAAAAGACACAGCAAGTCAAACAAACAGCACAGTGCCACAGTTAAATGTCGCAAAAATATACTCCTAACAGACTGAGACTAAGTATAGGATGATAAAGTTGTTTTACAAAGAAGAGCGGCTTACCTCTATAGTGATCACGTAACGTTCTGCCAGAAGCAGTAATCGCTCAATTATTACAAGTTTAGTGGATCTATGAATTAAAAAACATTTTTTGAACATACTTGAAATGAATTGCTGACATGAGCTGAATTTCAGTCTCTTTCGCCAAAACCACAATCACATTTAGCCCTCACTGAAATCTGCAAAATTAAACTTCCCTTTTACTCAAGGGGGAAATGGTTCAAGCAGGTCACAGCTGTCACACACAGATGGAATAACAGGGGAGAACACGGCCCTGCCCCACATTTCCTTTTCTGTCCTTTTCTTTCTTTTTTTTTTTTAAAACAGTTGTTCCACAAATAGAAGGTCTGCGCTTCTTCTGGGTCTGCAGGCTAATATGTTTATCAATTCACCAAGAATGAACAGTGAGTTTGAACCTCATAATCTTACAACTAAAACATGCCATATAATTCTGTAAACACACAGAACCTGACAAAGTTTTGAACTGCCTGAAATTTAGAAGACAAATGCAAATCATTTAGTATGCCACAAATGAGAATTGCTGTTTACTTAGCTTATGAATGAGTCAGAAGAAAAAGGCCCCCACTCCCCGCAAAAAAAAAATGTTCATCTAGTTTATGTGACTATCCTGTATAGTTAAAACATATGCAGAATATGGTATCCCAAGGATTTTCAAAATAGTTAAGAAATCAACACACATCAAAAGAGAGAATCATCTTTGGAATAAAAAACACATAGCAAGGAAGTGTGGAGCTCTCAGACTCTGAAAATGAGACCTGAGGTCTCTTTAGGTCAGAGTTAAGGAATCTTACATATCGTCTGAAATAAGAGGACTCCAATATTCAGCAGCTTATACAGTGACAGCTCCACACTTTATTAAACACTACATGTGTTAACACTGACAGATGAAAATCCAAGTGCCTTCAAACACTTGATATTCCAGAAAAATACTTCATATAGGTGTATTTCTAAATCTCAGGCATGCTGATTAGCAGTACTGGAAATTTCACTTTAAAAAAGAGTTGGTTAGCACAGGTAATTATACTCAATATCTTGCAATAACCTGTAATGGAAAATAATATGGAAAAAATACACATATATAACTAAATCACTTTGCTATAAAGTGCTTTAAAGGCTTTAAAAAGAAAAGGAACATCCCCAACTGTAAATAAAGAGAAAGAAACACATGAAGTGATTCCAGAAGGAGAGACTCTATGGGCACCGACCACTGGAGGGCAGCAGAATAAGACCCAGAGAGGGAGCTCTCCTCTGAGCACCACTGATCTGGGGCTGCTCACCAGTAATGACTTGTTAAAATCCCACAGAAGTATTTTAGCTGCTTCAATTTAATTTTCTAAATATTCATCTATTCTCCTTACTATGCCAAAGAAGTACAGAAAATGCTGAACGCAAATTTCATTGACACATCTGAAAACACTCAACACAACAATGTTACTTAGAGGTGTCAATTCAAACTTTTAACACAATTATTTGAAAAATAATTTTAAGTACATAACATTTTAACTATGATTATATCATAATGTACATTGTTAATCAATATGCCACTTCATTTTGCCTGCACTGTTAGTGTCATGATTTGTCTATTCAAAAAGTTATGTCTAAGTAAATATTTCAAATTTGAAAAAATTATTCTTCATACAAAGACTATATCTTGGTTCAATCATAAAGAGTAGGCTACTCATATTACACAGAGTTAAAGTAAAGTGAATCAAATGATAAAATATATAACAGGGAATATATAATTTTCAAGGATATGACTATTTGAAAAATATATGAAATAAAATGAGGAGATGAATAATTAACTGAGAGATCTTCAAAGGAAGAAAAAAAGATTCCAACTTTCTTTTTAAGCTGACTTATCTTTGTGTGTTGTGTATCTGCTGTAACTTCTGTCATCGCTTACCTGTAAGGAGACTGGACTGATGTGGCTACAGTTGGCATGGCAGTTGCTGTCAGCATTTTTGTTGCTCTAGTCACAGCATGTGTCAGAGTGGGGCCACCAAGTGCTGAACTGGCTGCCTACGTAACAAGAAATTATTCTACATCAGGATTTCTCAACATCAGCTCTGCTGACATTTTGGGCTGGAAGCTGTTTTGTCATGGAAGACTGTCTTGGACTTGGTAGGATGTTTAGTGGCATTTCTGACTTGTATTCACCACCCACGGGCCACGAGGTACCGGCAGGACCTGTCTAGTGACAGCCAGAAGGTCTCTAGGCACTGCCAAATGTCCTCTGGGAGGTCAAATAATCTCCAACTGAGAGCGACTGTTCTACACATGTTATTACTTACACAGTATCTTATTTAGGGTACCTGAATACTTCAAGTGTTTTGATGATCACGTATTTGGATGTAAGTCACAACCTGGGAACTCCTGTACAGATTCATCGCCAGCATAGATTCATTACCAGAAAATTTAACTCTTTAACATTTGAGGGCAGTAGCATTTTATGCTTTTGGAACACTATTAGGTATTAAACTTCAACAAGCACTAGTTCGGAATGAAAGGATGAATGCTTAATACTTTAACCATCATGCTAGAAATAAGGCACTGGAAATACACATGAGATAGTATTACATCACAAGCTACTAATGGACAAAGACAACCAGTACCATCTACTACTGAGTGTGTTGCTGTGGCTTTTTAACAGCATTTATGATACAAATGAAATGACATATGAGGAATGATGGGAAAAGAAGCAAGTGTGTATATAAAATTTCTGGACCAAAAAAGGAGAAAAATAATCTATTGAAATGTGGAATGTACAAAAGACAGTTTTATACCCCAAAAGGAGGTGGGGAGTGAGGTGTGCCAGGGTAGGTGAAACAGGAAAGGGAGATGGTGGAGGGAGAAGGAATGATTTCCCATTAAGTTACGTTCATTTCTATATTGTGGGCATCAAGGCAAATGCCTGTTTCCTATGCCAACAATATGATACTGCTGGCAAATTCTTCCAACAGGATCCAGCCACAAATATCAGAACTATACATGATCTCAAAATACAAAATTATAAATGGAAAAAAAACTCAAGACATTTATTTCAAAAAAAGGTTAAATAAAATTTGCTACTTACTTCTAATCTTGTGTAGCAATCAGCAATGAATTTCTTATGTAATGATACAGAATCCTAAAAGGTAAGAGGTAAATGGAAACTAATGAGTCTACCATTTAGTTGTAATCATTATTAAGGATAAAATTTCAAAATAAAGAAGCTCAACTTTCAGGTATGCCGACTTATCAATTAAAAATACATTACTTTTTGTGTATGAGCACCTTTTCTCCTTACTTACCTTCTTTAACCTAGGATTTAGATTAATGTAACTGTAGTTTATAATTAACTGAATAGCCTCATTAGCAATTTCTTCATCAGGTGATTCCATGGCTATTTTCCAAATGAAATCCATTCCTATCAATTCCAGTTTTTCTACATACTGTTCAAAAGAAAAAAAAATTATAGCACATCAAGGTCACAAAAATACAATTATTTTCTGCTACATTGTAAATCCATACTTCTTACAGTTCACTATGAATTAAGGCTACAAAAACCAAGCTACACTTGAGAACATTATTATACAAAACAACAGTTTTATATAATAATTTTTGAATACAAAAAACAGCCAACAACAGAAACATTGGGCAACTTCCATGGAATCAGGACAGATAAGGAGATTTTTCTCCAGATGTTATCCTAAACTTAAGTTGCAACTCTACCCAGATGGGGCACTGAGGCAGACACATACAGGAATAACATGGGCACCCCCTGCAGGAGCTTTTCTTCAAAGGAGAGGGAGTCAAGCTAGAGGTGGTTACTAATCCTCAGGGCTCAATCTGGTCTTTGCAAAGCTCAGTTAGAAATGGCAAGATTGAGGGCTTACAAGATCTTGTAAAAATTCTAGGAAGTCGGGTCATGAATGAAACAGACCTGGAAAAAGAGTTATTTTTCGCCTTTTTAAAGCTACTCACGTAAATATAAACATAAGCTGTATACATTCTACAGATTCTCATTTTCCTGCTTCTTTCTCTGTTCTTAAAAATTTTCCCCCAAATCCTTGCCGCTGAGACCCCAGAACTGAAGATTTTGGTACGTTCTCAGGTAACTGTGAACTGTTGAATCTGAGAGGTAAGAAGCTGGGCTAGAACTATCCCTATTCTGCGTTCACCCAGCCACAGGAGGCCTCTCTTGCAGCAAAAAGCAGAGAGGAATCTGAGAAGTCACCTGTATGGGAAGGGGAATGCTCTCACACTCTGAGGAACTCTCTGAATGATGCAGGAGACTGCAATCAAGGAGGAGTCCATTCTTTTTAAAAAACATCATGTCTTCTTTCAATTAGAATACTTTTTTTTTTTTTTTTTTGCTGAATACCAAGTTTTACTAGATTATCCAAATTATCTAGATTTGAAAACAATGCTACTTACCAACTGAGCTCCTTGTCTTTTTAATCGATGATCACACAGGTTCACATTTTCAAAAAAAGTCTTAAATAAGTTAAAACCTGAAATTATAGAATGTCAGATAAATTCATGTACTCTTGGTACCACAGATAATCAATGAAAAGACACAGTATATCAAGAGGTAAAACTATAAAACTTTCAGGACAAAACAGGCACAAATCTTTAAGACTGTCAATTAGGCAATAGTCTCTTAGATATGGTATCAAAAACAAGCAACAATAATGACAAAAAATAAACGAACTTCATCAAAACTAAAAGCTTTTGTGCTTCAAAGGACTATTGTGAAAATGAAAAGCCAATCCACAGAACAGGACAAAATGTTTGTAAATCATGTTATTTGATAAGGAGTATGTAGAATACATAAAACAACCCTTAAAACCCAAAAATAAAAGGGCAAATAGCCCAATTTAAAGATGAGAAAGATTTTAATAGACATCTTTTCAAAGGGGATATCTAAGGGACCAAAGAGCCCAAGAATATCCTTAGTCATCAGGGAAATGCATATCAAAGGCCATGAGATTCCATCTCAAAACCAGTAGGATGGCTAAAATAAAAATGACAGTTTATAATTATTAGAGAAGATGTAGAGAAATCAAAACCTCATATACTGCTGGTGGGATTATAAAATGGTATAGCCACTTTGCAAAAAAGATTGGCAATTCCTCAAATGTTAATTATATCATACAGCAATTTCACTCCTTGGTAGATGGAAACTTGTACATGGATATTTACAGCAGTATTATTGACAATAACCAAAAGTGGTAACAACCTAGATGCCTATCCACACAATGTGTTATATCCATTCAATGAAGTGTTATCCAGTCATATGGAATGAAGTTTTGACACGTGCAAAAACCTGGGTGAACCTTGACCACATTGTGTCTCAGCGTGATCAAGAAGCCAAATACAAAAGGTGACATACTGCATGGTTCTATTTATCTAAAATGTCCATATCAGAATAACCTACAAGGACAACGAGCAGATGAGAGATTGTGGAAAGGGGAGAATGGAGAGTGACTACTACATAGTTTCTTTCTGGGGCAATGAAAATGTCCTGAGATTAAAAATGGTGAAGGTTGAACAACTTTGTGAATATACAAAAAACACTTCATGTACACTTTAAAAAAATAAATTCTACAGCATGCAAAATTCATATCAATAAGAAAAATTTCAAATAAAATAAACAACTGACAAAGAGGATTTCTATACTTGGACCAATTTTTACCTTAGATGAATCCTTTTTGTACTAAGTAATTTCATGAAAACAGTTTGACAACTATTAGGCTGTGTAATTTAAAAATACCATTCATGCAAAAAGAAATCCATCTGTTTATATAAACATGTTTATATAGATATATCTTTATATGCATAAGGCGAAGTCCAGAAGCATATACCAAACTGTGAAGCTGTTTCTCACAGTGGGCTGAGAAGAAAAGAAAAAAATTTAAAGAACTGAAAAAACAATTTTAATGTTTTTCCTTACCATTCATAGTGATTTCATATGACTCCAATTTAAGAATTTTCTCCTTGAAGAGCTGCTGCTGAACATCACTCTCAAGATCATGTTGCCCCTTTGTAAACCATTCAAAACACATCTGCGAATCAAGACAAATATCACCTTGTAACTAAAACCCACTTCAGGTAAATACATAATCCAAATGAGGAAAGCAAAAACGAATGATTTTTAATTCTTCAGAAATTTATAATGCCTTAGTACTACTCAAACTAAAATCATTGGAACTCTGGAACTAAATGAAGCAGTTAGTTACAGCAATCTTTCTCCTAGATAATGAAAATACATACTCAGACTTTCTACTGAATCATTACACTTCAGTTTTTCCACTGACATTTATTAATAAGCCTTACGCTGTGCTAGGCACTGTCACATACTCAATCCTTCCAATAACCCTATGATGTAGTTCACATTATTCTGCAAAATGAGAGGAGGAAATAGTGATTCACGTTAGGAAGCATCGAAGCAGGGCAGTGCTCCTGGTTTAATCCACTTTCAGCTGTGCAAGTGCAGATCTGTCTAGACAGCAATTCTTTCTTTAGGGTTTCTAGGGTACAACATCATTATAGGAACTCAAAGTTTCTGCCGGTTAACTTAAAATTAGTTTCATGGGAGGGAAAAAAAATTAAAGAATACACTAAGTTTGCTATACTCAGCTGAATTTGGTTTTATGCAGAATGGTTATCAAAATTACCAAAGATCTCATATGCTTGTGTATATCACATATATATAAAATATCTTTTCAACACTCTCAGCTCCTAGCTTATTATAAATGTATGCTTAGTAAACTGAAAAGTGTTTAGAATTGAAGACATAAGACATGCACAAAAACGTGAGATACATACAATAAAGCAAAATACTATTTATTAGGTCACACTTTTGTCTTACTTCATCCATAACGCGGTCTTCTTACCTCTCTATCTAATTCACAGACATCCTGGCCAGTCACAAGACACTCCCAGATTTCCTTGGCACGATTCCAACCCAAATACAGAGTAGCTTCTTGCAAGAAAAATGCCAGGAATTTAAGATGGGCCTCTAAATACTGGAAAAAGAAATAATGCTAATTAGTCAACTCCAGGCATTCGTATGTAGAAGCAAAAAAAAAAAACAACAACTGAAATTAAAAAGTAGTTTTACCTAATGCTTTCTCTTGTAATTTAGGGTAATAAATGTGAGAAATCCATTTACGAGGTGACAATGTAGCAGAAACTACTTGTCTATTACAAACTCAGGTGACTTTAGATGCCAAGCAATCTCAGAGTAAAACACCAGAACACAACTGATGAGTGAAGATATTTTTCTAACTTTTGGAAAACAATATTACTGACAGCTTTGAAAAACAAAAAGCCATGAGCCACAGAACTGACAATTGTATTTTTTATCAAACACAAAAGATATTTATCTTTAATACCATATCATATGCAGTTATGTTAGGTGATTTACTGAAAGATATACCCACAAATATCAATTTTCTAACCTTTTACTTCAAGGTGGTTTTATTAAAGATTAAAAACTGTTCCATCATGACAAAGACACCTCATGCTTCCTCTTTAGAGTTCTTTCCAACAAATATTACTTTTATAGTTCAAATGCAAAAAGGTCAAATGGATGCTGTAAGTCATGAAACAACAGCACAATGCCAGGTACCTCCCGGTAGGTATATCGGCCATCCACTAGTGTTGAACCAGTTAAGCCTCCAGGTCCAGCCACGGCTGCTGCAAGCCGATGACAAGCTATCAAGCTTCCTGTTACCAGTTTTACTATTTCAAAATTTTTCTTCAAGTCTTGAATAATACTCTTGGTGAAAACAATAAAAAAAAAAAGTATGAGAATGTGCAGTTACTTTGTCAGTTTAATACAAGCTTCTATTTGAGCATAGAGTTGAGGAACAGCAAACATAAAAATTTTTTCACTTACATTTCCTACATAAAAGTAAATGAAAACAATCTCATATGTACACTTACTAGGGAATTAGTATAGAATTAATAAACTTCCCTGCTAAATTTCTGCTTCTAAAGGAGTTTTATTATTTTTTTAAAAAATAAGTCTTTCAAAAGCACTATTTCACTTCTTGCATACTTTTCCAGATCTTTCTTCCCAAGTTTCTTACATTGAGGAGCCTCTAGTTCCTTAAGCGAACTGATATTTTTTCACAAATAAAAAAAGTCTTGCAAATCTTTTCAAATTCCTACAATACTATTCTAACTTTTAAAAATTAGCTTACTTCGGTAAATTAAGGAAATAAGAAATAAATGAGTTAGGGATATATCAAAAGAAAAGCTCCACAGAATGAAAGCAGAATGATGCTTAAATTCAAGATTATTAAGTAATATAAATGAATTATATTAATAACCATAAAACTGTCAAACAGTCACTATAAAACTTAGCAATCTTTTGATGTTTAGTCATTACAAAAGGTTATGCAAGTAACTGCATAATAATCAAATATAGCAATCCTCTTACCTTGTCTTGCTTTTGATAGGTTTGTTTTATGAACGAGCGGGTGATTTCATGTAGCTGACGCAAAGCTGGTACCACCCATACAAACTGGGGATTGTTAATCTGAGATGACTAGAGTTAAAAAGAAGTTACATTAATTTAGAAATAAATGGCAGATTAAATTTAGTAGCTATAAAAAAGTTCCAAGTCAATTAGATTTTACTGTTACACATTCTATTATTTTTCTCTTCACATTGCTCATTTATAGTTTATCACCATGCACTCATAATTCAGTCTCCAACTTCTTATTCTGCATGCAATCCTAAAGCCAAGAACTGCAAACAGGAGTGGATATGAAGTGACAGTAAATGTACAGGGGTACATCAGCAAAAAACAGACAACAAGGAAGTAGCAACTTCAGAGGACAGATTATAAGTAGCACAGGCTGCTGGGATATGTTGACATAATAAAATAAATTAATGGCACAAGCTTAGCTTGGATAATACAGAAGTGGCCGATAAGTAAAATGGTATAAAAATATGGTTTTCTGTAATGATATGATCAAGATACCAACGATATGATCAAGATATTAAGAGTGGTCTAAGTATTATAGAAAATATCCATGATCTGCTTATTTCCTAGTTAAAACAATTTTAGAAGAGAGAATTCTATTTTCATTAATTATTACAGCCACTTTATAATTTATATTTTTCAAAACATTTTTAAATATGTTATTTCTGAAACTGGTGCATGACAATCCAGATCTTCACGCACATATCTGCTGTTCATGCACTACTCTTTAAAAAAAGAACTGTTTTTTATTAAATGACATCTTTCAAACTATGAGATTTCATTATAAAATCTGTAAGAATGTCATGTTAACATTATTAATCAACTGATCAAGTAACTCTCTAAAAACTAAACAATAGTTAGCATTTACTTTAAAAACTATATTTTTAAAAAAAGCCTTCTTGCTTCTTCAAGTCTTTCTGTCAGATAAAGATGCCTATAGGGGCAGAAAAATACTTTTGATGTCATTTGCAGAAAATTGTTGTACTACTAAATACGTAAATATGAGACAGCTATTGCCAAAATAATATTGGCTTTCCTACAGATCAGCCAATCAGCAAATACCGTATTTCCTGGATTCTAAGATACAAATTTTATAAAATTTAACATTTCTGACAGTGATACTTCTTAACAATTATATAAAAGAAACTTTTTGGCCATTAGGCACAGGAGTAAGTTTAGATAAGGCTATCCTTATGTGGGATGTACAAACTTGGCTGTTTAAAAAGGTATCTGTTCATCTACCCATCATTTCTGTTCTTACATGGCATAGTTAGTACCAAACAAGGATGGCTTTTTAATTTAAATGTAGATCACTGATTTGTTTCTTGAATGCTATCAAAGGATTACACTATAATGTGGTATTGACTAGCCCATCATGTCTATCAATCCAATTAAAAGCAAAGAAAACTGCCAGTGGTCTTAAGACTAAAGCATTTTCCAAAGCCAGGAGAATTTGGTGTGACAGACTCATACTCTATGAAGGGTTGCATCATTTGGCATTAAACGTCTCTGTCCAAAGTTACAGCTTAATTCAAGAGGAACTATTTAACTTGTAGCATACACAACTTAATGAAGGAAAAAAGCAGCTTGAGTTTTACAAAAAAAGACAGATACAAAACTCCCTATTTCTCAATATGCCTCAAAATTCTATACTCTTAAAGATTTCAAAGAAGTCCAAAGCACTACACTGGATAATAGCAAGCAGCATGCCACAGTGAGGCTGTACATACTGGATTAACCCTGTGATGCATGGTGCAATCACTGGCATCTTAGAATCAGAGAAATAAGGTATACATTAAAGGGCAACTACTTGCAAGACTAGCTAGGATATTTCTGCTAAGACATAAAAGTTGCAAAATGACAGAAACTAAAATTCTGAGGCTTAAGTCCAAACTGATACCTTCTGAAAGGATTACAAACATTGGGATATAAATATAAAACTTTTAGTAAATAATCAGGTATGTTAGAAAGTATCATTATGAGTCAATTATGGTTAGATTTTTTTTTTGACACTGAAAATTATCCTTTGGAATCTGAAAGGTATTTCTGATATAGCCTTTCTAGAATTCAGCAAATAAGACAGATGTTATTTATTCCATCATATCTATGCTATGACATTATGCTAAGCTATAAGAAAATTTTTAAATTACTCTTTTCCATTTACAAAAGGGGCAAGAGAATATGGTGAACAATTAAAACGAAAATATCTGATAATGTTTGACAACGAAGCTGAGGTTTCATAAGTAGCAGTTAATGGTATATCCAAATTAAGACTGAATGTTAGATGAAGCTATAGAGGTCAACTAGTTTAGCCTGCAAACCTGTGCCTAAACCCTCCTTATTCATTTTTGTTAAAAGAGTTGTCTTCTGGTGTTTCCAGTGATGAGGAACTCAGGAGACAGTGCACTCTGTGTCAGATTGTCTTCCTAGAAAGTTCAGTGATCTATGATACTGAAACACACCTTTACCATAACTGCTTACGAGACATAAAAACTAAGTTGAATCAAATGTCTCTAACAATTCTATAAGTATCTGAAAGAAAGCTTTCATATTCTTTCTTGAGTTCTCACTTCTCAAAGCTGAATATCCCAATTCTTCATCTGCCTTGTTTTTCCAGACCTAGCCATTTATCTAGAATCAAAGTAAAAATTTTGACAAGGGTGGACACTTTAAAAAGTACTTCCTCCTGTGCTAATCAGTCACATCACTGTGAGACTGTGCTGAGGGCACCTTGCTATTTTCACTTTCAGTTTCGTGTTTTGTCAAGTGGAGGTCATTCAGGTATGTGCAAATGATTTTAGTGTCTTCACAGGTGAAGCAGAGGAAAGAGGAAGGAAACCAACATTTACTGAAACGCTGCTGGGCACTGTGCTAAGAGGACTTCATATAATGACTTAAGGATATGCAAACACCACTGATCAAGTAAAAATGATTTTTTTTTTTGTTTAGTAATATTTTTTGGATGCGTACATTTAAACTTTTTAATTGAAAAGTAAAAAAGAAGTGAAATAAGAGGGAAAGGGTTGGGGGCAGACAGTGAAAGGTATAAAGGAAGCAAAGGAAAAGAGGACCAAGGAAGCCAAGGGTATCCTGGCAGAATCTACAGAAATAAAGTTAAGAAATAAAGGTCAGAATTTCTGAACACAACAATGGAACTGGGAATTTTAAGAGTGTCAAAAGCAGAGGGAAAGGGAATCAGTTGGAGCAGTAGAGGTAGCTGGGGGTGGGAGGGGAGTAAGAGGTGGGTGATCTTGTCTTACCCTTTGCTTAGTTTCTGTGTAGCCTGGCAGGGAGACATAATTCCCAGTCAGCCCACCTTGCTGCCTGGCAGGAAAGGGCATAGCATAGAAAAACACCTTTAGTGGCAGTATATAACTCACCCCCCTGCCTGGAGTCATGTCGGGGGCTTTGATCTTCCCACTGCCCCCCTTTAGCCACGGGTACTTTAAGAGAGTATTTGCAAAAGCGCTCAGTCAATGGAGAAGTGCTACATAAATGCAAGTTATTATTATTCGAAATGAAGGAATGGTACATCAGAATTTCTTTACTGGGAGCAGTGGGGATATAAAAAAGGAAGAATATTTCTTTCAAGACTCACAAAATGACTCCAAAATTCTCCCTGTTACTTTTTGAGTTTTGTTGTAAAACATCAGACATGAGTGAAGTGACTGCAAAGAGAAGCAATAAAGATGCAGCGATGATACTGGCTAGAAGGGCTAAAGTAATGCTCAGCTGTAACAAGGAAGGAACAGGGGTCAGGAAGGATTTTCTGGTTTTAAAAGTCATTTCCCTGGAGGGAGGAAAAAGTCCCTTCAGCTTTGACCTTCAGACCTATAAAGAAATGTATCTGTTACAGTGAAGAAAAGACCATTTTCTACAGATACCTTTTCTTTCTTACTATTAGTATCAAAAGATTTAAACTTCTTAAATAGCTCTAGATGAGTTTCAATCATAAAGACAGAGGGTGCTAAATTATTTGAATCGCTGAGCTGAGAAAACTGGAAAAATTCACATTGTATCTGAGTAGAAAGAGAGCAATGTTGCTGAATTAAAGGAATAATTTAATCATAACCTGAGAGGTACCAGTTGCAGTTTATGAACAATTTTAATGTAGAAAATTCACTTGATCAAATTTCAATGTCAGAAATATAACCCACAAAGTTCTTACATGCCCCCAACTAAACTTTATGACCAAGCATAATTTAGGAGAATAAAAGCCTATGAGTCACCAAGGGCGCTTAATATGAGTCTCTGAATTTACCAGTGTAAATTAGCAGTATTCAAGATCCTTTAAACAAATACTTATGGGGAAAACCAAGAAATATGCTTTACCACTGAAACTGTTAAGCAGTTAGCTATTTACTAAAGCCTTTTCTTAACTCAACAGTGGAATGAAACCCCTCTTGCTGTGAGGCTTCCTGTTTCATCTGAGCAACCTGAGGGCCTGCACGGAGGAGGATGTGCTCTAATTAGGACTGCTGAAACCATGGAGGCAGGCTCCAGGGACTGACCACCGAGGTCAGCCCTCTCCAAGGAGAGCCTTGCTGTTTAAGGAACGCAGCGACAAGAGAGCTACAGCCATCGCTGCCCATTCTACAACCCCCCTTCACCAAGGACAGATGTGAAGTCTCCAGCCACCTGGAGGTCAAAGCCCTGGAGGGGAGGGGCTTCCATAGCACTGGTCCCTAAGCAGTTCTACCTTCTAAAATCCAGTCCCAGCAGCAGGTCTCACTAAATAATCACTTTTCTTAAGGAAGTACTTTAGGACCACCTCTGAACCAAGCATCCAAAAACGACTACGTGCCAGCACTGAATGAACCTCCTTCTCCCCTTCTTTCTCTCTTCTGACTCAGGAATTCCTCCATTTCTCTCTTATGGGAGAAAAATAGGCACGATATTTATTAAACTTGTGCATATTTTCGATTTAATTTTAAAAAGAAAAACTAAGTTGAAGGTCTTATAATCTTATGAAAATAATATAGTAAAACTACTCTTTGAATGGGACCCTGGATTTTTTTCCCTTTGTGAGTCAATAATTCCCCAAGCTTTAAATAATAAGCACAGGTCATAAGAAAATATTCAAACAGCAGTCTGTATCTGAATACGACTTGAAAAAACACTATAATAATTTACTATTATCTTAAAATTATAATTTATTTAAAAGAATTATTAGATTAGTATACCTTTTACTTATATCTCATCTGCAAATTCTTACCTTGAATCCATCCTTCTTGTTTTTATCCAGACCTGACCATTCTCCAGGCTGAAAATTTTAAGAGAAATATAAGTGACTTGGTAAAAGCAGTACCTATAATTTCCCAATTTTGGACTCTAAGATTAATGAGCTTCCACGCAGGACATTTAGCTTAAACAATAGGGGAGGGAAATTATTTGGTTCTAATTACTCAGACAATACTATTACTCTGACAATAAAACTAGACCAAAGGTAAAACCAACCCTTTTAATATCTTCTATGCATTTAATTATGTAGCTCCTCTTGATTGCTTCTTTCACTGCATATGCATCACTAAGGATTGTCAGATGCTCCTCCAGAGCTTGCTGAATAAGGCTACTGGGCAGCGTGGGGAGATGAGCCAGTTCCCAGAGCACATCCAACACCTACGGTACACCACACGTGATGAGCCAGCCCATATGCAAATAAAGCTGCTTTAAGCACTTATAGTTAGAAAAATTTGATTCTCCTGCCTTTCCAGAAGTGGTCTCAAAGCGAGCTTCCCGGCCTATTCGTCCGATAAGGCTCAATAGCTTCTGTCTCACTCTATCACTCTCAGTCTCCCAGCTCTGTAGAACGAAAAAGACAAGGCATAGGAATTGCTCCCCAGTCTGTTTGATCACACTGGCAAAATATGCAAAAGCTTTAAACTTGAGCTAAAAAAGTTTAAGAAGAGTAAGGTTAAATATTGCTAATGTAGAGGAAGGAGACCTCATTTTAGAAAAATTAAAAAGCATATTTGAGCACATACCTTCTGAATAAGAACAAACAAATGATTAAGCTGATCTGAATTAAACTTGACAGCTGCTGCAGCAATAATAGTATGAATGTTCTCAATCACAGTAGATGATTGTCCTGACTAGAAAAGAAGACAATGGGGAAAAAGTTAAGTCTTAGAACCTGGAAAAACACAAGTCTTTCCCCAGAGATATACAGAAGCAAAAGTAAAACAGTACAAAGATAAATTGATTCTAGACTATCAGCATACACTTGCATGATAAAACTGGTAAGACTACACGAAGCAACCATTATCAGTGGTAATCAGTTGGCTTTATTTTAATTCCTTGAAGCATTAAATCTCTAAAAAGAAAAAAACATGAGAATCAAGTTCTCAATCTGACATATTCATTTTAAGAGGAGAACAAAATATTTTCAATTGTCTTAAAAACAATTTATACTGATTAAGTTTAAAAGAAATACATACTAATCTTTCACATTTTATAAATGATCTTGAGGGCTTCAGTTGAGAGTATTATGTACCTCATTTTAAAATTTGCTCATTGATATTCTGAGTTCAATTAATACTTATTTATCCATGGACAGTAAGTCACCATCCTTCTCCCTCTCTGATAAAAAAATGTCAGAAAAGGGCAAAAGGAATTCTGATCAACTTACCTGTATCTTCCAAATTTTAGTGAGCTCATCTAATGACAATTTACTGCCCAAGAGTTCAATAATTCCCTTTATACGATCACAGTATTGTGCTTGGTCTATGTTGCCTAAGAGAAGAAACACCAGAGAGGCAGACAGATTTAATGAACGCTGACTTTCTAAATGTGACTCTATTAATTCAAAGCAACAGTAACTTGCTGTAGGATTACTTAAAGGCTAGTACAAAATAAAGATGACAATAGAAAAAAAAGGCTAATATAGTCAAAGTGACTATTTCATACATTTTTAACACAAAAGTATATTATTTATGAGGTAGGTAATTTTTTAAAGCAAGTTAACTTACCTTCCAATGCGATTGACAGAACTGAGTTTTCAACTAGCCAATCTAACAATCTGTCTGTATCTATAGCATTCTTCACAGACTTGGATAAAGTGCTATCTTCTATGAGTTTGGTTACCTAAAAAGACAGGATTATTGTGATTTAATCTAATGCAAATATTCATAACCAAAATCTTCACATATATCTTGTGACTTTTACAGTATTACAATGTAGTGTGATAATTAGCCTAACTGTATCAAAGGTCAGTTATTAGAAATTAATAGACTACCTATTTTTAATGTCTTTAAAAAGAACACAGAGCTCACATTCCCTGGGCCACTGATGACTGGCTCAGGGATGTAAACTGACGCAAACTTCAATCAGAGCATGTCTCCAAATTCTATACTTGGGACCAGAGAGAAAGCATCAGCCCTTCCCTGGTCATGAGAGCTACCCATGGCCATGTCTACCTTATGAAGATGCCACTCTGCATGGAGAAAGAGAACAAAGAAAAGCAGAGATAACACCTGGACAAAGTCCTGGCAGTGGTTTGGTCTTGGATTCTAGTTGGTCCTGTTGCCCACATCTGTCTCTCACCTTACAAGGTTTGGCTATTTTTATGAGATAGCCCAGCCTTCTTTTATTAAATTCTTCTTTTAATTTAAAATAATTTAAGAATCACTCAAATAATCAAGTGATTCACTCATGAATCAAGAGTCACTTGATTTTTGATCCCTGTAGCTAAGAATCCTAATTAATACAAAACTGAAGGAAAATAATTGGAATCATGGCTGAACTCTATTGTGAACTCCGATAATGAACTCCACCTATCACTCACCAAAACCAACTATGCTCACGGAAAGTTTAGAAAGCTGCAAGATCTTATTTCCACCATTTTGCTTAGACCACTCCAGTTGTAAACAAAACAAAATTTTGCCTGAACCCCAGTTAAAAGATTTGGTTTAAGTAAGTCTGAATATAATAAAAGGAATTATACCCTTGGGGTAAAAAGTAAACCTTGAACTTCATATTCCAAGGAATTATGTTCCAGAAAAATCTCACTAAAACACTGAATAAGTACTTTATAGGATGAATTATGAACATAATATATATGAAAGTATTACTTTATTAATAGACCATTGTAAACATAGACCATTTTATATATAATCACTGTTATCTCCTTTTGTGGGATTACAAGAAATTATTATTCTTTACTTCCCAACATTTTTACATTAATAACAAGTTTTAGATGACTTTAAGAGTATCTATACTTTAAGTCTTCTAGAAACAAGTGCAAAACTTACTTCTTTCAGGGAATTCATTTTGGCACTGAAATGTGGTGATTTCAGCATGCGCAGCAGGATGTCTAGTCGAAGGTCGTCCACAACGGTCACCAGATCTGGTTGGAAGCGCATGCAAAGTAACTTGATGGCAGACAAGAGCTCAGGGATGCTAACCAATCTCTTTCATTTAAAAACAAAACACACACACACATACACAGAGAAGACAAAAAGGAACCAATAAAACATTTTGATGCCAATTCTTACACACACAGGAATAAAGGACATATTCAGTAACCATGGTCTAGTGGTATCTTATACTTCCCATGGTTGATGAACTACATCCTGCTTTTAATAAAAAATCAGTGCATGAGTGAGCAAAGAAAAGAGAAGGGGTCTGAGAGAAAGTCAAGGTAGACAAAATGAATCATGTTAGAACAACTTTGGATAGCTTTTAGTACCAAATTGTTTTAAAGCTTCTTCAATGTTATACCAACTGTACTACTATCAAAACGAGTATGTTAGTTAAATTCTTAACAGTGTCACTTACCAAGAACCCTACATTCATTTTATTGACTGAGGTAACACCAGCCACTCGGTACTTCTAACATTTTTTGGGTCAGGAAACGTAAAATTAATTTAATTAATTAAGCTTATGTGACCAGAATCCAAAGAGCAATGATGTGTGAACTTTGCCCCAAGTCCTGGTTCTGCTTCTGTGGAGCAACATGCGCTGCAATCACTTGACTGGAGATGCATTACCTTATCTTTGAGGTCCTTTTCCTCCACACTCCGCACATCCTGGATTGTATTAAGGATGACTGGGTCTAGCATGGGCTGTAGGAAAAAAGTGCTAAAGTTAATAAGGACCCTTGAATCTGTCCCTAAACTAGAGAGGAGAACTTCTTCATTCACATTTCACAAAGGAAAAGGTGCAATGCAAAGATCTGAATTCTAGTATCAGACTACCACTAACTAATACCATCCCAAGTAAACCCTTTTAACTGATTCTGTGCCTTAGCTTCTTTCTATTATATGGGTGCAGTTCCTCCTTAGTTTCTGGGTCCTTTGAAGAGCAGCCAAAGACAACCAAACTCACACAGATTGACTGAAAGTATTAAACACGAGTATGTATCATTTGGAATAAAGTATTTTGCATTTGATTTAAAAAAATAAACAGAAGCACAGACCACAAAAATACGATGCTTTATGCACTAACTTCTGTTAGCTGATATGTAAATGAGGCCTACAGGTAAGACTCATACAACACACTGTTCCTGAACGGTAGCACAGCCAGATAACTAGCTCTAAGTAATATAGGAGAAGTAGTGAAAAATTAGCAAGGTCTAACTGATCACTTGTCTTTAAGTAAAATAAATTTTAAGTAAAATAATTTTTAAACTTATCTGGTGACTAGAAAATATTTGGCTGTCAAAGCAAGAACACATCAGCAATGAATTAAAATGCCATCATGCAATCATCCACATAGAATTCCCTTATTTACACTTATGCCAACTGTATAGTGAAAACTGAGGGCTGTCAGGGTAAGAGGCAAGTCACACAGCTCTCATCAAGCATGTGCCAGCCTTACTTAGCTTTCACCGCAACTCTGTGAGACAGGTATGGGTACTGCTACTACTTTACAGATAAGGAAGCCAAGTCCCAGGGGTCACTTTAGTTTTCTAAAGGAGCAAGTATTAGAGACAAGTATTAATGTACATAATTACAGCATGAATTTATTGCTAAGTGAATTTAAGGTTGGATATGTTGTTGTTTCAGTTGCTACTGCAGGAAGTTAAACATACCTTGGTTGGAAATTCATAAACTTTTTTTTAAAAGAACACTGTGCTTATATATAAAACCTGGAATTCTAAAGAACTTAGTATTAACTAGCAGTTGGAATATTTGCACTAAATCTCTTTTCATGGAGCAATGAATGGGTAAAAAGTATGCATTTAAAAATTCAATCCTGGCTCTGATTATTAAAAAGCCAATTATTAAATTGCTAATATACATTATTAAATTATTAAGTCAAATCATTTTGCCACTTTATGTTTCAGTGTTTCACTACAAAACAAATGATTATATTCATATGCTTATAAGTGAGAGAACACTAGATATCTCTAAAGACCTTAATATCAGAATGAAGAAATACTTAAGTAGTCACTCTGCTTCATTTAAAAAATTTTGCAGAATTACTCTGAAATCTAAACAAGGCACTTAAAACTTAGAAATAACAGAAATTTCCAGAACCTACTAAAAAAAAACCCAAAAACCCATCTCCCTTGTTAAAACGGCCCTATGTACACTGGACATCAGAAACAAGGAACAGTGCATACTATTTGCTCCCAAAGGACACTAAGCTTTCAAAACCATTTATGGTGATTTTAAAAAAATCTCTATGACAGCTAAGTTTCACAGACATATTTTTATAAAGAAAATAATAAATGGAGGTATTTCAACATGACATTTTATTCAGTAATACTTGTTAACTGAAATGGAAAGGCAGCCAGAAAGTGCAATGGGCCCTAAGCATCAGAAAGCTCAACGCTCATGGCTCTGACTATCCCATGACCTGCTGACATGCAGACAAGGTGCGCTGTCAAACTGTCACTCAGATTCTCAGTGACTTGGCTAGAGGGAGCCCAGCTGGCCAGTCAACACTGTTTAATGTAACGCTGAATCCTTAAAGAATCCTGTGAAGGGGGTAGGGATATATGCCACCTATTTTATAGTGAAGAAAGTTGGGGGGGGGGGGCTATAATCTGTAATTATATTTGATAAAATGATAAACTGAAAAGATAAGTACCCTTAAATGTTTAGACATTACCGAAAACTTATTAATCACTTTTATTTATCTTCTGATAAAATTTTCACTACAAGGACAGCTAATCAGAAAAAAAAAAAAGCAGTTATTCTGATAGGCAAAATTCTGAACAACCTGATAAAAAGATAATTTTTACTGTTTGTATGCCTGAGATCACTTTTGAAATAAGTGTAAAATGGTTCATCTTACCTGCACCACTGAGGGATTGAGGTACTCTGCACATACCCCTAGGGGCTGCACAAGTGCTGAGACGGCCTGAAAAAAACCAGCAAATGTGAGAGATAAATGTGAGCAAGTTACTTCCTTTCAGCATTAAACAAATCCTTTTCTGTATGTCAGAGGACATTTTATACTCTTGGGCAGGAAAAGCTGATATAAAGATGTCAATTCCTTTAAATTATTGTAGAAATTTAATGTAACTTAAATCATACTATGTCAATAAAACTTCTTTCAAGGCTTGGATGGGATGATTCTAAAGTTCACACTGTAGAATAATAAAAATTTTTATTTGAAAAATCAAGAGAATAGCTGGGGAAGGAATAAAATGTGCCTTTAACAAAGAAAACATTTAAGACTTTCATTAAGAAATCTATAAAACTTTACAGAAATACATAAATGGTCCAAATAAATGAGGAAAGATCATGTGTTTGAAGAGAAAGGACTAGTACTATAAACATGTCAATTCTCCACGCCTACAAACAGAACACAATTCCACACATGATCTTGGTGGCACTTTCTGCAGGAGATCCTGACACGTTGCCTATATTCAGAAGAATGAAAACATGAGAATGATCAAGAAAATTTGATAAAATGGAGATGCTGAGCAAAACTGGCACTACCAATAATGAAAATAATGGAGAAACAGTATCAAAATGCCAAAGTGACCAAATGAGTGAATGACAGAAGTCCAGGAACAATTCACGTATACACAGACTCAGACATTTGATAAAAGTCAACAAATCAAAATAGTGAAAAAAAAACCTTGTGAAAAAAAAAAAAAGAACGCTCTTCAGAAGATCTTATAACAATTAGCTACCCTTTTGAAAGAAAATAAAACTGGATTTCTATCTTTAGGAACATACATAAATAAATTCTAAATGAACTCAAGAACTAAGATTAAAAAATGAAATTGTTTTGAGTATAAAATGAAATGAGTGCTTTTATAAACTTTGAGATGGGAACGAAAACATCCCTCAAGCAAATTAGAAAAATTTTAGGCCATTAGGGAAAACTGACACAAAAGGACACCACCAGCAGAAATGAAAAAGGAAGGGACAAATCTCAGAGAAGTCTTTAGGCTCAAGACACCTGATACTAATGAGGACAAGCCTAGATTTCTCTATACCCACCACTAGCCAATCTTCTCCAAGTAGGGGGAAACTCTGGGCTTCTGTCTGTTTGTTTAAATAAACTTTGCAGGAAATCAGTGAGTGCTTTATTTAACCTTAAAAAAAAGTGAAGTCTATTTCTATTATTGCCCAGTGACCTACATAGCCAGCTCTTGAGAAATGAGCAAGCTGGATAAATCCCTCTATCTGAATAGGTTTTGTTTTGTCTTGCTTTTTCAGTCACTACCCATTATCTTCCAGGTCAATAAAGCCCCCTCTAACACACTTGATCCGTTTAATGGGATAAAATGACAGCCTAAGAACCTAGTCAAGGCTCAGGGGAGGGAGAAGCAGGCTCTGACCAGTGTCACTGGAAGTAGCCATGATCTGGCTGACCTCTGATCTTCAAGAGCAAGCAGTGGGCAGCAAGCGACAGTCTATTACCAAGCAGAGCGCCAGTCTCTCTCTTTACCTGTTGCGACTGCTCTCATGCAAAGGTGGGCCAACAGGGTTAGCTGATAAGCCGAGGTCCCACAGAAATAACGGGTATTACTCTAAGCACAATTTGTATCACTCAGACATATTATTTTACAACATTTTCTACTCTGGTCAATTTGCTGTAGCTGGTACAGTGTCTTCTACATGGCAAGTACATAATAAGTAGTTTCTAATTGAATGATCAGAGAACAGAATGAAGTGCTTTCAGTTACAAACAAGTCAGCAGTCTGTGAAAAATTAAAGATGCAGTTATTCCCCTTACCATAAGGATAAGTTTTCTGAGAAAATGAAGTTGACATGAAAACATACTGGTACTGCACCTGAGGGGTGATTCTAAGCTCCGGTTATAGTCCTTTATTACCTATGAATCTCTGTAATACCAAAAAGCTGACTGAACAATCTTAAAATATTTTATTTACTTCTGGTACTATAAGTAAGTTGTGACTTAACTGAGGTGTAAGATTGCTATGTACACATATACTTGCCACACACAGCAATTATCCCTAAATAGCAAGATAATTTCATATAACCACTACAAGTAAGGAGTTAAGAGAAAAACATTACAAAGAGAAATGAATGTGGTGGGAAAAAACAAAACAAAACAACACAACCAAATACTCTACACTGAAATTTGGTTATTATCATTAAGAAAGAATAAACATTTCTGTGGTTATCAGAACCATGGGAGCTACTCCTATAAAGATTAACTTGAGTTTTAACATTTAATTTAATGCATCCAGACAATGTCCCGGGGGTTACACAGCAACCTCAATAAAGTGAACTTCCACAATGTACATACAGTGGTTTAACTTACCGCAAGTTCTATATCTTCTGAATGGAGCTTGGCTTGGATTGCTGCAAATCCACCTAATTCTCCAAACTGAGAAGAAAAAAGGTATACATTAATTTTAAAACACTATACTTTAATAATTTAGCAAGCAACTACGGCTCACATTCTACTTTATCAATGTGCTTATAACCCTGGTCTTCAGAGTCATCACAAAGATAATTCTAATGCTCCCGTGATACACTACAGGAGATGTACTAAGTCCTAAAGCTGATGTTTATCTGTTTAAACAGCACATATAAAAAAGAGGAAGAAATGATAAAACATATTTGATTATTCTCTGTAGCTGTCATCTACCTAAAACTCTAGGAAAGCTCATTAGAAAATGAAAAACATGCCCATATTAATAAAAGCTGTATACCTTATTTACCAAATCCACAACCCATCCATGAGGTTCCTATGAGAAAAGAAAACAGAAATTGAAATGGACTAACTCTCATATTTCTTTTATCCTAAATCAGAAAGTTGGAAAAAAATTTAACATTTAAAAACTATTTCAAAAGGTTTTCCCAAATGTTTCTTAATGTGAAACTTTGACATTACTGAAAATAATTTTAGAAGTAAGTCTGTATTTTGATGGGATTGCTACAATACAAAGCATTTATGCATTTTGGGTAGGTGAGATCAGTTGTCTAAGCTTCCTGAGGTACAGGATAAATAATTATTAACTCAGAGTAGCAAATCAAGAATCAAGAGATTAAAGCTTTGGCCCCAGCTGTACCATTAATTAGTGTCCTAGAGCAAGCACTTCTGTTTTCCTCCTTTTCTTTGACTTTGCTTCCTCTCTCAAGCATTCACTGTTCTAGAAGCTGCATAATGTTCCAGTGGCTAGATACAGAACGGTGATGAAGAGGAGATGTGGTACCTGCTTTCATGTAATTCATATTCTAGCAGGGTCGATAAAGACAAGTAAATCAACACATAATTCATTCAGGTTGTGCATTTCTACAAAAGGTCCTCAAATGAGAAATAAGAGCCCACTCTGTTCAGAGTGGTGGTCATAAAAAATCTCTTTGAAAAGGCGGTCTTTAATCTAGAACTTAAAGGATGAGACAGATTTAGCCATTCAAAGAACAGTCGAGGCAGAGGCTAAAATGTAAAAGGTCCTGTTTGGGGAAGGCAGAAAAGCCTACCTTCATCTGAAAAACAGAGAGGCAACTCTCCCAACTGGGAGGTGGTGAGCAGGGGAGAATGGCACAGATAAAACTGTAGAGAGAAGAAAAGCTGGATCATGCAGAAATTTGCAGACTGTGATTAGAAGGGAAGCAACAGAGGTGTTTAAAGCAAGAAAATGATACATTTTATGTTTTAAGGGGACTCTTACAACTATGTGGAGAATGGAAAGGAAAGGATGAATGAGAGAGTGAAAAGCAGAGATAAAAGAGGGAAGACTAGTGTAGTAATTAGGCAGGACATGATGGTGTTTGGATGGGATGGTGGCAGAAGAAACAGAGAGACATCAACTGAAGATCTATGTGAGATTAAATCAAAGGACCTGTTTATGGTTTGGATATGAATACAAATCATGGCTGATTCCTATGTTTTCAGCTTGGGCATCTAGGTAGATGGTAATGCCACTTATTGAAAGGGTAGAGAATGAAGACTGGGGAAACATAATGAAGTTCTGCTTCAGGCACAGTCTGAGATGTCTCTGTCGTAACCAAGTGGAGGCAGCTGGCTCTTCAAGTCTGCTGTGCTCAGGCAAGAGGTCTGGGCCACAGAGATATAAAGCAGAGGGCCATCAGCACAAAGATGACATTTAGATCTGTAGGAATGGAAGCTATTTCTTACAGAGAGTATGATGAATGAAGAGAAGAAGGCTCTGGATGAGCGAAGAAAGGAGAGGTAGCTGAGGGGGCAGGCAGAGAGCAAGAGACTGTAGGATGGAAGTTTCAAGGAAGAAGAAACTGTGACCACTGATGCTGACTGGGTCGAGAGGTAGTTCCTCTGGATCCAGAAGCACAGTGCTTTAATGAGAGCAGTGTCAGTGAGCTGGTGGCAAAAAGAGGAGGAACGGAGTGCCTTGAAGACCTAATGGAGACTTCAGTCTAGTTGCCCCAAACATCTCTCCAACTGAAAACAACTAGCATAAAATACTTAAGGGCTTCCCTGGTGGTCCAATAGTTAAGAATCTCCCTTGCAATGCAAGGGACTCCGGTTCAATCCCTGGACTCCGGTTCAATCCCTGGTCTAGGAATATACCACATGCTGCGGAGCAACTAAGCCCATGCACCACAGCTACTGAGCCAGTGCTCTAGAGGCGGAGAGCTGCAACTAGTGAGCTCCCGTGTCCAACTGCTGAAGCCTGCACGCCTAGAACCTGTGCGCCACAGGAGAAGTCACCACACTGCAACTGGAGAGTAGTCCCCACTCGCTACAACTAGAGAAAGCCTGCTCACAGCAACAAAGATCCACCACAGCTTAAAAAAAAATTAAAAAAAAAATCTTTTAAAACATAAAACTGAGTTGGCAAAACGTCCTCAGAAGTGTAACAAAAAAAAAAAAAAAGAGAGAGAGAAAGTAGAAATCCTGTGAAGTAAAGAAACCGTGAGGCCAGCTTTCATACTGCAGGCATCTAAGAAACTGAGGCGATCTCTAGCTTCCATTTTCATAGCCTTATGGTGGCTCAGAAGCAGGACATATGCCAACATGGGGCTCAGAGACTAAGAAGAGGTTGCCATATAAAGCAAGAACCCAAAGCGCTACAGCCTGAACTTAAGGTGAACTGAAACAGACTTACCTGTGGAATGGAAACAAGGAAGACTGCCTACCTTGACTCTGCTACTGGATGGTGAGGAGAAAAAATCCCCCAGGAATTTATAAACATCTAATTGCCCTCACATGGCTTTGCTGTTCTAATTCAAATTGACTTTATGGTCTGAAAACCTTAAGCTGAATATTCTAAAGTGGTCCCAACTCATAGTATTCCCAGGCACCCAGAAGAAGTAAATCCTTTTTGGAGGAAAGAACTTGCAACTCAGGCCTCAAAAAATGTTCCTAAATTCCAAGAAACATAAGTTCATAGAAAAATAAAGAAACAAGTGTAAGTATTTTTTTCTACACACACATTAACAAAGTGAGTAAAAGTTGGCAGAATCAGATCAGTTTTTAGATATCAGACATAGCATATAAGTTAAGCATTAAACAAGGAGGAGACTGAAAATATGAGATAATTAGAAACAAGCAGAGTCGAACTGGACCACAGATCTGAAAAATGTCATCTCAAACACTGCACAGGAAAACAAACAAAATACATGAAAGAGGTTAAGGGACATAAGGACAGAATGAGAAGGTCAAACATGTAGCTACAGTTCTAGAAGAAGAGACTATTGCGGGAAAGGCAGTATTTTAAAAGGAAATGGCTGAGAATTTTCCAGAATTGATACAAGATATACATCCTTAGTTTTGGAAATTCAATGCATCTGAGGCAAAATATACAAAAAGAATATCTGTTAACTGCAGTGAGAGTCAAACTGCCAAATATCTAAAAGAAATAGATCTTAAAAAAATAGCCATGAAAAGAAGACTTCTTAAAAAAAAACAACCAAAACCAATACTCAAAGCCAGAAGACACTGAAATGATATCTGTGATATTCTGACACAAAACATATCAATCTAGAATTTAAAACCCACAGAAAATGTTCTTCAACTAATAGAAAATAAAATCAAAGTCAGGCCATCAAAAACAAAGACTCAGGCACCAATGGACCCCTTATGAGAGGACAATTTACAGCATGTAGTCCAGGAAGAAGAAAAATTATCCCAATGGAAGGCTTGAAATACAGGCAAAATGGTGCACAAAGATAGCATGTAAACAGGGCTGAGTCAAAGCACTGTATAAAATAAGGTTGATGGTACCTGTTTGAGGGGAATAAAATGAGATAGGAGAGGACTAAGACAATGCATAATAAAGACAAAAGGATGAGTTAGGTGAGGAATGAGCATACGGAACATACCAAGGTTCACATGTACTGCTCAGGGTAAAGGTAGTGATGAAATGTATGCTCTGTTTAGTTTGTAAATTAAAATGTCAGAGTAAGCACTAAAAGAATAACAGAGGGAAGGACATGGAAACTTGAGTCTGGTTGGTTGTGAAGAGGGACAGAGTACAATGCTGAAGCTAGAGATGGATGCAGTATCAAAGGCAGAATTTTTAAAGACGGGAAAATAGTAGACCATGTAATACACAATGGGAGTAATCGATAAAGAGAAAAAACTGAGCATACCAAAGAAAGAATAGAAATGCTAAGGTGTAAAATGCTTGAGAAGGCAACAGGAGAGGAGAGGGTATATAGGGCCTTTGTAGGAGAGAATTCCTTTCGTGGTAATGAGAGGAAATCAGAGACTGAACGTTTCTGGGTGTCTGTTGCTGCATATGTAAACTGGGCAGGGGAGAGAAAGAACACTTGCTGAGTAGCTGAGTACTTACTAAAGTGACCCACCGTGTTCAGTGTTTTTGTATACATCTGTCATTTAACAGTCACGACAATACTGAAGATGAGATTTTAATATCTTGAGAGACAAGGCTGTATAAAGAATGCAGACTGTGGTGCTAGCTCGCATAGGTCCCTGCTATGACTAGGCTTGTTAGTTTGGACAAGTACTTAATCTCTGTGTGCCTCAAACTTCTCATCTACAAAATGGGGGTAAAAATAATACCTGCTCACAGAGCTGCTGTGGTTAAATTCCACAGGATATACCCACCGCCCCTTCCACTCAGCTCTCACCTCCTCCCTGGAGTACGGCCTGACCTTCCAAGGTGGCAGCTCCTTTCCCTATGTCCCATGAAGAGCACATTATCGGAGAGGGCAGTGGCAGCCCACTCCAGCACTCTTGCCTGGAGAATCCCATGGACGGAGGAGCCTGGTAGGCCCTATGTCCCATGAAGAGCACATTATCGGAGAGGGCAATGGCACCCCACTCCAGCACTCTTGCCTGGAGAATCCCATGGACGGAGGAGCCTGGTAGGCTGCAGTCCATTGGGTCTCCAAGAGTTGGACACGACTAAGCGACTTCACTTTCACTTTTCACGTTCATGCATTGGAGAAGGAAATGGCAGCCCACTCCAGTGTTCTTGCCTGGAGAATCCCAGGGACGGGGGAGCCTGGTGGGTTGCAGTCTATGGGGTCGCACAGAGTCGGACACGACTGAAGTGACTTAGCAGCAGCAGCAGCAGCACATTATTATTACAATTGCACCTGTTGTTTGTTACACTGTGATTTTTTTTCTTTCCTATTTCCTCCACTATGCTGTAAGTTAGAAACCATGTCTTATTACTCTTCATACTAAGGGCAAGAACTATCTATGCAAGAACTATTTATTTATATCTCCAAAACCTAGAATAATGCCAGACACACAGCAGATGTTCAACAAACGATCACTGAACTAAATCTCTGCTTCTACTAAAGCAATGGACAAGTTTCCTGTCTACTACGTTGACTTCTTTCAAATATTTCTCCAAAACAAAAACAGTGTTTGATCAACAAACTGTTTGAATTATGTGCTCTTTGTGGGTATGTTACTGGCACGTTGTAGATCTTTAAATATAAAATGAAGATATTGGCCTGTGCTTGAAAAAAAAAAAGCTTTAAAGCTTGTGGAGTTTAGAAGAAAATTATACATGAGATTAATTACTATTTTTTCTAGCAATAACTAGTCATTTCAAATAATTTCAAATGCTCTAGCTTCTCAAATGGTTCTAAGAAACTGGGACACCCATTAAACAGGGGTTCTGGTAATTCAATAAATAGGGCACTTTTCATGTCATGCAGTCATTTCTTATTTCACCAAACATTTCAAATCTATAAAGTTCCTCATGAAGTTAATTAACAGTTATGGAAAAATATGCAATAGCTGAAAAAACTGTTGAAATATTGAGCTATTTTATGAGCTACATGGAGTATTTGCCATTTTTCATGGACTGTTTTAATCTTTCCATGTAAACTATCATTTTTGTAGCAGACAAAATCTTTTTCAATACATTTATTTATAAAACTATGAAACAAAACTATGTTTACCTTTTGGAAAGTAGATACAGGTGAAATAGCAAACATATTTCCCTCTCCAAATACTTCTGCCCAATTCCTTTGAGACACTTTCATTCTGTTTTTAAAATGGTATTCATTATCAGGATTGAAAGCCTAGATTCAAACAGAACAGAGAAACATTATTATTATCTATTTCTATAGCAACACATATTAGCATTAGAAAAGAAGATAAAAATATCACCTTGGACTTCCTCATTAATGGAATCTTTCAAGTATCTCAACAAAACATACTCCTTAGCAAGTGCTGAGGAGCAAATGGCCAAAGTACTACTCTCCTGCCTTGTTCAATGTTTGCTATGGGGAAAGAGATGGAGGGATTAGGACCAGAGGTCTGATCCAAAGTAAGGTGAAGCCAACACTGCAAATGTCCTAGGGCCGCCACCAGTAGAGATGGGCAACAAAGCAGTGAAGACAGAAGTTAGGAGGCAGGGACTTCCCAGCAGCCCAGTGGTTAAGACTCCATGATCCCAGTACAAGGGGCATGGGTTGCACACCTGATTGGGGAACTAAGATCTCGGATGCTGCATGAGACAGCCCCAGCAAAAAAAGGCAGGAGGGAACATATGAGCCCCGCTTGCTCTTGCAGCTAGTTACTAATCAGAGGAAAGCCTGGAAACCAAACTACATCAGTACCCTATATGACAGTATTTGTGATGTGAATAATAAGAGAGACAAAAGGGAAAGCTATTTAATCATTCTAATTAATCATTAAGCAATTTAATCATTTTATTCATTCTATTTAATATATTTTTTTAAAACTGAAAGCACAGAATGGCTGCTCTGCTTTAAAAATATAAGACTGTCTTTAATGACAGTATCATTATGACTCATTACTAATTACTAGTCAGAAGGTAGTAGGTATTTTAAACAAAACCAAAATGCAAAGGACTTCATTTTAGACATACTGTACCATTGTAAGCACAGCCAACAAACCAGTGGGAATTGGATCTTGTTTTATTCTCTCTGCAACCAGTTCTATTAATAGCATCAACATGTTGTAGATCCCTTCATGAATTTCAGTACCCCACTTGTGAACAGCACTTGATGTCAGGAGCTATAAAAACAAAAAGGGCAGTTTACAGTCTTATTCGGAAAGAAAGAAAATGTCTGCAGTTATGAGTGCAATCTTTACAATAATCAAGCGATTATCATAATACTTTTATGCATATGACTTGCTTTAACAGACCCATAGCCGCAGTCCATTTACTCGTTGATTTATTTCGGTCAACATTTAGCTTTATTTTTTGAACTTTAATTCCCTTATATTAAAACAGTTTGTTAAAAGAGAGTGTTTATTGTTTCTCTACCTTTCATTTTCACTAGGGGAGGTGAAATGGTGAAGAGTAAGAAAGAACCTGAGCTCACTTCTGGTACTACTATTTTCTAGCTGCATGGCCTTGGACAAATTTACCTGAGTTCTCAAAAACTCAGTTCTCCTGTCTCATAACAGGCATAACTCCTACCCACTTAACAAAGATGTGTTACAAATATTAATATCAAAAGGTATAATGAATGTAAAAGTATTAGCAAGGTTTTATGATGAGTATGTTTTGGCTGTCACTATTAATCAACATTCCTGGAATCTAAGAAATGGATGCTGTATTTCGTGATTTGAACATGCACATTCTCTTCGTATTATTTATATCTCAGATACAGAAACGGATCCTCCCACCTGTTGACCAGATGGCAGCAGGGCTCTGAGTGGGAAAAAAATTTCTAGGAATACCTTGCCAATTTATTTTGATTGTGTTTTCTTTTCTGGTGTGCATAAAAGTTAATATTCAATTTTTTTTAAAGTTTAAGTAAATCAAAAATAGCTCTAAGTGATACGGCATTATAACACTGCTTACTTTGCGGTTATTTTTCTGAAATATAAAACACAGAGTATAACATAATGGTACATCTTATAATCAGTATCTCAGATTTTAAAAAAAAAGGAAGGAAGGAAAAGGCATACAAGAATCTAAAATCTTCATCTTTGGAGTTCTCCAAACTTTGATCTAAGTCCTTGGGGAAGTCTAACTCAGGAATAACCACCAGAACAGGGAATGAGAAGTCAAAGGATTCCACTTAATAAAATACTAGCAAATCGGTACAGTGGTTTCATGTTTTTGTAAGATTTCCACTGAGAGGGAAAATATTGTGGTATAAAAATTTCACCTTGGCTACACTGAGAACCACTTAACAAGAGGGTTAAGATCCTGAAATAATCCAAACTTCTTTAGCAGTAAAAGAAAACCTCAGCTTCAGACTTTCTATATAGCAACTAGCTGCACCACTTGCTCAAATGAACAATAACCATAAGACTGATTTTATATAAGCCAATGAGTTAGTATTTTTTGCCAGAATTCTTTTGCCTGCCTATCTATCCTTCCTATACTTAAAACTTATATAATAAAGCAAAATAAAGCAGAGATTAAGATTTAAGAAACTCCATGTAACAACAAAAGTCCCCACAGACAGAGGAGCATGGTAGGCTACAGTCCATGGGGTTGCAAAGAGTTGGACAGGACTGAGCGACTAAGCACATGTAACAAAATAAAATTTATGTGGGCTAAGCACCATTCCCTCTGCCGCCATCTCATTTGTTCAGTTTTTACTTTGAAAATGGGAGTCCTATCTACCTTCCAGATTAAGGTGGGCAGGACAAGTAGCACCCTGTAGGGAAAAGGTACACAAGGTTTAAACATCACTATGCACCATGACCAGATTTACATGCTTTTACCTGCCTGAATACACTAGAATCTAGGCTAGCCTGAAGATGAAAGGTGAAGAAACTAGAAATTACAACAAAACTCCTTTTTTGCACCTTATTCACACAACTGCTTATTATTTACACTCTTAATTCTCTTTTTTCCTGTCGTTAAAAAACAGGCAGCTTATAAGAAAAGCCCAGGGAAGAGGGCAGGGAGAGTTATCATATCAGGAAACACAAGTCTAAAGAAACATAGAATTCTGTAGCTCTTCTGGCTGAGAGAAATCTTTTTAATAGCTCTAAATTCTAATAATCGAATGACAATGAACACAATGCAAGGTACTTTTGTGCTCAGAGTTTTATAGAAAAAAAACTCCCAACAACCACTTGACCATTTGTTACACTATTACAAACAGTTTGCTGGTGTTGCTGCTGTTCAGTCACTAAGTCACGTCCGTCCAACTCTTTGGGATTCCATGGACCCCACATGCAAGGCTTCCCTGTCCTTCACCAATCTCCCTCGATTTGTTCAAATTCAAGTCCACTGAGTTGGTGACGCTATCTAACCATCTCATTCTCTGTTGCCTCCTTCTCTTCTCAATCTTTTCTAGCATCAGGGTCTTTCCCAATGAATCAGCTCCTTGCATCAGGTGGCCAAAGTATTGCAGCTTCAGCCATCAGTCCTTCCAATGAATATTCAGGGTTGATTTCCTTTAGAATTGACTGGTTTGATCTCTGTGCGATCCAAGGGACTCTTCAAGAGTCTTTTCCAGCACCACAATTTGAAAGCATCAATTCTTTGGGGTTCAGTTTTCTTTATGGTCCAACTATCACGCCCATACATGATTACTGGAAAAACCACAGCTTTGACTATATGGCCTTTGTCAGCAAAGTAATGTCTGTGCTTATTAGTACACTGTCTAGGTTTGTCATAGCTTTTCTTCCAAGGAGCAAGTGTCTTTTAATTTAGTGGCTGCAATCACCATCCACAGTGATTTTGGAGCCCAAGAAAATGAAATCTGCCACTGTTTCCATTTTTCCCCATCTATTTGCCATGAAGTGATGGGACTGGATGCCATGATCTTAGCTTTTTGAAACTTAGTTTTTTTGAGTTTTAAACCAGCTTTTTCACTTTTCTCTATCACCCTCATCAAGAATATCTTTAGTTCCCTTTAATTTTCTACCTTTAGAATGGTATCACCTGCATATCTGAGGTTGTTGATATTTCTCCCAGCAATCTTGGATTCATTCAGCCCAGCATTTCACATGATGTACTCTGCATATAAATAAGCAGAGTGACAATATAAAGACTTGATGCACTCTTTTCCCAATTTTGAACCAGTTTGGTTCTAACTGTTGCTTCTTGACCTGCATAGAGGTTTCTCAGGAGTCAGGTAACATAGTCTGGTATTTCCATCTCTTTAAAGTTTTCCATAGTTTGTTGTGATCCACACAGTCAAAGGCTTTAACATAGTCAATGAAGCAGCAATGGATGTTTTTCTGTAATTCCCTTGATTTTTCTATGGTCCAACAGATGTTAGCACTTTGATCTCTGGTTTCTCTGCCTTTTCTAAATACAGTTTGTAAATCTGGAAGTACTCAGTTTATATATTGCTGAAGCCTAGCTTGAGGGATTTTGAGCATTACTGTCCTAGCATATGAAACGAGTGCAACTATATGGCAGTTGGAACATTCTTTGTCATTCTTTCTTTGGGATTGGAATGAAAACTGACCTTTTCCAGTTCTATAGCCACTGTTTTAAGTTTTGCAAATTTGCTGGCATACTGAGTGTAGCACTTTAACAGCACAATCTTTTAGGATGTGAAATAGCGCAACTAGACTTCCATCACCTCTGCTAGTTTTGTTTGTTGTAATGCTTGTAATGTTGTAATGTATGACTTGACTTTGCATTCTTGATGTCTTGGCTCTAGGTGAGTAATTGGATAACAACATTGTGGTTATCTGGGTCATTAAGACTTTTTTTGTATAGGTCTGTGTATTCTTGCCACCTTTTTAAGCTCTTCCACTTCTGTCAGGTCCTTGCCACTTCTGTCCTTTATTGTGCACATCTTGGCATAAAATGTTCATTTGATATCTCCAATTTTCCTGAAGAGATCTCTACACTTTACCATTCTATTGTCTTCCCTTATTTCTTCGCATTGTTCATTTAAAAAGGTCTTCCTATCTCTCCTTGCTATTCTCTGGAACTCTGTTTTCATATGGGTATACCTTTCCCCTTTTCCTTTGCCTTTTGCTTCTCTTCTTTTCTTAGCTATCTGTAAGGCCATCTCAGACAACCACTTTGCCTTCTTGCATTTCTTTTTCTTGGGGATGATTTTGGTCACTGCCTCCTGTCCAGTGTTGCAAACCTCCATTCAAAGTTCTTCAGGCACTCTGTCTACCAGATACAATCCCTGAATCTATCTGTCGCCTCTACCGCATAATCATAAGGGATCTGACTTAGGTCATAACTGAATGGTCTAGTGGTTTTCCCTACTGTCTTCAATTTAAGCCCAAATTTTGAATAAGGAGTTTATGATCTGAGCCACAGTCAGCTCCCGGTCTTGTTTTTGCTGACTGTATAGAGTCTCTCCATCTTTAGCTGCAAAGAATATAATCCATCTGATTCTGGTACTGACCATGTGGTGATGTCCATGTGTAGGGTGGTCATCTCTCGTGTTGTTGGGAGAGGGTGTCTCCTATGACCAATGTGTTGTGTCACAGTGTGTTACATTATAAAAGTGCTGCTATTTTTAACAGGTACTATAATTCTTAACAAAATTCTTTAAAAAGTTACAACCACAAAACTACAAAATGGGAGATGAATTCATCCAAAATGAAGAGAAATCCTGATTCCATACAATCCCGGCCCAAATGACAATTTTAAACGATTTCTCCCTTTTTACAAAGATGAAACTGTTTTCGATCCTAATATTAGTTTTGTTCTTCCTTAAGCCTCGAATCAATGGAGATTGTGTCAAAATGCAGACAGGAATAATAGTTTGCAAATGAACTGGGTTTTATGATAAACACAAACTTCATCCATCTGTAGTTGTAGTAATTTACTTGCATTTGAGACAAAAATGGATGTCAAAACCCAGAACTACTGAGACAGCAGGAGACTCATTTATTCATTCAACAAAGATTTACTGAGCTCTTTCTCTGTTCTTGGCACTGGCTATATGCTGGGAAAAACAACAGTGTCTGTGACATCGTCTCTGCTCTTGCTGGGATTCAGGACTCAGGTCCTGCAGAGGCAGCCATGCCGAGTTAGACCGCTTTCAGAAACACAAGTCCTATGATCTTCTATTCTCACTATTAAGAAAAACTGCTTTATAGGAGATGTGACCAGAATGGGGGCAAGCACATCAGTCCAGGTCCAAAAGAGATGCTGCTGTCTGCATGTCGTTTTGCCAGATACAATATTCAATCCAGTTAAACTTTCTGTAGTTTATTTAAACATCCACTTCTGTCTCAGTAGAATAGTGAGTACAAAACAACCTATATTTTCATAAATAAATATTATCTAAGTGCCACAATCCATAGTTTAGTAAGATGTCTAATTTCCTAGTATGAGCCTTAACCTATTCTTTAGCAGTTAAACAGCAGAAAGTAAAAGCAATATTAAATGAAGAAATGTGTAAAGAATAAATATAGAAGAAACAAATCATTTCTGAGCCTCAAATTCAGAGCTATTTTTTTCATAGTAGAGCCTTCCTTAGTTGAACAGGATTCATAAACTGGGCTCACATATGAAAAACTAAAACTGAAACAAAAAGCCTGTTCAGCTTCACCCCCACCAAAAAAAAAAAAAATCAGCCCAGCACATTTTTCTTACCTTTTTAAATGCTTCAGGCATACACCTATCCATAAATCTTTTACAATTCTCATCAGACTCGGAAAGACCTTAGTAAAATAAATGGAACAATATGCTTTATTGAGATTTTAGGTAGTTGTAGAAATCACATATATCATTCCAAATTCATACATATGGAACTACTTATCATAGAAACCTTGATTCTTAAGGGATTATTAAAAGCAGAAGACATACATTCTGATAAAGGAACAGACTGAGAAATAGTTACAGCATTAAATTATTTATTAATAGCAGGATATGTTTATATTATTAATATATATTTACTAATAGTATAATAAACACTAATTAGAATTGAAATGGTTGGACTTACATTTCCATGTCAGAGTAACTGCCAATGATCTGACAAAATAGCTATTAAAACAGCAACAGCAGCTACTTATTAGCCATTATTGTTTTTCTAAACATCTCTACTAAAAACACAACTATTTTCAACAAATGCCAAGATCACTCTTTTCCCTAAAACAAACTGAACTCTGCGCAGTAAAACGCACAGAACTGTACCTGGCATCGTGATAAATACTCGGTAAGTGAGTGAATGAATCCACTGTAAAATTATCCTTCAGAATACACTTAAAAAAACCTCAATAACAGATTTTGCTTATCAGTGGGGAGACTGCTGCATACATTTTCTTTTTTCAGGCCCCCTACTTAGCATAGTACCTGCATTCTCTCAGGCACTCAATAAATGCTGCTGCTGAGAAGCCAGTCATAAACACACCATGGAAGCTAGCCAAAATATTTCCTTTTGATGTGCCTCTTACTTAATCATGATAGTAAAGTATGCACTTTTAATGAGGAAAAAAAAATTTGCAAAATAACTCAATTCTACTTATAACTGAATTCAATATGAAAAACAAATCATTTTCTCTTTAGTGAAAGTGTCAGTTGCTCACTTGAGTCCAACTCTTTGCGACTCTATGGATTGTAGCTCACCAGGTTCCTTGGTCCATGGAATTCTCCAGGCAAGAATACTGAAGTGGGAGCCCTTTCCTTCTCCAGGGAATCTTCCTGACTCAGAGATCAAACCCAGGTCTCCTGCATTGCAGGCAGATTCTTCACCATCTGAGACACCAGGGAAGCCCATTTTCTCTTTAATATATAATATATTCATAGTACAGAAGCCTCCTTATGATGATACACATTCTCCAACCTAGTGATATTTTATTTAATAATATAATTTAAAGGTGGAAGTGTGACAGATTTCCTTCTCTTGGGCTCTAAAATCACTGTGGATAGTGACTGCAGCCATGAAATCAGAAGACAATTGCTTCTTGGAAGGAAAACTATGGCAAACCTAGACAGTGTGTTGAAATGCAGAGACATTACTCTGCCAGCAAAGGTCCATATAGTCAAGGCTATGGTCTTCCAGTGGTCACGAACGGTTGTGACAGCTGGACTATAAAGAAGGCAGAACACCAAAGAGTTGATGTCTTTGAACTGTGGTGCTGGAGAAAACTCCTGAAGGTCCCTTGGACAGCAAGGAAATCAAACAGTCAATCTTAAGGGAAGTCAACCCTGAATACTTGTTGGAAGGACTGATGCTGAAGCTCCAGTGTTTTGGTCATCTGATGTGAAAGGCCAACTCATTGGAAAAGACTCTGATGCTTGGAATGATTGAGGGCAGAAGGAGAAGAGGGCATCAGAGGATGAGAGGATGGCATCACCAATGCAATGTACATGAAAGTGGGCAAACTTCAGGAGATGGTGAGAGACAGGGAAGCCTGGCGTGCTGCAGTCCATGGGGTTGCAAAGAGTCGGACATGACTGGGTGACTGAACAACAACCACAAAGCACTTAAGACAGTGCCAAGCACTTAATAAGCATAATATGTTTGTTAAATAAACAGCACTTTCTCCTCTTTAGAATATGTTAATTTCAATTTCCATAATATGAATTTTCAAATATATTTAATGAATCTTATACTCTATTGGAACTAGAAGAAAGCAGCTGATTTCATACAACACTTTTATTTCACAGGGGTTCCCTGGTGGCTCAGATGGTAAAGAATCTGCCTGCAGTGTGAGAGACCTAGGTTTGATCCCTGGATCGGGAAGAACTCTGGAGAAAGAAATGGCAACCCACTCCAGTATTCGTGCCTGGAGAATCCCATGGACAAAGCAACTTGGCGGGCTACAGTCCAATTGTAAAGAGTCCAACTTGATTGAGCGACTAACGCTTTCACTAAGAAAGACTAAGAGAGTACACAATCAGAGACGGGCAATGACAGGAGCTAAGATTAAAGCCAGGCCTCCCATCAAAAAAGAAGTCTCCTCCTGTGTCTTGAGGTATGAACTTACCAAGTCTTGCTAGGTAGGTAGATGCCAACAGGCATTTGCCTAGTGACTCTTCCCGCTTGTAAGGTATGGACCAGTGATCTGTCAAAACGCGGCTTTCCAGTTCATATAAATTTGTTGTAGGGAATTCAATTCCTTCCCCTGAGCAGTTTCCATTTTCATCATTCTTCTGACAAAAAGGGATTACAGTTTAAAGAAACAAACAAATTAGTGACTACTTAAATGGTAGCCATTTAATGCCAAAAGTGTGGATTCCACATTTCTTTCTCATAATCACATCTTATACCAAGACTACCTGAAACAGTCTCAGCTTTTATCAATGTGGAATCCTTACTCCCTCAGAAAGTGAACTCATCTCAGTCTTCAAGAATGAACTCTATCTCACTATAGTACCCAATCTACCCTTACCTGCAGCCATCCTATTTCCTCTTTCCCTTTTTCACCAAGGGGATGAATTTCTCCTTAAGACTTATCATCTATACCTGCTACCCCCATCTCCCCACACTGACTCGCCCCTGGTGTTGCACCAATATAGATTCCAGAGTCCCTGCTCTCCCAAGGTGGCAGCTGGTAAGGTCCCCGCACTGAATGCTACGTCATTCGATCCAATGGACATGTTTCAGTCCTTATCTTACTTTCCAGGATGTCTGACCTGCACGCTTCCTCTTCTTGGTATGCTGGATTCACTCCCCTAACCTCCCAGGATAGCCCGTTTCGCTCCTTTCCTCTGGGGTCTGCTGTTCCTTCTGTCTCCTGTTCTTGTAGATCCTCCCCTTCCGAGCCACAAACACTGGAGTTCCTCAAACCTCAGAGCTGTGTTCCCTTCTTTCCTCTCAGCGAACGGTAGGTACCATATTCATTTGGCAGCACAGACAGAAATCAGGATCACATTCTTAAAACCCTAGTCTCCCATCTCCACCACTAAGACTAAGTGATCAGACCCCCTATATTTCTCTCAAACCCATCTATATCTGTCCTTCTCCATAGGGATGCTTCTGTTCCTGAACTCATCTTTCTGCCCTCTTCAATCTACTTAACTCTTACACACCCTAAACTCTTTCAGAGAAAAGCCTTTAAAGAACTTCTAAACATCGCCAAATACCATTAATTATTTTATAACCTTATCATGCTGAACTTCTCCTTTATAACTCACAGATACAATTTTACATTTATAATATTTGTGATTTATTCTGTGTTTGTCCCCATTAAAACAAGTGAGCCATAAGGACAAAGACCCTGTTTCTGACAACTTCTATATCTCTAAAACCTAGTGCCTAGCACAAAGCAGGTATTTAAAACATATTTTTAAATGGAAAATAATTCACACAAATTTTTTTCAGGTTCATGGCTAAATTAGGATGAAAACAAGACTAAAACCAGGAAGGTTGATAAAAATTAAAAATGGAGTAGAAGATGATATAAATTGGAGGTGAAGAGTGAGGGGTGGTGGATGAAGTAAATTTAGAGTTATGATATTTGAGGATAATTCAGTTTTTAAAGCACAACATTGTTAAGAAATACTTGTAATTCATAAATTCTGTAAATAAACCAATTTTACTTAAAGGAGTTGAGAAGGACCAAATGTATAAAGAGTTTAAGATAGTATTAAAATTGTACACTTGTTAAATGCTTCAATTTATGAACCTAAGATCAAAGTAGGATTAAGGTATGTAAAACCAGAATTCAGTTGGATGATGGGAATATGTCATTACTATGGAATATCCACCATTAATTGCCACAGGAAGTTAACAGATCAAACCATGTATGAAATATCCGATGTACCTGGCAGTCGGGAACACTCAGAGCTTCCAAATGGGATTACTGCCCTTGTGAGAGTCACAGAAGAGCCTGTGTCCGCTCCCTGCTCTCCATACCATAAGACAGCAGCTGGGACCCAGAGGAGGGCCACACTAGGACTCAACCATGCTGGGATCCTATCTCAGACTCCCAGCCTCAAGAACTGTGAGAAGTAAATGCCTATTGTTTACAAACCAATTCTCCAACAAAACCCACCCAAAGCGAAGAGCTTCCTGGGGTGAGGGTGGAGGAAGACCTTTAACATCAGCAGTAACGACACAGACATTGTGCGCCTCCCGAAAGGACGCACTGTAAACAGCACAGCAGCATTTCTGTGACAGTCCTGCCAAGCATGCATCCCCTGACTCTAGGCACAAGGAAACCCAAAATGAGGAACAATCTAAAGAATAACTAGCCTGTATTCTTCAAAAAGGTCAATGTCATTAACGACTGAGGCAGACTGGGGAGATACAACATGGGATCCTGGATTAGGTTGTGAGATAGGAATTTTTATTTGTTTTTACTTCTTGGCTTCAAAGGACGTTAGTACCTGATCAGTGTTAATATCTTGATTTTGATAATATACTGTGGTTACAGAAGAGAATATCCATTTGTAGGATACACACTGAAGTATTTAAGGGTAAAGGTGTATCATGTCTTTATTCTCAAACATTTCAGAAAAAAGCAACAAAACACACATATATTAATACTTTGATATACACATGTACATTATACATACATGGGTATTTACATATACAGAAAGAAAGAATAATAAAGAGAATGTGATAAAATGTTAATATTTTAAGAACTTGAACAAAGTTTATATATGAATTTCAGATTTATTATGGCTATTTATAAAGATTTACAGAAACGTTGCAAAAATAGTTTTGTGCTATTCTTACAACATTTTTGTAAGCCTGGAATTATTTTAGAAGTAAAATAATTTAGTATGATATATATTAAAATACAGATTTTTGAAGAACCTAATAAATTAGAGAGGTAGGGATTCACCTGTAGTGGTTAAAAAAAAAAAGGGTGTATGTCCTACTGAAGAACCCCATTCCACTTGGTAACAATTTGGTTTGTAAATACCTTTATGCTTTTGTCTTAAATTACCAAATAAGTAATATATATTCATTGCCGAGAATACAGAATATGAATAGCAAAAAATAAAACCCATCATTAATTTCACCATTTAAAAATTAATCACACTGACATTTTAATAAATATTTTTCCAGTAAAAGCCTTTTCTTTACGGATTTTTTTCTTAAAAATTCACAAATGTGGAATTAACTTTATTTTCATCACCTCCATGGCCCATCATCATCCTCTCATTAAAGACAGTATTAATGGAGCCTTTCTTCTCCTGCTGCTGCTGCTAAGTCGCATCAGTCAGTCGTATCCGACTCTGTGTGACCCCATAGATGGCAGCCCAACAGGCTCCTGTCCCTGGGATTCTCCAGGCAAGAACACTGGAGTGGGTTGCCATTTCCTTCTCCAATGCATGAAAGTGAAAAGTGAAAGTGAAGTTGCTCAGTCATGTCTGACTCTTAGCGACCTCATGGACTATAAGCCTACCAGGCTCCTCTGTCCATGGGATTCTCCAGGCAAGAGTACTGGAGTGGAGTGCCATTGCCTTCTCCGTTTCTTCTATCTTGATTCAAAAGATAGATGCATAAAGCAATAATTGCAAAACTGTGTTAATGGGCTTATAATAACTACAGATATGACCTATATGATAATAACAGCATAAAGGAGGGGTGAGAGAACAGAGTTATATTGCAGGAATGTTTTGTAAGCTACTGAAATTAAGTTGGTATTAACCCAAATCACACTGTTATAGATTAAGATGTTAAATATAATCTATGGGGCAACCACTAATAAAATAAGTTTAAAAATTAGACAGTGAAAGAAAAAACAAGGGAATTAAAACAGCACACCGGAAAATATCTACTTAATGCCAAACAGGGTGGCAATGGAGGATTAGAGGCTCAAAAGGGCATAAAACAGAAGACAAATAGCAAAGTGGCAGTTGTAAACCTTGTTTTATCAAATAATTATATTAAGTTATAATTACCAGTAATATATTAAATGAATATGGACTAAAGGCTCTAACCAAAAGGCAGAGATTTGCAGAATGGATTTTTAAAAGTGGACTGAACTGCATGCTGTCTACAACAGATACGCTTTACATTTAAAGACACAAAGAGGTTGAAACCAAAGGATGTAAAAAGGTATGTACACGCAAAGAGGCTGCAGCAGCTCTATCAGCATCAAACAGAACCCAGGCACGCCTTGTTTACACTGCTTTGCTTTGCTGTGCTTGGCAGACATCGAGCTTTTTACAAATTGAAGGTTTGTGGCCACCCTGCATATAGCAAGTCTATCAGCACTGTTTTCCCAAGAGCATTTGCTCAATTATATCTCTGTGTTTTGCTCAATTATATCTCTGTGTTTTGCTCATGCTATTGCTTCAGTCATGACCGACTCTGTGCGACCCCATGGACTGTAGCCTGCCAGGCTCCTCTGTCCATGGGATTTTCCAGGCAAAGATACTGGAGTGGGTTGCCATTTCCTCCTCCAGGGATCTTCCCAACTCAGGGATCGAACCAGTGTCTCTTATGTCTCCTGTACTGGCAGGCAGGTTCTTTACCACTAGCGCCACCTGTTACATTTTGGCAATTCTCACCAATATTTCAAACTTTTTCATTATTGTTACATTTGTTATGGTGATCTGTGATCACTTATCTTTGATATTACTATTGTAATTGCTTTAGGGCACTATGAACTGTGCCTGTTTACAACAGCAAACAATAAATGTATGTGTTCTGACTGCTTGACCAACTGGTTATCTCTGGCTTCTCTCCCACTCCTCTCTCCCACTCCCACTCAAGCTACCTTGTCCCTGAGACATAAGAATATTAAAATTAAGCCAACAGCCCTGCAATTGCCTCTGCATGTTCAAGTGAAAGGAAGCGTGAGTAGCACATCTCTCACTTTAAATCCAAAGTTAGAAATGATTAAGCTGAGTGAGGAAGGCAAGTTGAAAGCTAAGTCAGGCTGAAAGATAGGTGTTTTGTACCAAACTGTTAGCCAAGTTGTGAATGCAAAGGAAAAGTTGTTGAAGAAAATTAAAAGTGTTACTCCAGTGAACACACAAATGCCAAGAAAGCCAAACAGCCTTATTGCTGACAGGGAGAAAGTTTCAGAGGTCCAGGTAGAAGATCAGGCTGGCCACAACATTCCCGTAAGCCAAAGCCTAAATTAGAGCAAGGCCCTAACTCTATTCAGTTCTACAAAGGCTGAGAGAGATGAGAAAGCTGCAGAAGTTTGAGGCTAGCAGAGGTTGCTTCATGAGGTTGAAGGAAAGAA